TTTCCTTGGAGAGATGTCTGTTTCACTGACGCGGATGCGTCGACTGTCTGTTCTTCAATAACCGAAATTATCCACGTCGGAATGGAGGAATACATCCCTCACACAGTGAATGTTCCTAAACCAGGGTCCAACGGCTGGTTCAACAAATCGTGTGACACTGCTCGCCAGCAGAAGATCAAGGCCCACAGAACCTACTTACAAAACCCCACTGTAGAGAACAGACAAGCCGACGTCGAGTCCAGAAACAAAAATAACGAAGCGGTTCGCAATGCCAAAAACCAGCATGATATAAAAGTTAGGCACAGGGTAATGTCGCAGCGCAATGGTAGTCGGTCTTTCTGGACGCTGGCCAAGCAGATTGAAAAGAACTTCTCACACAGTAGCCTTCCATCACTTACGTGTCAGGATGGAACTATTGTATTCGACTCAAAGGCCAAGGCGGAAGTGCTAGCCAAGATCTTTGCTGCCAACTCCACCATGGACATCCCCACCAACGCCGAAGTGCCGTCAATTCAAAGGGTTCCCCACACTATGCGGGAGGTAACATTCAGGCATAAGACCGTAAGACGAGTGCTCTTGTCGCTCGATATCAACAAAGCTTCTGGTCCGGACTTGATTCCTGCCATTGTACTGAAGAGATGTGCAGCGGAGCTTGCTCCAGTTCTTTCGCGTCTCTTCCAGATATCTTATGAATCTGGCACCTTCCCAGAAAACTGGAAATTTGCTCATGTACAGCCCATCCCAAAAAAAGGATCTAAGACCGACCCTTACAACTACAGGCCTATATCTCTGCTTTCTGTTATAAGTAAAGTGATGGAGAGGTGCATAAATCGCGAACTTCTGGACTACCTCGAACGTCACAGCTTGATTAACGACAGGCAGTACGGTTTCCGGCACCAACGATCCACAGGGGACCTCCTAGCTTACGTCACGCAACTGTGGAGTAAACTCATCCAGTCTCATGGTGAGGCTCATGTCGTTGCTCTTGACATCACGAAAGCGTTCGATCAGCTGTGGCACGCTGCCCTCTTAAGCAAACTTCCATCCTACGGTCTCCCAGAAAAGCTTTGCAGATGGGTGGCTGACTTTATCTCTGGCCGCAAGATATCCGTCGTAATTGACGGATTCTCCTCTTCATCCCACAACGTCAACGCGGGTGTTCCCCAGGGATCGGTCTTGGTTCCAACACTGTTTCTCTTACGTATCAACGACCTCCTTTCCTGCACGATCAACCCAATCCACAGCTTCGCTGATGACAGCACTCTACATGCCGGAATTCAGAGTGACAAGCCGATCTCTGCCGCTGAGCTGGAAAAAAGAAGACTAGCGACGACTTCTTCTCTGACAAGAGACCTGGAAGCTATCACTGCTTGGGGACGCAACAATCTTGTACAGTTCAATGCTTCCAAAACACAGTACTGTACTTTGACGAACAAAAAGCGTCCTAGCGCTCATACAGTTTCGATGGACGGTCGAGTTCTACCAAGGAGCCATTAATTTCGGCTGGTCGGAGTCCAGATCACCGAGGACCTGATCTGGCACGAACACATCTCTTCAATAGCTGCAGCTGCTGGGAAAAAGCTAGGCTATTTGTTTAGGGCTAAGAAGTACTTTTCTCCGCATGACCTTCTCACTCTATACAAGGCCCAGATAAGGCCTAGCCTCGAGTATTGCTCACACATTTGGGGTGCTGCCGCCCCGACTACATTGTCCATGCTCGATGCTGTCCAGAGGAGGGCGGTCCGACTGATCGATGACTCTTCTCTAACAGACAGTCTCGGGACTCTTTCGCACCGGCGGGTCGTCGGTGATCTAGCTCTTTTCTATCGCTACACTAACGGGCTTTGCTCCTCAGAGCTCTCTTCCATGATGCCGCCGCGCGATGTGCCTGCCAGACAGACCCGCCTGACTTTGGCGTCCCATCCTAACCGTGTCAAGCTTCGTACATCGAGAACTGGCCGATACGACCGCTCCTTTGTCCCGAGGGTGTCTAGATTGTGGAACAAACTACGGGAGGAAGCTTTTCCCAGTTCTACTAACCTTAGGCAGTTCAAAAATCGTATTATCAAAATTTCTTTGGGATCATCATAACAGCCGCGGTGTTCAGGCACTTAGGCTTCTGCCTGCGCGGTTGTTTCGATATAAAAAAAAAGTGGACTTTATTGGAAAATGTTACCAGAGAAAACCTATGCTGCATCATTTGAAAAATCTGCCCCGGGAAGAAAGCCGGAGAAACAACGAATAACGTTTCTAGCCTGCACTAATGCTAATGGTTCACACAAAATAAAGCCACTGGTAATTGGGAAAGCAAAAAATCCGCGCTCATTTAAAAATGTTAATATCCCTGTTGATTATGACTGTTCAAAAACCGCTTGGATCACTAGCAGTATATTCTTGAAATGGTTCCACAGGTGCTTTGTCCCTCAGGTATGACAATCAATTATCACAAATGCTCTATTCATAATTTGAAGATGTGTTTTCAATTTGTAGGTAAAAGGTTCCCTAAAACAACAGAAGCTTCCAATAAAAGCGTTGTTACTATTGGATAATGCACCGGGTCATCCTCCCGAGCAACAACTGAGGAGCAGGGATGGGTCAATTTTCGTCATGTACCGCCCAACGTAACACCGTTAATTCAACCGATGGACCAGAATATAATAAGACTCACCAAACTATACTATAGGAAGTTTCTACTTTCGTCTGTCTTATCAAATAATCCTGAAAACTTATCTGAGGCTTTAAAAAAAGTAACATTGCGAGAAGCTGTTTTAGATTTACATATGGCCTGGAATGAACTTAACCAGCAAACTATTCAAAAAGTTGGAACAATCTCTTTTGTACCAATAATGAAGATGATGAAGATGACGATGTCCCCTTAAGCGTAATTAGAGAACGTTTGCGATCCAATAATGATAATGTTATTAGTGTGTCATTGGATGTTGTTGATTTATTGAAAACAGTGAATCCCAACATTGTACTCCTGCTGATATTAATTTATGGAACGAAGATAAGCAGACGAATGATGCTGATAAGGAGGAGGATAAGGACAGTGAGGATGACGAGAACGATCCCATTGAAGTCAGAAGTGTAGCGACTGACGCGCAAGCTATAGAAGTTTTTAACCAAGCTTTAGATTGGGCTGAAAGAAAATAAGTTTCATACACGGATATTTTAGTTCTTCGTAAATTACGGGCGCAGGCATTGGAAGACAATGCTAAGTGCAAATTTACGCAGACAAAAATTGTTAATTATTTTTCTTCTAATTAAAAAAATACTTATCGCTGTTAGAATATTTGTTTATTTTGTTATAAATAGTATGTATTAAACGTTTCTTTTAATAAATCAAATATTATATAAATCACGTTCGCTAATGTAAACATTTCGATAATGTGAACCACACTTGGATTAAATTAGTTTACATTATCGAGCGTCTGCTGTATTACTAAATTTAGTCGAATACGCGATGAAGGTATACTCAATGCCACCAGCTCCCGGGTCATTTCTTTTCGCAGGGTGCTACGGTTAGCACAACACCTTCCTCGCGATGCGTATGCCGCTGCCTAATCCCTCCGCCACCTTCACGGAGTCGCCCCGCACTGTGCTGCGAGCGGTGCTCGGCGCTGCACTGGTAGCACCTGAGTTGGAGAGGCCTGTTCTAGATGTTGCTGCTACATCAAGCAGCACAAATTCGTTGTAATAAAAAGGTATGTTTCTAGATTGTCTCAAGCCGGATCTTGTTACACCAATTTTCAAAAAAGATCCTACATTTCCAGGAAATTACAGACCAATATCTCGTTTACCAATTATCGCCAAGATCTTGGAAAATTGCATGGCCACTCAAATTATAGAATTCTTTGAGACAAATGGATTTTTTTCTGGAACGCAAAATTGACTTGATATATTTTCGACCACAATAGCATTGCATTGGTAAACTTCTATCCGCAAGATACTAGATAGTTATGGTGTGAGGTCTGCAAAGAAGAAGATATCGGTAGGAGTGCCACAAGGATCTATCCTAGACCCCATACTATTTCTCATCTAGATTAATGACCTCTCAAACAATTGGACAATGCCCATCTTTGCAGATGAGACACATCAATATCCCTTGCACCTAACTCTCTGATGGAATTGGAAAAAGCCTAAATTCGTAGATTTTCGGGTCCACACATAAAAATAGTATACAGGGTGTTTCAGTTTATTGTTGCATAACTTTAGAATTCGATAGAACTTTTAAAATTAATGCATAAACTCTATATAAACATGGGTCGAAAAATGCGTGGCTTCCGAAATACAGAGTGTTTAAATTTACCTTTCAAAATAGTGTTTTTTAAATATTTCGTACAATATTTGATGTATAACAGTGAAAATTGGTATACAAGGGTTTTTCGGTACGACAAAACGAACCATGGGCATAGTTTTACTGTAGCCGCTATAGGGCGCTCTCTACTGTACCTGTAGTGTATTAAAATGACAGACAAATTTTTCTTAGTGCAATTTTTTGCTTTTTGAATAACAAAACTGATTCTTCGCACTTTTCTGCATAAAAAAGCTCTCTTGTAAATTTTCGTTATTGTTAGCCGTTTTTGAGATATTTCGATCTTTAAGGTTCGATGCATTTTTAATTATTTATGATAAAATAACGTTAAAAAGTCAGTATCTCGATAATTTTTAGAAGTAGTCTGTGCCTGCAAATATTTTTGAAATTGAAAGCAGAATAAGGTTAAACGTCAATTAGTTGACAGTTAGTTTTGTTGTCTGTTGAAACCTGAAACGTTTTTTTGCAATTTTTCACTGTTATACATAAAATATTGTTCGAAAGATTTAAAAAAAACTATTTTAGAAAGTAAATTTAAACACCCTGTATTTCGGAAGCTACGCATTTTTCGACCCATGTTTATATAGACTTTATGCATTAATTTTAAAAAATTTCTATCGAATCTTAAAGTTATGCAACAATAAACTGAAACACCCTGTATTTTAAAATCTATGTAGACTCGTACTTCTAGGAAGAGGACTCTGTCTGATCTCGGCGTCCAGCTTCTTCTTGATGGCGTTCACGTCTGGTTTGAAGTGTCCGTCGGGTCGTTTGTCAGGCAGCTTTGCCAGCTGCGAAGAGTGAAGCTGAAGCAACAGATGGTGAAGCTCGCATTCCAGGGCTTCTCGCTTAGATTTGGATTCGGTCAGTTCGGCGCGCATGTGGATCAGTTCGGCCTGGAACAATGATTTACAATGTGAAATTATTCGTAAATGGTAGCTAAAATGGGCGTACCCAGGGGGGGGGGGTCAAGCGAGGCAGCTGCCCCCTTCCCAGTAGCTCGGAAAAAATTAAATGAAAAGAACGTTTTTGATAAAAATGAATCAATATCTATTAGATGGGAAATTATTAGGATTAGTTGAAATATGTAACATATTAATTGATATTTGATGAATTAATTGAATATGGGATAATTTCAAGGCTTTCTCACCCACTTCTATTGCTTCGTTCCTTATGGGATTTTCAATGTTGCGTTTTTTATTGGCGACTGACCCAGTTTCCCGAAATTTAGCTACAAGTTTTAGAACAAATTTTCGATGCACGTTACTGTTCTCAAGTCGCTCATTAAATATTTCTGCTGTTCTATTAGCGCACTGATTATTTCCGAAAAATATTTCGATAATTTCAACTCTGTCTGCTGTGGAATATACCATGGTTAATTTATGTAATAAAGCGTTACCAGTTATTTTAGCAACAAAGTTTGGTCAAATCAATCGCAAACTATGTACTAAATTCCTATTTAAAATAAGTACGAGATATTTCCTTATCTTTCTTCAAGAAATAACCACAAAAAAACGCTCCAATAGCTATTTTCAACAACAAAATGATAAACAAACCATAGGCGTAGTGAAGAAAAGCATTTACTTATTAAGTAAATTCTTTTAGTCAAATTTCTTCTGAAAGTGGTACAAAGTAATCTGATGTACCTATTAGAGTCTACTTTAAGCTTTAACTCAAGAAATCTTCAAAACTACTGAACTGAAACTCATGTATTTGACATCATTATAAAGGGAATTGAAAGACCTTTAAAATAAGGTATCACTCGACCCCCCTTTCCATTAAAGATTTTAGGGTTGGTGTCATCCCCGCCCAGGGGGCTGCACGTGTTAACGTGATTTTTGCCAAACTTGTATCCCCCTCGAAAACAAAATCGACGGGTCTGAGCGTTTTTCCAAAAAAAAAAAAAACTGAGCTGCCAGTAAATGCGTCTGTTTCGTTTTCGATGCGCCACCCTGTATATCAAAAGACCAAGTTTGACTTTTATTGAATGTTGTGTCCTCTAAAGAAAATATTGATTGTGTCTAAAATCATCAGTAACGAAAAAAAAGATGAAGTCAAGTTTTTGGGAGTTATAGATTTACTGGTACTATTGGGCAGCCCTTTCAAAATCCAGTGATTATTCTATCGCAACTAGACCTTTTAGCAAAAACTATGTTAAATATTTTTCTGTCTAATAGCCAAGGATTACCTGAAGTTTTCTCGCGGTTACAGTACTTCCCTGGCCTACTGACTCGACTGAAAAAATGATCACTTTGCATGAATTTTGAGAGAAAAATTTGAAAAAATCATATACTCGTAGGTGGGAAATTAATTTCAGACCTAGGTATATAAAATTTGCGGTATAGCAATAATTCGTATTGATTCTAAGTATTGCAAACGACTAAATTATCACGTAAAAAAGCATCTCGTGCAATATTTGCATAAAGGTTTCAAAAAGGTAGTCCTATTAGTTTACCATATCCTTATGAGTTCTCAAATCATCGTGGAAGACTCTGTATCAATGGTTAAGACGTTGAAATCCAAACAGAAACGAAAATAGACAACGAACGAAAGCCTAGCAACTAACCAGGTTAGGGTCTAACACAATCTTTTAAGAAATGATGATGGCGTTGCGCGTAAGTGTCGAGTCAACCTACTTGACGGCATTTTTAATATTTGGCATGATGAATATTTTTATACACGTCACACGATTGGCTTTGATTACTCTACTATCATTGTGACAGCTCAGCCAAGAGTGAACGTCCCAGACGGCAATAAACCTAATTAAGGATTCAGTGTCGTGGACCCACTTTTTAATTTGGCAGTGATAGTTCACTTCCGAAATTGCTTCTTTATTTGTATAACCTTCAACTTGTATTAAAATTTTTATTGCCATCTACCAACTTGCTGATTTATTTTGGTGATATGCAATTTCATATTGAGCAGACTTTTTAATTTCAATCATTTTGAGTTTAGACAAAATTTACTTCTCACGCTAATTGACGAGAAAAAATTGGAACTGCATCGAAATCTATCGGAACACTGACTTTTGATGAAATTACTACTACAGAAGAGTAGAAAAAAAATAGAACGTACTCAAACTAGTTTACCGATATTTTTATGGCATAGTTGAAACATTTTCTGGAGCCACTCTTCCACTCGACGTTTTTCAACTTTCTGGTCACTTATTTCTTCTAACTTGAAATGTTCTTGTAGTTAAAATGTTGAATATGTCAACACGTGGAAAAGACCGAGTCAACCTACTTGACTCCATTTTTCGAAAATATTGAAGAATAATAATTAATATCTAGATATTGTATGATTTTTTTTTACGAGGTTGAAAATCATTTCGTCAAAAAGAGAATGAAAAGTGATATGAATTGTGACTCAAGAAGAAAAAGCTCAATTTTCCGAGAAAATGTAGATAGACGGCTGTGACTATTACGAAAGGCAAATGTGTCCCATTTGGTTTAATGCCAAAACACTGTAGTCTTCCGTATATTTGTTAAACTAAAATCTATTTTTACAATATCAAAAAAAAAAATAGCGCCAAGTAGGTTGACTATGCAATGCCGTCAGCAGTTCATACAAGATTAAGTTCAGCGCCATTTAAATATTCTAAGAATACAGTCAGTTACGAACATGTACAACTGAGAAATTAACCGGATCAAGTCAGTCAAACAGGCCTATATAATTAATCCATAGACATTACTTTCATACCCTACCGGTAGTTGTTGTCCATCTAGCAACGCTGCAGCGGGTCATCGTTCATTCCGAGTATGTTTTGTGCGATCAGTGCAGTGCAGATAGATTGGTCAGCCGGACTAGTCCGCCTGACGGTGAGCTTAGATAGCAAGAGTACGGGAAGTTTTAAAGGCAAATGTACGACGAAATTATGTTGTGAAATATGGCTAATAGGTGCATAGAGTTACCGGGGTTGGCAGCCTATTTATATACAAAGATCAAAAAATTTTCATACGCTCAGCGGCGTAGAAAGTAAAAAGAGTTCATATATTTAGTTAAAAATTGCAATAGTCACTTTTTGACATTGTTGAAATGAAATAAATAAATCAAGTATCAAATTCAGCTAGCAAACTGCTATAGGCAATATTTAGAAAAGTCGTATGGTTATAAAACTGCTTATAATGTTTCCAGGAATACGAGGTCTGTAAATTAAGTGATAGACTGGCAACGTAGCGTTGGCAACACTGGAGGCGCAGTGCATGGAGGGGAGACAGGGTAACATACGATCCGTCCAGGGTTGCCAGGCGTGGCGATTTGACTTTAAATGGCGACTAAAATATCTACCTTGACGATTGGCCTGCAAATTGGCAATATCTGGCGATTTTTAACATTTCTGAAATCTGGCGTATATGGTCAAATAAGAGGCCAAGGTGTCCTTTAAGGGTGACAATATAAAATTGTTATTATTGTATTTGAATAAAAAAAATTAAAAATCCGTCTCTTCACTTAATTTACAGACCTATATGCATATTTTTTTAAAAATCTGTACCACTGCTAATTTTGAGACGTCCGTAGCTAATTTCTCCATATGAATGTACATTTTTTTAGTCCATTATCTTTTTCCACTTGGCTTGTTTTTGTGTTTCGGCTGATTTATTAGATATTTAATAGACGAAATAAAAACTGAAAGAATTTGTGAACACTTATTATGTTTTGATTAATTGGCGTTTCGGCGTTACAGAATGTAAATTCTGGGAAAAAATACAGAAACAGCAAGCTGAAATACGAAGAGTTCATATAAACTTAGGTCAGGAAATTCCTCGTTTCCAGAATATGGAGTATTCGAAATGTATGATTAGCTAAAAATTGAAGGCTACCGATTTTTGCAAAAATCTGGATTCTGCTTGAAAATTGTATCTTGAAATTTTGAATTTTGTTTGTTGAAAGGATGACTATTTTTTGATAACGTTAAATAGACTTAATTTTTATTTCAGAAACGGTGCATCTGAACTTAAAACTCAAACAGGCTGTTTTTAAAGTATCTTATTAATAATGTGCAGGAACATCGGAGATGTCTATTTCTATTCGTTTTGATATGTACGAGGGTTGTTTAAAAAATAGGATTCCCACATTTTTTTCAGGCACAAGGAATTTTTTATTTGAAGAAATGAATCCTTTGATCTTCAAGCTATTTTTCTCCAAACTCGCCGTTTTTTCTGTCAAGGCTGCGAGGGGGGATGAGCAATGACTTCCCAGCCAAATCGCTCGATCAAGTCCTTCATCCAGGCTTTGGTGAGTTTTCCATTACGACGATTTTGGATTGCCCGTTTCAGCTTTTTAAAAACCTTGTATTGCCGGATCGTGACTCACCGATCTTTGAGCAAGATTTGCTCAATCTTCACCGCGACTTCCTCGGAGATCGACGGCCTCCTGCTTCGTTGTTCATCGTGGATGTTCGTGAGAGCACTATCTTCACCATTTGAGGACATGTTGAATAATTATACACGTTTTCCCAAATACTGTACTCAAGTGGCGATTAATTTCTATGGGTGGTAATGTTTTTGCGTGCAGAAATCGGATGACCTCACGAATTTCGCACCTGGCGGTAACGGCGATGTAGGAATCCACTCCACATAACTGTCGAGCATCGCAAATAGGCGCTTCTTGTTGAGATCGGTGGTGGGGGAACCGACAAACACGACTGTGTTGCCAGATTTCGCCTAGCGTCACGCGCGGTATAGATACGGTGTCGGGAACCCTATTTTTGAGTCAACCCTGGTAGTCGCGTTATATCATTTTCTTGTATTCATTTGAATCTGAATCACACCGTAAGAAACATTCTTAGAAACCAAACCACATTCCACACTTACAATGACAGGCAGATGTTTGTTGAAGATAAAATGGTAATAAAATCTAATCTAACACTTCTGCTGAGCTTATCGCGTGTCCTTTCTTGTTTCGAGATAAGAACTAGACCTCACAGCAACAAATGCAGATATTACTTCCCTATCTGATTTCATTCCATTTAAAATACAGGGTGTTTTATAATTACTGTACGAAACTTCAGAGGGTATAGTTGTAGACACCGTACTTGGCGGTTACGTCATCAACGCCATATGAAATAAGTAAACAGATCGAGTCTCCGTATCGTGGGCGGAATACTGCTCAGACTAATCTCCAGTACGCATATCTGTTGTATATCAATGCCTAATAAGTACTGAGTCAATCTACTTATCTAGGTTAGGCGAAATGGGTGGTACATTTGAGGATCATAAAATACAAAAAATATATGTATGTATATGTATATATATAGGTGAAAAATTAAAGCTTCCGCCTTTTGTTGGGTACTTCGACAAAATTTAAGCAAAGAGGACTCTTTATACTTTTTTTAATTCTCTCAAGCTTTCAATGGACTTTGCCATCATCATCATCAGGAGCTGCAATTACAATGATAACAGTAGCAACAAAAGTGTAAAATGAATTTAAATTGAATCAACTTACAGTAGTATGTGAGGATGTTGCTAATTGTTGTTTTCGTATAGGATGAGGGAAACGTCCACTAACATGGTGAGAGCTGGATACATGGTACAATGGTTAAAATTATATAAAATATGACAAGACAAGTTAAAGACAGATTAAAAATTATTTAGAAAACATTAGAGCATTACGTCGTGAAGCCACTTGATGATTGCACAAAATGGTCGTCATGGAATAATGAGTGAGATGAACCTTTGACAGAAGGCCGAAGGTTGTCAATGTCTGTGTTGAAAGATGGAACGAATTGTGGGCGTGTGCCAAAACGTTGCCAAATCATTTCAGATGATGTGATTTTCAGAATGTTATATAAGAAATTGTTAAACCGACCAGAGGCAGTTGAATAAACTATATTTTAATTAATGGGAATTTTAAATTAACAATTATTAATAAATCGTGAGAAGAGAATTATTAGATTTTGAGTGGAATGAAATTTGTTGGTGGAATCGGCCAAAACACAGATTATATATGTGGTTGTGAAAAGTCGAAATTTGGGGAGATATGTAAGTTCTCCAATTTTTCGCAGTTTAGCAAATAAGAGTAAATGACACTCAGTTGTTTAATATCTGTCTTTTTGTTGATACAGTTGTTATTCATGAAAATGTGGGACATTTCCAGGAATAAACGTTTGGAAAGGTGTTTTTTAATTTTTTTTTTTATTATTCCTGGAAATGGCCCACATTTTCATGAATAACAACTGTATCAACAAAAAGACAGATATTAAACAACTGAGTGTCATTTACTCTTATTTGCTAAACTGCGAAAAATTGGAGAACTTACATATCTCCCCAAATTTCGACTTTTCACAACCACATATATAATCTGTGTTTTGGCCGATTCCACCAACAAATTTCATTCCACTCAAAATCTAATAATTCTCTTCTCACGATTTATTAATAATTGTTAATTTAAAATTCCCATTAATTAAAATATATACTAAGTGACATATAAATCCGAACACCCAGTTTAAATGGTTTTATTTTAATAAAAGTTGGTGAATGTATTTATCTTACTGTAAATAACAAGTGAAAAAAATTTCAGCCTTATCAGTTGGACATTCCGGTTTTTATACTGCTTTTTTTTAATTCACTAACGCTCTAAAAATGAATATTTCAGCCGCAGTAAAGAATCAACTTTGGCGGATTTTGGTTCTTGACATCCTTTACGATCGGTTACGATGCCTAGAGTACGGAGACCTGTACGATTTCGTCAACTTAGTGAGTTTGATAGGGGGCCGTATAGTGGGACTTCGGGAAGCTGGACTTTCTTTTCGGGCAATTGCAGTTAGAGTGCAAAGAAATGTAGACACTGTGGTTAGGTGTTGTCAGGCATGGCTTCGAGAAGGCCGTACGCAAAGAGCAAGGGGCACTGGACGCCGCCGTAGAACAACAGACCGTGAAGATCGCCGCCTAAGATTATTGGCCTTAAGGGACCGTTTCTCCACTACCAGGTCCATTGCAAATGAATGGTTTGCAGAACACGGAAGACCTATTGGCATGCGAAGTGTTTAGCGACGAATGAGAAGTTTGGGCTTGTTTTCATACCGGCCACACTGGGTCCTCTCTTTAACTCGAGAACACCGACGTAATCGCCTTGAGTGGTGCAGACAACGGTCACTCTGGGATCAGGAATGGAACAGTACTGTCTTTAGTGACGAGTCTCGATTTTGTTTAGGCATGCACGATGGTCGTGCCAGGGTTAGAAGGCGACGTGGTGAAAGGAGGAATCCACAGTTTTTTGTTGAAAGACATGTTTATCACACTGTTGGAGTTATGGTTTGGGGTGCTATAGCTTATGGTTCCAGGTCACCTTTAATCTTCATCAGAGGTAACATGAACGCGCAGCGTTATATCCACGAAGTTCTAGAACCAAATCTTTTACCCTATCTTGACACCCTGGCAGATCCAACTTTCCAACAAGATAATGCCCGACCACATGTTGCAAGAGTCACAATAGACTTCTTTCAACATAATGATGTCACATTGTTACCATGGCCACCAAGATCTCCCGACTTATCCCCAATTGAGCACGTGTGGGATATGATAGGTAGGAGATTGCTCAATTTGCAACGTCCTCCTCAGACTCTAGAAGCACTTCGAGAGGAGTTGGTGGTTGCTTGGAATGAGATACCACAGGAGGACATTGACCACCTGATCAGAAGCATGCCTAGGCGCGTTGGAGAATGCGTAGCACATCAGGGTGCATCCACACATTATTAAAGGTCAAAGGGCTTTAAAGCAGTGCAATCATTTTGAAATTTTTATCATTTACTTATTATGCTTCATTAAGTACTTATACAAAATTTTATTAAAATAAAACCATTTAAACTGGGTGTTCGGATTTATATGTCACTTAGTATAGTTTATTCAACTGCCTCTGGTCGGTTTAACAATTTCTTACGTAACATTCTGAAAATCACATCATCTGAAGTGATTTGGCAACGTTTTGGCACACGCCCACAATTCGTTCCATCTTTCAACACACACATTGACAACCTTCGGCCTTCTGTCAAAGGTTCATCTCACTCATTATTCCATGACCACCATTTTGTGCAATCATCAAGTGGCTTCACGACGTAATGCTCTAATGTTTTCTAAATAATTTTTAATCTGTCTTTAACTTGTCTGGTCATATTTTATATAATTTTAACCATTGTACCATGTATCCAGCTCTCACCATGTTACTGGACGTTTCCCTCATCCTATACGAAAACAACAATTAGCAATATCCTCACATACTACTGTAAGTTGATTCAATTTAAATTCATTTTACACTTTTGTTGCTACTGTTATCATTGTAATTGCAGCTCCTGATGATGATGGCAAAGTCCATTGAAAGCTAGAGAGAATTAAAAAAAGCATAAAGAGTCCTCTTTGCTTAAATTTTGTCGAAGTACCCAACAAAAGGCGGAAGCTTTAATTTTTCACCTAACTGGTTTAGACGACAATGACCACGTCTCAAGTTATATATATATATAAAAACAGTTCGGTCATCATTTAAAAAAGCATCGCAGAAAGCTAAAGGTGCGTAATCTTGATATCCAAGTATTGCCAAAATATATAAATATTTCTCCTGTAGCGGTGTCAGTGACGACACCACCGCAGACTAGTTGGAGTTGGAGAACATTCTCTACTAATATGTAAAAATTCAGATCCTCTCTTAGCCCTCACCTCCTAATTTTTCACTCATATGACCGTGTACCACGCAACACCCTGTAACACAGACAGCGGCCTCAGAGTCTCGTTTCTCGTCAGAGCGCGGCCTACCGCGATATATCCGCGACCAGACTGTCACCACCACCACCACCAAAACAGTCGCGGCCGCCGCGGTCAAGCAAAGCACTCTAGATATCGATCCCGACATCGGCATCGCACCGGCGATTTTCTTTTGTTTTTTCGATCGATCGAGATTCGCGAGTGGTGCCGAGCGTGATGATGCGACTTGCGGGGCTACTGCTTGCATTTTTTGCGACTGTCCAAAGTAAGGCTGCGGATATTAGTAGCCAAGGCTTCAGGGTTGGACATGAAGGACTGCCACAGGTGGGTTATTTAACTCAAATTATCCTTTACCGCGGCTCGGCACGCAAACTGTACTGCCGTACTTAGGTAAATATCCAAGTTTCAGAAAATTGAGCTTGATATACTGGATTTTTTAGATTCAAATAAATAGTATTATTAGAACAGAACAAAAGTGAATGAATATTGTAAAGTTACATGACACATTTAAATGTGATTTCGGGTTGTTAAGGCCTGAAATAAATGACATTCCGTAAACAAATTTACTGCATTTTTTCGTAGTTTCTATAATCTGTATTATTTAAAAGGAAAACGTCAGTATTGCAGAATTTTATTATATTTTCATATCACTTAGACCTATTGAAATTCACATAAATAGTACAAAAATAAACCTTTACAACGTCTAATAATTCCATTTAATCATTATATGATTACACTTTATAATATTGCATTCAAAAAAATATAATTGTAAAAAGTATTTTTCAAAATTATTCTTTCGGAGCAATAACAATAAATAATGATTCGCAAATAACACTGGACAACAAATTTTAGTTTTTTAATTGTATCTTGTGGGAAAAGTGCACTTCGTTGTTAATTTTGGGGCGCTGAATCCAAAAATGACAATGAAATAAAAAAATTAGTTGCGGCTTAGAAAAAATACTTTTTATTTTTAAGGATATATTAAAAAAGGTAACAAGATTCATATACTTATAAGAATCACTATGTGCGCTGTCTTTTTGCTGTTCTTTTATGGATCGTTTCTGGAGCATCTCTACCAAGAGTCCAACAGTAGTCTGCAAGCATGGAACGACTCCACTTTCCCTGGTACCTTTTTTCCATTGTTGAAATATCCTGATGAAAACGTTCGCCGTGCTCATCACTTACGGCTCCGCAATTGTCAGGAAAAAAGTCCAGGTGTGAGTGTAGGAAATCTTTCTTAAGAGACATATTACAGCCCATCTTTTGATACGATGAAAGCATATTTTCGACAAGGGTTTTATAGTTGTCAGCTTGTCTATTTCCCAAGAAATTAGTGACCACCAGACGGAAATCATTCCAAGCAGTTTTTTCAATACCTGTTAAAGTGTTTTCAAACTGTGTATCTTTCAAAATATTTCGAATTTGTGGCCCAACAAAAATACCTTCTTTAACCTTTGCCTCACTTAGTCTTGGAAATTTCTGACGCAGGTATTGAAAAGCTGACCCATCTCTATCTAATTTCTTGACAAAGTTTCTCATTAGGCCCAACTTGATATGCAGTGGTGGTAATAAAATTTTTTTCGAATCTACTAATGGCATATGCTGTACATTTTTTTGACCTGGGTCTAGGAATTGACGAACAGGCCAGTTTTGTCTGGTGTAATGAAGTGCCTTTGCCCGACTGTCCCATTCACACAAAAAACAGCAAAACTTTGTGTAGCCTAGCTGCAGCCCAAGTAAAAGTGCAACAACTTTCAAATCGCCACAAATATGCCATTGGTGCTCATCGTATTTTATGCATGTCAATAGATACTTCATACTGTCATATGATTCTTTCATGTGAACTGCATACCCTACAGGAAGAGATGGTAAAATATTTCCAATATGCAATAACACTGCCTTTAAACTCAATGTTGAACTGTCTATAAACAATCTCCATTCTTCTGGGTTATAGTTTATATTTAAAGCCGCCAGTAACCCGTTAATGTTACTGCAGAAAACCAAGTTATTCTCCATATTGAAAAATGGTTCTAAGTCTTTGTGGCGTTTACGAAAAACACATACCAAAACATCGTCTTCTAACAAGTTCCACTGCCGCAGTCTTGATCCAAGTAACTCTGCCTTACATTTTGGAAGTTCTAAATCTCTTACAAGATCATTTAATTCTGACTGTGTTATTTTGTGCGGTTGGTGGCATGACGTGCTCGGTATAAAATCAGGATCTCTTGGCGCTGATGGCATATCTTCTTCCTGACGAATCACTCGATCGCGATGATCTGATTCGTTTTCTGATTCGCAAGTGTAGGATTCTGGGGGTTTTGGAATAGGATTTTCGTCACTGTGAGGCACAGGTCTCATCGCAGATGGTATGTTTGGGTAGTTAAAACCGATTTTTTTTTCTTGGACATACCTGTGGCTTGTCCAACACAAGGTACCATGCAAAAGTAACAATCATTAATATGATTTGTAGGCTCTCTCCAAACCATTGGGACAGCAAAGCGCATAGACCGTTTTTTGCCATTTAACCAGCTCCTCAGACTTGAAGCACATGTATTACAGCACACGTGGGGTGCCCACTGTTTGTCTTGATCACCTAGTTTACAACCGAAATAAAGCTGATATGCCTTTGTTATTAGTGGAGTAATAGACCGTCTCTGAGACGCAGAAGTCACATCACCACACACGTAACAAAACTGATCTGGATTGTTTACACACTTTCGAGACATCTTGCATGAATGCTGTCAGCCTACTGAGGAAAAAATGGCTAAATAAAACAATATAATGTACACGTATGTATAACGTAACACAATCATGCCGATTACATCATCTTTCCTTGCCGAATATAAAAATGTAGCACGTGCATTCTTGTGAATTACAGTATATTAACACTGTCACAGCAGGAACACATATAATTACCCTATCTCTAAAACTTGAACTAATATTGAAAAAATAAGTTTCATTCCGGTTTTAGCACATTAAAAATAGTAATATTTTGTTGATTTTATTTAGGATATTTTTTGGCTGTTGATCAGTGTAATCGAATTATTACATAAAAAAATGGCGTCAAGTCGATTGACTCTATACTTCCTATGCCTTTTCAATTCGCCCAGCGATCCCATCTTGAAATGTTTAGCTTTATTTTTAAGTTAAAATAATTATAGTATTATGCGTCAATTTTATTGTCCAGAAGCTCAGCATGCTAACTTAATCCATAAAAAAATAAGTAGTAGGGATATTCGATACGACCCGATATTTAGAAGTATCGATACTTGTGCTTCCGATACCCGATATTTTTACATACGATACTTTGTTGTATCGATACATATCACGAGCATTCTTATCTTTCTATCTTGACTGTGTCAGAAAAAGTGACTAGCTTTCAGATGACTTTTCTTTGTTTTCTTCCGCTGGTGCTACCCACTTCACGACCTCGCATAATTTATTTTGTTTTCCAGGGTTGCCACATTAGGGGATATCCCCAAAAAATCAGGGAATTTTTATTTCAATGGGGAAGGCACATATTTTGTTCTAGAGATTTCTTTTGGGGAAACACATTTTCTGGGTAGGTATTATTATGTAAAATTTTATTAATGACATTACATAATGTGCTTGTTATGTATTTATTTGTCTTTCAAAATACTTTTACCTCTTTGGGGTATTTAGCGACATACAAAAATATGTCACTCAAAAAAATATTTTAAAATGTAAGAATACCTAACAGGTCGTTTTAACCTATGGTAACAAAAGATAAATGGTATTTTTGGGGATGTTTTTTGAATTTAGCAAATTTTTACATTTCGACTGGGGAACTGAGCTAAGCGACCTGGCAACCCTGTTGTATTCGGTTTAACGGGGAATCACACACACCTGACTCACAGTGTTCATAGTATTGATTGATTAAACGTTATAGTTTAAAACAAAAAATTATTGTGATAGTGATGCTTCCTGTAAAAAGCGATTTGTGGATCTATTTTGTAAAATCGAGTTTAGGTGGTAGATGTAAGTTTTGCAATTGTGGGTTTTTTACCTATTTCCATTAGTGAACATATTCGACAATCTTCGATACTTTTATTGCGATATTTTAGAGTATCGAATCTTCCTAAAACGATACACGGTATCGATACTTTTCGTGGATCGGAACATCCCTAATAAGTAGGTGGGAGGGCTTTTTAAAAAGCACTGAGTACTTCTGACACATAAGCAAACTCGTGATTTGTAATATATTTCTCCAACAATGAACGATTTGTTTATCGAAGTTTTACGAAATAATATGTGATTAGGTATATTTCATATTCCAAAACATATTGTTTCCATAAACTAGGTACGCAAGTGAGATATTCATATCGCTACGACTAGATTATCTGATGTCGAGCTCTTAACGCAAGCACTAAATGTATGTGCTTAATAATCAGCGATTTTGATTTTTTTTATGAAACTTTAATGCAGCACTTGCACTGACAATACAACTCCAGAGACACCTCACATGTCAAAATTCTTCAAGCCGTTGGATCTGTAGCGCATGAAATATAATCAGTCTTGCCTATACGAGCCCCTTCCCACTTCAGTTGGCCCAACTATTGAAATCTTAGTTTTTTTCTTATCATACACAAATAATAAAAATGTAGCAGGGTTTTATAGGTTTCAAATATTAACAATGAATATTTCGATAATACAGGTATATAGTAGAAAACACCAACTTTATCACTCCCTAATCAAATTTGCAGCATAAAAATAACACATGTTGCAATTCAGCATATCAACCAATTTTCATTTCAATGCAAAATAAGTCTATAACGCATAGGTGGCTGTGAAAAATAAAAGCCATGACAATTGTTTTTATTAATCACAGCTGTCAGAATACGTTTAAAATAGTTTTGGGTAGTTAAGGTTTTCAAAATGGGTGGAGGAAAGGTTATTATTGAGAAAATTCGGTTACTGATAATTAAATTTTTTAATTCTGAGAAATAAAACTCAGAAATTGCAACTTTGTTAGACTTATCGCGGTTCAGTATGAGAAATATTGTTAGAAGATATAACGTAACTGGTTCAGTTAATATTAAGCCACGATATGTGAAAAAAAGTAATATCACAAATGCCGACCGAAGAGCATTAAGAAGAATAATCGTGAAAAGCAGGCGTGCCAATTATTTACAATTAAGTGCTCTGTGGAGTGACGCTGTTGGAAGGAGAATTTCGAGGTCCACAACTCATAGAGAGGCCCACAAACTGGGATTTAGCACTTGCAAGGTAAATTTTCTTATAAAAAAAGTGAAGTAAAAACCCTAAAGTTGCACAACTTGTTTATAGGACAAAGAAAAGCCACTATTAACTCCACTGCAAAAGAAAAATCGGCTTAGATGGGCTAAAGAACATAGACAATGGACACCTCAACAATGGTGTGCAATACAATGGAGTGAAGAGGCGCGATTCGAAGTTTGTATTGGTGACAGTCGCAGTAGTTATTCGCAAAAAAATGAAGCATTCCATGTTGACTGTCTGAAGAAAAGTGAAATTTCCAGCATCCATTATGGTCTGGGGCAGTAAGTCATCAAAAGGAAAACTTCATTCTATTGATGGAAATGTGGATACAAACAAATATTTGGCAATTTTAGAAGAATCGCTTTTACCAGCGACGGAAGAATGTTTGACATCCGGCCAAGATTTTGTGTTTCAGTAAGATGGTGCAGCGTGCCATACCTCAAAAAAGGCTATGTGCTAAAACCGGAATGAAACTTATTTTTTCAATATTAGTTCAAGTTTTAGAGATACGGTAATTATATGTGTTCCTGCTGTGACAGTGTTAATATACTGTAATTCACAAGGATGCACGTGCTACATTTTTATATTCGGCAAGGAAAGATGATGTAATCGGCATGATTGTGTTACGTTATACATACGTGTACATTATATTGTTTTATATTAGCCATTTTTTCCTCAGTTGGCTGACAGCGTTCATGCAAGATGTCTCGAAAGTGTGTAAACAATCCAGATCAGTTTTGTTACGTGTGTGGTGATGTGACTTTTACGTCTCAGAGACGGTCTATTACTCCACTAATAACAAAGGCATATCAGCTTTATTTCGGTTGTAAACTAGGTGATCAAGACAAACAGTGGGCACCCCACATCTGCTGTAATACATGTGCTTCAAGTCTGAGGAGCTGGTTAAATGGCAAAAAACGGTCTATGCGCTTTGCTGTCCCAATGGTTTGGAGAGAGCCTACAAATCATATTAATGATTGTTACTTTTGCATGGTACCTTGTGTTGGACAAGCCACAGGTATGTCCAAGAAAAAAAAATCGGTTATTAACTACACAAACATACCATCCGCGATGAGACCTGTGCCTCACAGTGACGAAAATCCTATTCCAAAACCCCCAGAATCCTACACTTGCGAATCAGAAAACGAATCAGATCATGGCGATCGAGTGATTCGTCAGGAAGAAGATATGCCATCAACGTCAAGAGATCCTGATTTTATACCGAGCACGTCATGCCACCAACCGCACAAAATAACACAGTCAGAATTAAATGATCTTGTAAGAGATTTAGAACTTCCAAAATGTAAGGCAGAGTTACTTGGATCAAGACTGCAGCAGTGGAACTTGTTAGAAGACGATGTTTCGGTGTGTGTTTTTCGTAAACGCCACAAAGACTTAGAACCATTTTTCAATATGGAGAATAACTTGGTTTTCTGCAGTAACATTAACGGCTTACTGGCGGCTTTAAATATAAACTATAACCCAGAAGAATGGAGATTGTTTATAGACAGTTCAACATTGAGTTTAAAGGCAGTGTTATTGCATATTGGAAATATTTTACCATCTCTTCCTGTAGGGTATGCAGTTCACATGAAAGAATCATATGACAATATGAAGTACCTATTGACATGCATAAAATACGATGAGCACCAATGGCATATTTGTGGCGATTTGAAAGTTGTTGCACTTTTACTTGGGCTGCAGCTAGGCTACACAAAGTTTTGCTGTTTTTTGTGTGAATGGGACAGTCGGGCAAAGGCACTTCATTACACCAGACAAAACTGGCCTGTTCGTCAATTCCTAGAGCCAGGTCAAAAAAATGTACAGCATATGCCATTAGTAGATTCGAAAAAAAATTTATTACCACCACTGCATATCAAGTTGGGCCTAATGAAAAACTTTGTCAAGGAATTAGATAGAGATGGGTCAGCTTTTCAATACCTGCGTCAGAAATTTCCAAGACTAAGTGAGGCAAAGGTTAAAGAAGGTATTTTTGTTGGGCCACAGATTCGAAATATTTTGAAAGATACACAGTTTGAAAACACTTTAACAGGTATTGAAAAAACTGCTTGGAATGATTTCCGTCTGGTGGTCACTAATTTCTTGGGAAATAGAAAAGCTGACAACTATAAAACCCTTGTCAAAAATATGCTGTCATCGTATCAAAAGATGGGCTGTAATATGTCTCTTAAGATACATTTCCTACACTCACACCTGGACTTTTTTCCTGACAATTGCGGAGCCGTAAGTGATGAGCACGGCGAACGTTTTCATCAGGATATTTCAACAATGGAAAAAAGGTACCAGGGAAAGTGGAATCCTTCCATGCTTGCAGACTACTGTTGGACTCTTGGTAGAGATGCTCCAGAAACGATCCATAAAAGAACGGCAAAAAGACAGCGCATATAGTGATTCTTATAAGTATATGAATCTTGTTACTTTTTTTAATATATCCTTAAAAATAAAAAGTTTTTTTTCTAAACCGCAACAATTTTTTTTATTTCATTGTCATTTTTGGATTCAGCGCCCCAAAATTAACAAAGAAGTGCACTTTTCCCACAAGATACAATTAAAAAACTAAAATTTGTTGTCCAGTGTAATGTACCACTTTTGAAATGGGTTTCTAGCAGTCCAGATCTGTCACCTATTGAAACTTTGTCGCACGAGATGAAAAAGGTTCTACGACAACATCCTGCTCGTACAATCACCGAACTGAGACAAAAGCTTCAAGAAACATGGGATTGTTTTACACCAAATTTTTGACAAAACTTGGTTAACACTATGCCCCAAAGAATTTCAGCCGTAATAAAAAATAAAGGTGATGTTACCCAATGGTAATCTTTCAATTGTTGCTTTGTTAACTTCGCGCATTTATTCGCACATTGTTTATTTGTTCAATGTTCTATTAGTTATAGGTCTAAGTGATCTCAAATATGTATTTTTACGACTAGAGTGTATCTAAAATGTTTTTTAGAAAATAAATTGGTTTAGAAGTAAATAGTTTCGTTATGGCATATTTTGGTACAAATCTTGAAGTGGGCCAACTGAAGTGAGAAGGGGCTCGTATTATATGCATATAACCCTCTTTCTGAGGCAGCACCTTTTTCAAATTTCAATGGAGTGACCTATCAAAAACTTTAATCATTCTAAATGAAAATTTATAATCAGTTCGTAATAAATATAAAACACAGCGAAATTGTAACTACTCATTTATTGAATAACGATCACATGCTCAAGAATTAAACAATCCATCAATTTCATCTTCTATCCTATCCAAACTAAGCTTCCGAATGTCATCCTTCATACCTTTAAATACAATCAAAGGCTTACTGTCATTAACAACTTCCCCATACTGTCTCAGCTCATCCTTAAATTCGTATTTATCACTGATGACAAAAGGAACTTTACGACGATACTTCATAGCTAGTTCCAGCATTTTTTTCCTCCAATATTTCGACTCTTTCGGGTTAATCTCATAATTGAAGATACAGTACATTATTATCAAAGGTGTTTGAAACTCCTCTTTGTTGGTTAACTTCCTATGTGGCACCAGGCCTCTATGAAGCCTCAAAATGAAATCTGTCAGCCTTTTCACTGTTGGTTTACCTCTCGGCTTGTACCTAACCACAGGTTCCTCGTGTTCGTTGTGAAGATGTGGCGGCTGATAAAAAAATATCCCCTGTATATCGATATTGTTCAAGATATTCTTGGAGACACACAGACCGAACTGGATATCATCATACCCTCTTTTCATTGCGTAATTCGTATCAACGAAGGCATTGAACATTTCTGTTTGGAGCTTGAAAAAACCGACTACAGACGACTTGTTAGAGGTGGTGAACTGTTGCAAGTCTTTTCTCGATACGATTTTGGTTGGCGCGTAGTAATAACGTTGAGCTTTTTCGAATATGTCACCGATCATTGCGTCTACATCGCTTTCGTTTTTGTATATGCCTCTCCAACCGGACTCTAAAATTAAATGCTTATTCATTAAGATTATAATATATATATATATACAGGGTGTCCGCAAAGTTGGGGTTTTCCTTTACACGACGTGTAGATCTTGAAAACATAAGCAATTTTTCTTAGTACCATATACACCAATGTCTTAAGGGAACCGAGATAAAGGGCTCTGCAACATCAAAAATATCTAAATACCGTCCTGTAGCCGCGACTCGCGACATCCCCGACTGGTACTAGGACACTAGCTCAACCCGACGACAGAACTGGGTCGGGGTCAGTGTGTCAGGTCAGTATGCAACCTTCAACCGACGGTTACGGTCACGCGTGTAGAGGTAAACGAACCCGTATAATCGATTGCGTTTCAAAAAACAACAAGCACTAGAGACGTCGCTAGAGAAGTGCAAGTATCGAAAACTAAAGTGTGGCAAACGCTGCGTGAAGAGGGGCTGTATCCGTTTCACGTCCAACGTGTACAAGCCCTTCAACCTGACGATTTTCCAGCAAGAGTGCGGTTTTGTGAGTGGTTGTTGCATCAACATGACAATAATCCGGGCTTTTTGAAGTGCATATTGGTGACAGACGAATCTACGTTCACGCGTAATGGGGTGAATAACTTTCGCAACACTCATGTTTGGTCAGTAGAAAATCCGCACGCTGTCCGTCGGGCACATTTTCAACAAACATTTTCGGTGAATGTTTGGGCTGGCATGGTGAACGGTATGCTCATTGGACCATTTATTCTCCCAAATCGATTGGACGGAATGCAATACCTAGACTTTTTATGCAACATTTTTCCTTCCTTGTTAGAAGATGTGTCATTAAGTGTAAGACAATCAATGTGGTTTCTGCACGATGGTCATATTTGTTACCTCTGTTCGTGGTCTGCACCACCGCCGGCGTCTGCTGGGTAGCGCATCAGCTGATTTCATTTTCTGTTGGAGCGGTATGATTTCGGGCAGAGACGTACTTAGCCCTTCTCATCAACTGGAGAGTGAGTACTTTTTCCTTTATTTTTTTTACTAAAATCTAATATACTTGGTTTGCAGTACTAAAGGGTATCCCAAAAGATACTTGAATTTGGCACCGAATTTTGACGACTTGACTCAAATGACAGTTTTGTTTCCGCAACAAAATCCCCAAGTTTATATTGAGGCGTTGGATATTTTCCAAGAATTTGATTACAGAAGAAGGTGTGACCCGGGTTTTATCGAATTTATATTATTAGGAGAAAAAACTGTTGAAACATACATTGTGGTGTGTGAAGAAGCGATTGAGGTACGGATGACTACGTAGTTTGCAGATTTTGATTTTTTAATGGTTATGTTACTGTTTTGAAGAAAGCATTTTACGTTTTGAATTACTTACTACTTGCATTGGAACAGATACAACTAAGACCAAACTCTAAAAAATTTAGAGATATACAGGGTGTCCGCAAAGTTGGGGTTTTCCTTTTCAGAAACAACTACCCTTGAAATAACAAAGGTAATGTGTAGTAATAAAGGAAAAAGTACTCACTCTCCAGTTGACGAGAAGGGCTAAGTACGTCTCTGCCCGAAATCATACCGCTCCAACAGAAAATGAAATCAGCTGATGCGCTACCGAGCAGACGCACCATGCCAGTCCAAACATTCACCGAAAATGTTTGTTGAAAATGTGCCCGACGTGCGGATTTTCTACTGACCAAACATGAGTGTTGCGAAAGTTATTCACCCCATTACGAGTGAATGTAGATTCGTCTGTCACCAATATGCACTTCAAAAAGTCCGGATTATTGTCATGTTGATGCAACAACCACTCACAAAACCGCACTCTTGCTGGAAAATCGTCAGGTTGAAGGGCTTGTACACGTTGGACGTGAAACGGATACAGCCCCTCTTCACGCAGCGTTTGCCACACTTTAGTTTTTGGTACTTGCACTTCTCTAGCCACGTCTCTAGTGCTTGTTGAGGGATTCTCGTCTACGCGATTACCTCTACACGCGTGACCGTAACCGTCGGTTGAAGGTTGCATACTGACCTGACACACTGACCCCGACCCAGTTCTGTCGTCGGGTTGAGCCAGTGACCTTGTACCACTCGGTGATGTCGCGGGTCGCGGCTACAGGACGGTATTCAGATATTTTTGATGTTGCAGAGCCCTTTATCTCGGTTTCCTTAAGACATTGGTGTATATGGTACTAAGAAAAATTGCTTATGTTTTCAAGATCTACAAGTAAAGGAAAACCCCAACTTTGCGGACACCCTGTATATCGGTATATTTACCGAATCCAGATAAAAATTCGCACTCTACAGCCCTACATAACCTCAAATGCACTAGCGTCGCGACTCAAAGGAGAGAAAATACTGGAATAAAAAGACCGCTGCAATGGAAATGTTCACGTCTACGCATAATTACATATTTTCTTTGTCGATATCTACATTACAGCTAAACATTTAGCCATAGCATATTAAAGCGAAAAAAGTGTGCAGAGTGTCGTACCTCTTATAATTGTCATACCTGTGCCAGTCACAAACTAAATATTCTGGTTATAAAACTGCAATTAAATGTTTTGCGATGAATTAGAAAAACTGGGAATGTCAAGACCATTCGTACCGCAATCGCTTTTCCAGACACCATAAAATATATTTTGAATCTGAATTTTCTCTCCTATACTACAACTATTTAAAACTGTAATGACTCATACGCGTGATCAACACGTGATCAGAGCTCGATCCCGGCTTCCTTCCAGTACAGCCGTATAGCGTACGACATATGTCGTTTCTGTGGCTTTGCGGTGGTCAACAGCACAGACAGAAATGGAAATAATGGCTGATTGTTCTCCGCCGGTAGAACCAATGAAATCAAAGACGCGCCTCGACCGGCAGACTCATAGGCGTCGGCAACGCATTGGAACGTGTTTCGTTGAGCGATCGCATATTGTATGTTTTTATAAGCATTGTTGTGTGATTGTTATTGTTGTGGTTTCTGTGGTTACTGTTTTGGTTATACTTAACCATGGAGAGTACAAATGGCACGAGTGGAAGTACTGAAAGCCAGGGAACAAGTAGACGGCTTCGTAAAGCACTGAAGAGGGACGCGAAAGAAATCGTGCTCAACGTGTTCAATTATCTGAACAGAACTATGTCGCAGGGAGATGCACTCGCGCGTTGTGAAAGTATGACAGGCGTTGAAGAGTGGACCATTCGCAGGGTGGTGCATGAAAAGAAGGAAACTGGAGCTACTACTGAAAGGCCCTTAAATTGGATGACGATAGCAAAATGGCGTTAAGGCGAACCGTACATTCATTCTTCTTTAGGAATGAGATACCAACCCTCAAGGCTGTACATGCAGCGATCAAGGAAAATGAAATTATACCCCAAATGAGCGTCGAGGTAATGAGGAAATCCCTGCACGAAATTAATTTTCGTTACGAAACGCGTAATCGGAAGTCAGTATTGATAGAGAGACCTGAAACAGTCGCCTGGCGTCGAAAATACCTACGCGAAATGATTGAATATAGGCGACAAAGCAGAAAAATCTATTATTTGGACGAGACATGGGTAAATGCAGGTCACACAGTTAAAAAAACCTGGATAGACAAAAACGTAGTGAGTAGCCGACAAGCAAGCATTGAAGGTTTGTCAACAGGTCTTCGTGGACCGTCAAGGAAAGGTCAAAGATTGATCGTAACTCATATTGGTAGCGATAGTGGCTTTTTAGAAGAGTGTGACTTGATTTTCGTCTTTAAGAAAGGAGGTGATTACCATGACGAAATGAATGCCAGCTGCTTCGAGAGCTGGTTTCAAGGGGTGCTTCAGCGAGTTGAGCCCAACTCTGTGATCGTCATGGATAATGCTTCCTACCATAGTCGTCGAGCCGAACGTGTACCGACTATGGGATCTCGAAAAAGTGACATGCAGCAATGGTTGCGCGAAAAAGGAATCCCGTTTGACGATTCATGTGTGAAAGCGGAATTGTATAAAAAAATTAAACAGCACAAACCTGCGAACATTAGTTACGTGACTGATGAGATGGCGCCCGTCAATGTGGTGTCACTGTGCTGCGGTTACCGCCTTACCACTGTGAACAGAACCCAATAGAGCTCATCTGGGCTCAAGTGAAGGGTTATATTGCGCGCCATAACACAACCTTCAAATTACCAGACGTTAAGGTTTTACTTGAGACTTCCATACAGCTAGTAACGCCCGAAGCTTGGCAGAATGCTATCCGTCATGTTGTGAAGGAAGAAACAAAAATGTGGCAGCTTGACCACCACATCGACACCATCATAGAGCCAGTTATAGTCAATTTCAACGAGGAAAGCGATAGCGACAGTTTATTACTGTCAGATGTAAGTGGAAGCGACGATGAATAAAGGTAATTCCCAAATGTTTGAGTTACAATGTGTTTCAAACCACTCTTTATTAAGCATGTGACAAATCTAGTTCACCCTTGTTAAACATTCATACCCCGCCTATGAACAGCCGACTACTGGTAGTTAAGTGATGTACACGTGAACATCGATGAGTCATTACAGTTTTAGATAGTTATAGTATAGTAATAAAAAATTGGCTAAAACCCAATCAAATTTTGACTAGCTAAAGCCTTAAATTTCTTGTCAAAACTGTGTTTACCTGTAAGTTCGTATTTATACCCTTTGTCGACATAAGTGGACAACGCAGACGTTTTGTTCAACCTCGTTCCATTTCCAAATCCCAATATTTTCGGAAAGGTCCTTACGTAAAACCTTCGACAAATATTCCTTTCGTTATCACAATTTACTTTCGCCAATCTAGCTTCATCGTCAAGTTTTTCTTTCAAGTAATCCACTATCATGTCCACAGTTTTGCAGTACTTACATTTGGGACTGTAGAATATTACCAGCGTGTCGTTTTTCGAAACTTCCGATTCGAAATTCGACTCTTTTAGCTGTAGAACGTTTGCTTGCGTACGAACGAGAAAATATAACGAAAGAACGACAAGCAATCTAAGATTAAACGACATGGTTTAGGACATGACAGCTGTCTGACGGTTAAATACAAAAACTTTGATTACCGTGAGGATCACTGTTTGACAAATACTTGTCAAACGAATGTGTTGAAGATTTATTTAGCATTAATGCTACAATGTCAATTGAGTATAATACAGGGTGTAAACGTTATGGTAGTCATTATTGAAATGGGTAATAGGGGTTGTCAAAACAAGTCAAAAAGTTCGTATGACCCATGGCCCAAAGATTTTTGTATAAATGGCTTTATAGTTTACAACTTTAAGTGCTTTATATCGACCACAATCTTACTAATTTTTATAATCTAATCTAAAATGTTTTTAAATTGGGTAATTAGCAAATAAATGGCATTAAGTTCTTCTAAGTTAAGCCAAAATTTGTAGTCAGTATGTTTCATTAAATTAGATATTTAAAACACACATGACAACAGCGCGTCGGTCTTTCATCACTCTTATCGAACCGGCAATAATTTTAATAATAATAATAAAATGTCTTTATTAGGCACATTATATACACTACAACATAATGTGACCTCTACGTAGGCGAAGTCTAGCTCTTGGCTACTCTACTTAACCTACCCAAATAATAAATTGAAACACTCAATCAAAGGAAACTTTGACAAGCAGCAAAAGACGCTTCAAAACAACGAGCTTGATAGCTTCCTAACATACATATATACACACATATATTACGTAAAATAAAATAAAATGTAAGAATTAAAAACTAACTTTTCCACAATTACTACAATGACAAATAAATCTGTTTCACATGCTTACGAAATCTGTTTACTGGTCAATCCTTTATATTGTCATCTAATTCGTTATAAATCAGGATAGCATTGTAAGTGTATGAACTACGAAATAAAGTTGTTTTATACATAGGGATCTCTAGTCTTTTTTTGTGTCTGAAATCAATGTCTGAATTATTTCGTCTGAAAACGAATTTCTCATAAAGATACAAGGGGGATCTAGAAGATATGATCTTATGTGTAAACACTGCTATATGGTACTTGCAAGCATTTTCTATACACATCCAACCAAGCTGAAATCTCTTTAAGGAAACATGATCATACTTCTTGAGATTAAATACAAATCGACAACAAGTATTTTGGAGTTTTTGGAGTCTTGCTTTTGTGATAGAATCAAGACAATGATAGAACACAGTGCTACAGTAAAATAAGCTTGGAAATATAATAGCCTCACATACTTTTTTCTAACTTTAAAATTCAAAATAGAGCGATTGACATAAAAACACTTCAAAGTTGCATAACATTTTTTTTAAGATAGACGAAACATGCTCCTTAAATCGTAAAGTATAATCAATAATCAACCCTAAATTTTTTGTAGTATTTACGACAGCTAGACGCTCCTTGTCGATTTTTACATCAAGAGAATACAATATAGTGTTACGTTTGACAGCAGGACAAAAAAGCATCACTGAGCACTTATCCTTATTGAGCTTAAGATTGTTACCATTTGAGTATCCTACTATTGCCTCCAAATCATCATTAAGCTCATTGATTGAAGTATGCAAAGTGTTACTATTAAAGCTCTTATATATCTGTGTATCATCGGCATCGCACATCACAGAAGAGTTTTTCACAGAGCTACCCAAGTCTATAGTATAAATTAAGTACAAGGACCCTAAAACTGAACCCTGAGGGACACCTGATGTTATATCAATCGGACTAGATATAGTGTTGTCTATCTCTACTACTTGTTTACGATTTGAAAGATATGTTATAAAAAACATTAGAGGTATGTCTGAAAAACCAAAAAACTTCAATTTAGCACATAAAATCTCATGATCTATTTTATCGAACGCCTTAGAATAATCTAATGATACAAGTGCTGAAGCATCTCCTTTATCAAGCGAAGCAATGATGTCATCTAAAACCCTTGCTAAAGCTGTAGTTGTACTAAAACCACTGCGGAAACCAGATTGACACTTGGGAAAGAAATCATTATTAGAGAAATAATGATAAACCTGATGTTTAATCAATTTCTCCAATATCTTCGATATAACAGGAATCAAAGTTATAGGTCTTAAGTCTGAGAGACATTTTGGATTTTTACATTTAGGCAAGGGCTTGACAAGAGATAGTTTCCAAGCATCAGGGAAATACCCAGCCTCCAGGCAACAGTTCAATAAATGCGTCAGTGGTAGTAATACTCGAGGCAAGCAAAGCTTCAGCATTGAGACTGTTATACCATCCGAACCTGCTGCATTAGATTTTAGGGACAGAATAATGTCTAGCACATTTTGTGGGGTAGCAAAACTAAATTCAAATCTAGCACTTTCATTAATTTTGGTACTATTAAATTTATCAACTAGATCCTTGCAATTGCCCGAAGGCGTGAAAACGGAAGAAAAATAATTGTTTACTTCATCGGCATTTTTCAACTGTGTAGGTAAAGATCTATCTACATTAGTTTTGAGTTTCAATGAATGTACAGCTTTCCAGAGATGCTTGTTACTATTTAGTTGTTCATTGAAGCTTAGATATGCTGCTTTCTCCCGCCTAATAGCGGAAATGACATCATTTCTTAATTTCTGGTAATATTCGAGACTAGCTGGACTTTTTAAAATCTGATATTTTCTAAATGCTTTATTTCTCTCAGAGATCAAAAATTTTATGCCACCTGTGAGCCATGGAGCATAAGGTTTAGTAATACGTGCTGAAACAACAGGAGCATGGACATCAAACAAATCCAAAATATGATTAGAAAAAAACGTAGCTTTATCCTCTAAGTTACTGATGTAATATATATCGTCCCATGGGATTTTATACAAATCCACCAAAAAACTGATCTTTACAACAGTGTTTAAAGTCTCTATATTTGAAAGTCTTTTGAAAATTCTTAGGCCGTGTGACGTTGAAGTCACATCTGACTACATTATGATCTGACAAATTCGGAACAGGTGCAGAGCTAGTTGAAATTAATGATTCAGCTAAGTTATTTGTTGTACAAATGACATCTATGGAGGTTGCCGTGGTTAAAGTTATCCTAGTTGGTTGGGTGATGTGAGATGCCATATCGTAGCACGCAATGCAATCTAGAAAAGAATGGTCAGTAAGTTGATCAATGTTTATATCACCCAGCAAGCATATATTATCATACTGAGGAGACACAAATGAGAGAAAGTTGTCTATATGATCAATAAAACTTGATAATCTGCTCGAAGGAGCTCTGTAGATAACACAAACCAAAATTTTTAGATCGCAAACGCTAACAGTGGTTAGTTATCGTTTTGCATAGAAAAATTACTTTATCGTTTTGTCGAGCAGAGCATCGGCCGTGTTGTTTTGTTTTTGTTCGCGTACGTCGTCGTGTTTATTTACAATGTTCTCGAATCAAGAGTTCGCCCACATGTTGTTAGTTTACGGTGAAGCTCGTCAGAATTCAAATCTTGCAGCTCAAATTTATAATAATAATAATAAATGTCTTTATTAATCAGCATACATCAGTGAGGCGAAGTTTAGCCAAATGGCTACTCTTACACTTAACCTCACTGTGTACGAAAGAGTAACACAGTTAAACTCGATACACAAACAAACAATAGTAATAATAAGAAAAAGAAACATATGCACACTTGAACTATTAATATCCCATCAGCTGTTTCTTAACGAGTCTCCTGAAAGGCACTATTGTTTTACTGCGACATATTTTATCTGTAGAGTTGTATAACTTGACAGCATGAAATGTGAAGCTTTTCTGGAAAAGGGCTGTATAGTGGACTGGCATCGCAAAATTTAGGTTGTGTCTGAGATTTCTCTGATTAATGTTACCTCTTGGTACTAGCTTTTCTAAAATGTACGGTGGTTTTTTTGTGCGAACTACTTTATGGACAAACACCTTCATACCATAAACAAACTGTGATTCCATCTTTAACCAATTTAAATCTTTAATCTTCGAAGAGACATGACTATATTTACGAAGTCCAAATACAAACCTGCAGCAGCCGTTTTGAATTTTTTGTAACCTATACCGATCCGACGAATCCAAATAAGAATAGAATAAAATCAGAGAATGTTGCAAAGATGACAGGATCAAGCTTTCAACTAATTTTTTCCTAGTCTTAAAGTTTAAAATGAAACGGTTGGAATATAAAAGTTTTAATTTGGCATATGTTTTTTGAGACAGATTTCGCCGACGGGTACACCCAGACATTTGTGCAAGTGTACCAAAGACTTCGAGATACAGGAAGTGTTCAGCCCACTAATATTCGCACTCGTGAAAGACAGGTTACTGTAGAGCAGGAGGAACAAATTTTAAATAACGTGGAAATCAATGCAGATATCAGCACTCGGGAATTAGGCCGCCGCGTAGCGCTATCGCATATCATAGTCCATAGAATCCTACGGGAAAATTTGCTTCATCCCTACCATGTACAACGAGTGAGGCCTTGTTACCAGAAGACTATCCTCGAAGACTAACATTCTGTTAGTGGTTTTTGCACAAAAACATTGAAAATCCAGATTTTTTTAAAAACATTCTAGCGACGATAAATCATTGATAAATATTACGAACAATAAAGGTCCTAAATTGGACCCATGAGGTACACCACATGTTGCAGTATAAGGCTTGGATTTTGGCCATATTCCACGTACATGCTCCTTTCCATGATATATGACTTTATGAGAAGCAGTAAAGGGTCTGACAAGCCAACAGATTCGAGCTTAGCCAATAACAAGTTACGATCTATTTGATCAAGCGCCTTTTGAATGTAAGTGTGTTTGACATCCAATTGACCTTGATCATTCAAAACCTCACAAATGTTAAACAAGTCAACTTTATGACTGTTTGACCTCACAGACATAAACCCATGACTGAATATCAGAAATAGATAAGCTCAAAGAGCCATACAACACATCGTAAATTAGAATCTCAAAAAACTTGCTAGAGCTACAAAGTATTGCTATTTGCCTATAGTTACAAATATCGCGGACATCACCTTTTTTGCAAATCGATCATATGAAATTCTCTGTAGATAGTTCTACACTATGAGAAAAAGCTAAGCAGAAACCTGACGGGTGCGTCTGGCACAACCAGAAAGTAGCAACACAACCCGGTTTTTTCATCATTCTTCTTTATTTTGGCAGCCAAATCCACAGAATCTACACCAGTTTAACAGCTTTACGAACCAAGACAAACTCGAACAAATATGCCAAATCATCATGGCGCAAGGCGAGTTGATCAACTTTTTCGGTAGAAAATTGGACGCCTTTGACATGAAACTAAACGTGTTCGAATCGTCGGTGTTGAAACAACTGAACATGATGCATGAGCAGCTGGTCGGCCAGAAGAACATTCCAAATGTGGAAGCTTTGGAAAGAAACCTCGCAGCGAAATATCAGCACAGTTTGGACAAGATACAGGTAATTTTTTCAATAAAAGTGAGAGTCAACTCTTAATTTTAGGCAGAAAATTTGATTTTAAAGTTTCAGATGAAAATGCCCTATTAAAATAGGCATTAAAGAGGCGACAAAAGGAGACTAAAGATATCCTAACGCCATCTATGAGAAAGTAGCAGAACCAAACACTACGGGATGTCTTTTAAGTTTTGCATTTAGAAACATAGTAGGCCGCGCGGATCGAACGCCGGTAATGAATCTTAACCTCACTCTTTAGTAAACTTAAATTCAAAGTTTCACAACAATACGTGCAGTGTTCTCACTACAGTGAATTGTCACCAAGTCATTAGAAAAATGAAACTCAACCGAGAACATTTTCGCGCCATAATTTATTACAACTTTTAGAGACAATTACCGCAACAAGAATGCCTTGATTTTATTTTTCCACAAAAAATCCTCCAGAATATATTATCCCCCAAGGAACGTAAAAATTCCTCAAATTCGGGAGAATATCTTCCAATATGGCAACCCTGCGGATCACTTGTTCCCCGGTCTCCCCTCCAAGCCAGGTGCCTCCAGTGTTGCAAGATCGAACGCTACGTTGCCAGTCTCATTACTGAATTTACAGACCTCCAAGCTGTCAAATGCGAACTGGGATACAGTTCCAGCAGGCAGCTTGCTGTTTCTTTCTCGTAGTGGTCGACTCTGATTTCGATAGTATAACACTCTTTTCAAATTAGATTTCATAATTGATTTTTGTGTTTTGCTATTGTCGCATAGATGGCGCTCGTACCTTCCAGACCCCTTTTTTGACGCCGGAATACAGTATATGATGATTTTCGCTACTGTTAAATGCAATTTCTATGGACGAAACTGGAAAATGGGAATTTTTTATTGATAACAGTGTTGCAGGGTACTACTGATACTATCCAGAAGCATTTAGAGAAATTAGAGCAGCAGATGGAAAAGCGGGATTCGAACTTAGAAGCTGAACTTTCGTACGCCGTCGGTTCATTGGAGATGGTCAAGGCGAAGCAAAAGATCTTAGAAACTAAGATAGGAAACAATACGTCGTCACTGAATGCGGGACTAAATGTGAGTCAATTACAAGATCATGATATCATAAAAGTGTTTTTATATACCTATTTATTAGATACACCTTACAAATACCATTCAATATGGTAATTCTAACAGTCAGGATCGTTTCCTAAGCTCAAAATGTATATTTTTCAGTCGCTACATAATTTTTATCTTGCATACGTATACTAGGAATAGGCCAGGACAGAGCCGAAAACATGGTCATGCATCAGAAAAAAAATCCTTTTGAACGGAAAGGGATAAAGAAATAAAAAATACGCTATCTTAATGTCCGACGTCCGGGCTTCCTCACGCAAAAATCGTCAGGTTCGTAGCTGCTTTATCTTCGGAGCAGATAGAAAGTGAACGTCGAACAGCACGAAAATCTACCGTTTTTTCGACTTTGACAGCCGTTTTCGATCGCGTTTCTTCCGCTTACATCGACAGTTCTCGCTCTATCGTAAATTGCCGAGTTTCTAGTTTCCGAAACGGTATCGCTTTCCGAGAAAACGTTTCGCGAACCCGGAAAAAACCGGAAAAACCGCATCGGCATCAAGCGCTCCAATTAAACCAAAAACAAAAAATCACCGCTTAATATAGTCGAATCAGCTGATTGTAATGGATTCCTCGTTTAGCTATCGAACGAGACCGATCTCGAGTCGATATTTCGATAAACGGCGAGACGGCAGATAAAATAGTATCCGTACCGCGCGAAAAACCGCCGATTTTTCGACTTTACCGGCCGTTTTCGATCCGATTCGTTCCTCTTACCGCGACGGCTCTCACTCCCCGGTAAAGCGCCGACTTTCTAGTTTCCGAAACGGTATCGCTTTCCTTCCGGACGTTTCGCGAACCGGGAAAAAAACCGGAAAAACCGCGTCGACGTCATACGAGAATTTCCCCCTCCTACCAATTACTACCAATCCAAAACAATCGATCACCGCTTAATACAGGGTGACTTTGAAGTTGAGTCATTAATTTTCAGATAATGATTGCAGAAGGAAGATAAACCAAAATATGTGTGTAAAAATAAAAAAAATTAAAAAAAAAATTACCTTGTTTTATAAAGTATCCTCCCGACAAGTATTTCAGTGCGGACCTGTATTTGATTGTGAGGTCTTCTAGCACCGGCATGCCCTCCCCTGTGAGGTCTTAAGTCATCTGATTCACGAGCCCGTTGTACTACATTAACAAAGGCACAAGGGGTTGGTTGCACTCGATTGGGAAACCGATCCGCATAAACATGTGCCATTTTTTATTTCGTTTGAGCCACGCAGCAAACACCACTATTCACTCACGCGTTACCGACTGACACATTGACTGAATAAAAACATCGTGATCAGCGTTTCAAATTCTTTCGCTTTTTTGTTTCCGATGCGATGAACCGATAAGGCGGATTATATCCGTTGTTGCCAAACACGAGCACATAATATTATTATTGAGACAGGGCGGTACTCGAACTTCTTAAGGGCTATAACTTTGTTACTTTAATTTTACCACAAAAATGTTAAAGGAAAAAACATTTCTTTTGATCAGATCTACTCACTGTTAAAATAAATGGCTCAACTTCGAAGTCATGTATAGTAGATTTATAGTACTCGTCGAGATGTACAAAACGCGTCGTGCGAAATTCCGTTTCTCTTCGGCATAAAGGAGATATCGGAGTTTTTACGGCCATTTGCCAATTTTCTCGCCTTTTCTTTGACAATTTCTAGAAAAAAAAACAAGACGCGGAATCGAAAAAATTCAACCGTATCGAACGCGCTCCTCATTTGGCTATCGAACGAGACTGATCTCGAGTCGATATTTCGATAAACGGCGAGACGGCTGATAAAAAAGTCTCCGTACCACGCAGAAATCTACCGTTTTTTCGACTTTGACCGTCGTTTTCAATCGCGTTTCTCCTCTTCGTAAAGCGCCGAGTTTCTAGTTTCCGAAACGGTATCGCTTTCCGTTGCAACGTTTCTCGAACCCGGAAAAAAACAGGGAAAACCGCGTCGATGTCAAACGCTCGATCCGCCCTCGACACCAATGCCTACCTAAAAAAACAATCGATCACCGCTAAAATAGTCGATTTATAGTACTCGTCGAGATGTACAAAACGCGTCGTGCGAAATTCCGTTTCTCTTCGGCATAAAGGAGATATCGGAGTTTTTACGGCCATTTGCCAATTTTCTCGCCTTTTCTTTGACAATTTCTAGAAAAAAAAACAAGACGCGGAATCGAAAAAATTCAACCGTATCGAACGCGCTCCTCATTTGGCTATCGAACGAGACTGATCTCGAGTCGATATTTCGATAAACGGCGAGACGGCTGATAAAAAAGTCTCCGTACCACGCAAGAATCTACCGTTTTTTCGACTTTGACCGTCGTTTTCAATCGCGTTTCTTCCTCTTCGTAAAGCGCCGCGTTTCTAGTTTCCGAAACGGTATCGCTTTCCGTTGCAACGTTTCTCGAACCCGGAAAAAAACAGGGAAAACCGCGTCGATGTCAAACGCTCGATCCGCCCTCGACACCAATGCCTACCTAAAAAAACAATCGATCACCGCTAAAATAGTCGATTTATAGTGCTCGTCGAGATGTACAAAACGCGTCGTGCGAAATTCCGTTTCTCTTCGGCATAAAGGAGATATCGGAGTTTTTACGGCCATTTGCCAATTTTCTCGCTTTTTCTTTGACAATTTCTAGAAAAAAAACCAAGACGCGGAATCGAAAAAATTCAACCGTATCGAACGCGCTCCTCATTTGGCTATCGAACGAGACTGATCTCGAGTCGATATTTCGATAAACGGCGAGACGGCTGATAAAAAAGTCTCCGTACCACGCAGAAATCTACCGTTTTTTCGACTTTGACCGTCGTTTTCAATCGCGTTTCTCCTCTTCGTAAAGCGCCGAGTTTCTAGTTTCCGAAACGGTATCGCTTTCCGTTGCAACGTTTCTCGAACCCGGAAAAAAACAGGGAAAACCGCGTCGATGTCAAACGCTCGATCCGCCCTCGACACCAATGCCTACCTAAAAAAACAATCGATCACCGCTAAAATAGTCGATTTATAGTGCTCGTCGAGATGTACAAAACGCGGCGTGCGAAATTCCTTTTCTCTTCGGCATAAAGGAGATATCGGAGTTTTTACGACCATTTGCCAATTTTCTCGCTTTTTCTTTGACAATTTCTAGAAAAAAAAAACAAGACGCGGAATCGAAAAAATTCAACCGTATCGAACGCGCTCCTCATTTGGCTATCGAACGAGACTGATCTCGAGTCGATATTTCGATAAACGGCGAGACGGCTGATAAAAAAGTCTCCGTACCACGCAAGAATCTACCGTTTTTTCGACTTTGACCGTCGTTTTCAATCGCGTTTCTTCCTCTTCGTAAAGCGCCGCGTTTCTAGTTTCCGAAACGGTATCGCTTTCCGTTGCAACGTTTCTCGAACCCGGAAAAAAACAGGGAAAACCGCGTCGATGTCAAACGCTCGATCCGCCCTCGACACCAATGCCTACCTAAAAAAACAATCGATCACCGCTAAAATAGTCGACTTATAGTGCTCGTCGAGATGTACAAAACGCGTCGTGCGAAATTCCGTTTCTCTTCGGCATAAAGGAGATATCGGAGTTTTTACGGCCATTTGCCAATTTTCTCGCTTTTTCTTTGACAATTTCTAGAAAAAAAACCAAGACGCGGAATCGAAAAAATTCAACCGTATCGAACGCGCTCCTCATTTGGCTATCGAACGAGACTGATCTCGAGTCGATATTTCGATAAACGGCGAGACGGCTGATAAAAAAGTCTCCGTACCACGCAAGAATCTACCGTTTTTTCGACTTTGACCGTCGTTTTCAATCGCGTTTCTTCCTCTTCGTAAAGCGCCGCGTTTCTAGTTTCCGAAACGGTATCGCTTTCCGTTGCAACGTTTCTCGAACCCGGAAAAAAACAGGGAAAACCGCGTCGATGTCAAACGCTCGATCCGCCCTCGACACCAATGCCTACCTAAAAAAACAATCGATCACCGCTAAAATAGTCGATTTATAGTGCTCGTCGAGATGTACAAAACGCGTCGTGCGAAATTCCGTTTCTCTTCGGCATAAAGGAGATATCGGAGTTTTTACGGTCATTTGCCAATTTTCTCGCTTTTTCTTTGACAATTTCTAGAAAAAAAACCAAGACGCGGAATCGAAAAAAGTCAACCCTATCGAACGCGCTCCTCATTTGGCTATCGAACGAGACTGATCTCGAGTCGATATTTCGATAAACGGCGAGACGGCTGATAAAAAAGTCTCCGTACCAAGCAAAAATCTACCGTTTTTTCGACTTTGACCGTCGTTTTCAATCGCGTTTCTTCCTCTTCGTAAAGCGCCGCGTTTCTAGTTTCCGAAACGGTATCGCTTTCCGTTGCAACGTTTCTCGAACCCGGAAAAAAAACAGGGAAAACCGCGTCGATGTCAAACGCTCGATCCGCCCTTGACACCAATACCTACCTAAAAAAACAATCGATCACCGCTTAATATAGTTAACTACAAGCAAGGAGTGGAGAACTTAACTACTAACTTTAATAATAACGACCGCCAAATTCTCCATTCTCAGATCAAACTCACCCCCCCCCCTTTATATGTCCTGTGGTCACAGCTTTGGCGCACAATTTTACGTTCCGACTGTGGAGCGCAGATTTTGCCAATTTTGGTTGTTCGAGATAAATGGAATCATTCAGTATATACTTTTTTAGGGTAAAATATTGATAATCCCTGTAAACTAAAGCTCTCTAAAGTAATTTCAATATGACTATGCGATTGCAGATGACAAAACACATTCAGAAGCTAGTGTCACATTATCACACCGATGAGAAAAAACATATGAATAGATTGCACGACAATATAATCAACAGTCTTGTATATCTCGACAACAAAACTACAGAACATTTCCTGATATCAGACGCAAACAATCAGGTTTTGAGCCAGCTTAAGAAAGAGTTGAAGGAAGACTTCAACAGCTATGCCAATAAGGTAAGTTCAACACCAAAAGGACGTGTCAAAAATTCATGTTCAATGTTACACTGCAAAAGGTGTTACAGAATTCGAACCTCACCATTGGGACCTCGAAAACAATAGAAACGAGACATTGTATAAAAATTGTATTGAAAATTCTGTAACATTATGTATGTCGTTTTGAAACTATCGTCAAAGTTTAGTGTTTTAAACTCTTATTGCGGCAAATAATAAATGTTTTACCCGCGCACATAGGGTATCCCTTCTGCGGGATTATTTTACTTATTTGCAGATGATTACAACCAGCTTCTTAAAAGAGTGTCCAAGAAAAGGATCCCAGGATGAGATCTCAATACTTGGGAGAGATATAGCTTATTTTAATTCAGAAAAAGCTGCGTTTTTCGAGGGTATTTACATGCCGTTGAAAAACTTGAAAAAATGGCTTACTGAGGTATTTGAAAAAAACTAAATTTTGGTCAAACCGTTTTCATTTTTCTCCAACTTAATTTAGGAAATATCAATAAAACTAATGGAACTTTTTCATTGACACTTTTTAGGCCCATATAAGAAAATAAAGTTAATGATGGTTTCTTGAAAACGGACTGTCGAGCACAACATTCAAAAATACCATCATGTAGTGCCTAAAAAGAGTCAATAAAAAAGTTTTATTAGTTTTATGATATTTCTTAAAATAAAGTCAGAAAAAATAAAACCAATTTGGAATTTTTTTTGTTTTCCCCAAATATCTGAGTACGCCATGAAATTTTTACAAGTTTCTCAACGGCATGTACGAGGAGGTATCCAAAAATACCGGAATAGCATTGCAGTGGGCGGAGCTTGCATAGTACACATTTCTGCCCCTAGAGACGTACAGCGCAACTCATTACCAGTTCAGTGCCACCCGAGTTGTTCGTTCCTCTGTGGTCATTATTTTTGCTAGAGCTATTTCGTGCTTGTTTCGTTTTTTACGATGGCAAGCGTCAGTGAGCAACGTGCAGCTATGAAATTTTGCTTTCTAATTGGTAAAAATGCTGCTGAAACTGTTTTAATGTTAAAAATAGCTTACATAATCCTTATCTTAGTCACCCTGAATAACCTACACGAAATTCTAGGTGGCCGATATGACCACAGACCAAGGCACATCCTCCAAAAACCTCCAAGTATCCCTAAACAACATAAAATCGCAAATAAGCACACTCCAAACAGGATACAGGGGCGTGGTACGAAAAAACGGTACGGATGGTCCTAGCGACAGCATCGTCTATGTGGATGGGGACATCAAGAGGGCTCTGGCCACCGGATTTGAAAAGGTTCTGGCCAATCAGCAAGAGTTCATTAAGGGGTGCTACAAGGTACAGATGCAGGAGCCGCAAATTGAGAGTGAGATCAGCGATATGTTGGAGAGGATGTTGGATATGCTGGAGAAGAGGTAAGTAGGACATATGAACAAAGAATGTTATTTTAAAAAGATACAAAAGCTTTATAATTCAAACTTTTAAATCTCGTAATGCAGCTAAAAGATATCAAAACGTATACTTTTATTAACCGAAAGTGTAATAAAATATTTTTAGTACTTTGAAGTTTTTGGAAACTCATTCCCTAATGGGGTGTAAATTGGGGGTGGGAGTTTTTTAAACTTTTATTTCTTCCAATAGATATGCCCGAAGCTATTTAGAAAGGCGATTTAATAGAAATAAGGGTAAACGTAAACCAACATTTTTGGGGAATGAAAGTGTGTATGATGCTCGTAGTTTTTAATACGAAATACCTGAAAACTCAAAAAAGCAGGTATTATAACACTGGACAACAAAATTTTAGTTTTTTAATTGTATCTTGTGGGAAAAGTGCACTTCTTTGTTAATTTTGGGGCGCTGAATCCAAAAATGACAATGAAATAAAAAAATTTGTTGCGGTTTAGAAAAAAACCTTTATTTTTAAGGATATATTAAAAAAAGTAACAAGATTCATATACTTATAAGAATCACTATATGCGCTGTCTTTTTGCTGTTCTTTTATGGATCGTTTCTGGAGCATCTCTACCAAGAGTCCAACAGTAGTCTGCAAGCATGGAAGGATTCCACTTTCCCTGGTACCTTTTTTCCATTGTTGAAATATCCTGATGAAAACGTTCGCCGTGCTCATCACTTACGGCTCCGCAATTGTCAGGAAATGTATCTTAAGAGACATATTACAGCCCATCTTTTGATACGATGACAGCATATTTTTGACAAGGGTTTTATAGTTGTCAGCTTTTCTAGTTCCCAAGAAATTAGTGACCACCAGACGGAAATCATTCCAAGCAGTTTTTTCAATACCTGTTAAAGTGTTTTCAAACTGTGTATCTTTCAAAATATTTCGAATCTGTGGCCCAACAAAAATACCTTCTTTAACCTTTGCCTCACTTAGTCTTGGAAATTTCTGACGCAGGTATTGAAAAGCTGACCCATCTCTATCTAATGCCTTGACAAAGTTTTTCATTAGGCCCAACTTGATATGCAGTGGTGGTAATAAAATTTTGTTCGAATCTACTAATGGCATATGCTGTACATTTTTTTGACCTGGCTCTAGGAATTGACGAACAGGCCAGTTTTGTCTGGTGTAATGAAGTGCCTTTGCCCAACTGTCCCATTCACACAAAAAACAGCAAAACTTTGTGTAGCCTAGCTGCAGCCCAAGTAAAAGTGCAACAACTTTCAAATCGCCACAAATATGCCATTGGTGCTCATCGTATTTTATGCATGTCAATAGGTACTTCATATTGTCATATGATTCTTTCATGTGAACTGCATACAGGAAGAGGTGGTAAAATATTTCCAATATGCAATAACACTGCCTTTAAACTCAATGTTGAACTGTCTATAAACAATATCCATTCTTCTGGGTTATAGTTTATATTTAAAGCCGCCAGTAAGCCGTTAATGTTACTGCAGAAAACCAAGTTATTCTCCATATTGAAAAATGGTTCTAAGTCTTTGTGGCGTTTACGAAAATCACATACCGAAACATCGTCTTCTAACAAGTTCCACTGCTGCAGTCTTGATCTAAGTAACTCTGCCTTACATTTTGGAAGTTCTAAATCTCTTACAAGATCATTTAATTCTGACTGTGTTATTTTGTGCGGTTGGTAGCATGACGTGCTCGGTATAAAATCAGGATCTCTTGACGTTGATGGCATATCTTCTTCCTGACGAATCACTCGATCGACATGATCTGATTCGTTTTCTGATTCGCATGTGTAGGATTCTGGGGGTTTTGGAATAGGATTTTCGTCACTGTGAGGCACAGGTCTCATCGCAGATGGTATGTTTGGGTAGTTAATAACCGATTTTTTTTTCTTGGACATACCTGTGGCTTGTCCAACACAAGGTACCATGCAAAAGTAACAATCATTAATATGATTTGTAGGCTCTCTCCAAACCATTGGGACAGCAAAGCGCATAGACCGTTTTTTGCCATTTAACCAGCTCCTCAGACTTGAAGCACATGTATTACAGCAGATGTGGGGTGCCCACTGTTTGTCTTGATCACCTAGTTTACAACCGAAATAAAGCTGATATGCCTTTGTTATTAGTGGAGTAATAGACCGTCTCCGAGACGCAAAAGTCACATCACCACACGCGTAACAAAACTGATCTGGATTGTTTACACACTTTCGAGACATCTTGCATGAACGCTGTCAGCCAACTGAGGAAAAATGGCTAATATAAAACAATATAATGTACACGTATGTATAACGTAACACAATCATGCCGATTACATCATATTTCCTTGCCGAATATAAAAATGTAGCACGTGCATTCTTGTGAATTACAGTATATTAACACTGTCACAGCAGGAACACATATAATTACCGTATCTCTAAAACTTGAACTAATATTGAAAAAATAAGTTTCATTCCGGTTTTAGCACATTAAAAATAGTAATATTTTGTTGATTTTATTTAGGATATTTTTTGGCTGTTGATCAGTGTAATCTGTACCATTCAAAATTATCCCGGTCAGTAATGAATGAAAGGGAAGTCGTATTTTCGGAAACAATTCGTACCCACATGAAAATTGCTTCAGATCTTCAATATGTTATTGCAATTGATTTATCCAAAGTCTCCATCGATCATTGGACCGCAATTTTTATTGGAAGTTATATGCCAGAATTACCATTTTTTATATTTATCTGGAACGGTGCGAGTAACCACAAAAACAGCTTGTACCAAAATTGTAGAGGATACAATTATCTATAAAACTTGCCCAATTGCTTTTTTGCGAGTCACTGTTTATGCGTTTTTCGATTTATGGGATCTAAGCTACCGCTAGGGCGCATACCCGATATGTTTCATCGTTTGGTATGATTTGAGATCAGAAAGAAGCTATATGTGCGAGCAGAAGAGTACCTGAGAGTCCAAAGATCACCGAGAGCTGTTTCGTCAGTCGTTCCTACAATTATAGAACGCATTCACGGCCTCCTTGATTTCCATGGTCTTTTCTCTTCTTCTGAAAAGCTGGGGTATTTCTAGGTTTCTACCATCCCGTGTTAGCGTCAGCGGCCTCCTGTTGTGAGGTTATGTTTTATTTTTTAATCTTGAGAAATTTCAGTCAAAACAAGTTTTAAAAAAGAAAATATAACCGTAAAATAGAGCGCTGACATAAAACATAAACATCTAGAAATACCCCCAAGGAATAAAAGTACTAGAAGAACTTGTCTAGATAATTGTATCCTCTACAATTTTTGTATAAGGTATTTTTTTGGTATCGCTTTCCCTTTTAAAGAAATATTTATATATCCATATAAATCCAAATAAAACCGCTCCAAGGATATACGATGAGTTTTGAAATATTATTCATAATGATGTATGCAGGGTTGTTATGTTTTAATCAATACGTTTAAAACAAGTGTTTTAAACACTGTTTAAAGCACTGTCTTTTTGTCGTTTGTGAATTATTTAGTTTTTTCAAGTATGATTAAAATTGATTTTATTTTGCAAAACGAAACTAAAAGGGCCAAAGGTTAAAACACATAGGTACTAGAAAATATACTTTATTTTTTATTAATTAATGAAACTGAAACTAGGGAACAAATACTGGTGGAAAAAAATATGTTTCTTAACGAACGAGTGAAATTAATTAATAAACTGCACTGAACTCTAATACTAGTACACTACAAGCAGCAGAATAATCATCTAATATGACTACCTATGTATTTACTTGTATAATAACATTAAATAAGTTACTTCACAAATTCCTATAAAAGCATACAACCCATCTTATTTAACAAAAAATCCTTAAATCCATATTTTTAAAATATAAAATCATGAAAAATATACATAGAATAAATTTTTAGTTTTCACTACTTTTTAAGGAACTCCAAGGAAAACAATGTACCTTTTTCACAGTTGTCCAAGCTACTCAACTTTGAGGAAATATAGTAGAAATCACGAAAGATGACGATTACGTCATCATTTTAGTCTGTAGTAAAGACTAGCGACAGCGATTTGTGAATATTTTTAATGAAGTTTCAGATATGTTAGACAGAGACAAACAGAATTTTATTGTCTAAACAAACTGTATTGCTAAGTTGCATGTATCGGACAAAGATAGACGTTGTTTTCATGTTGCATGATCGATCATATTTGAAAAATGCATAGTTAGGTTATGTTAAAGCAGGTTAGGTTGTTTTCGAATAATACTTTGGTCTTTGTGTTCCTGTCTTAAGGTATTCTACTCAAAACAAAAACTCCCCACTAAAATTATTATTAAGGTATCACTCAAAACCATGAAATAAAATGAAAATAAAAATTATCAGTGAAATTACCTAACTTCGCAAAATCATAATATCCACTGATTACTTCAGTACAATTTTTGGTCTTTCGTGATTTTGACTACAGGTTCGGTAGAAACATCATCATTGTCGGTAACTATCTGATATATGAATAATTTGTTTGGAGCTGTTGCGACTTGTAGAACTTCGGATTTCACTGTTTTTTCTCTTAAAACTTCTAGAGGGTAGTCTGATAAATTATTTAGGAACAAAAAGTGTGGATGAAGCACGCTTTTCATGAATTTTTTTCCCCAAAACACTGTATTTTTAGCTGTTCTTTCCGCTATTATTTCCTCCGCTATCTGCCATATAGCGTAGACCTCTGTGCATATGACAGGCGCTTGCCTGCGGTGTTGCCGGATTGGGCTCCACACTTAGGGAAAAATATGAAAAGTGGAAAATTTGTATACATATATTAATTAATGAATTACAAAAACGAAAAATTGAAACAAATAACAGTAGCAAAATAAAAGGTGATTCCTATTAAGTATAAATCAAAAAATTACAGTAGTAAGCTAAAAAATGATAAATTGTAAATAATTGTAAAAAAACAAAAAGAACAAACAGCAGTGAAATAAAAAGCAATTCTAAGTGATTATAAAAAACTAAATATAAAAACAGTAGTAAAACAAACAAAAAATAATGCCATGTAATTATAGAAAACAAAAGATAAGTAACGGTAAAATAAAAAGCATTCCAAGTCATAAGAAAAAATAATAACAGTAGGAAAAAATCCATGTAATTATAAAAAATAACGAGTTGAATAAAAATCAATTCTAAGTGACAACACAAAACAAAAAGTAAAAACTGTAGCAAAATTGCTTTTTATTTTACTGTTTGTTATTTTTTGTTTTTTATAATTACATGGAATTGGTTTTTTTTTGTTTTATTACTGTTTTAATTTTTATATTTTATAATCACTTAGAATTGCTTTTTATTTTACTGCTGTTTGTTATTTTTTGTTTTATACTTAGCAAGAATCGCTTTTAATTTTGTTACTGTTGATTGTTTCAGTTTGATGTTTTTGTGTTCCATTAATTAATATAAATGTATATAAATTTTCCACTTTTCATATTTTTCCCTAAATACGGAGCCCAATCCGGCAACACCGCAGGCACGCGCCTCTCATATATGACATATCCATAGACGTCAACGTCATATGGTAGATGGCGGTGGAAATAATGAGGGAAATAACTGCTAAAAAATAGTATTTCGGGTAAAAAATTTCATGAAAAGCGTGCTTCATCCACACTTTTTTTGATCTAAAATAATCTATCAGACTACCCTCTATAAGCTTCAAGTGAAATATCAGTGAAATCCGAAGTTCTACAAGACTCACAGCACCTTTTGTTTTTCTAACGAACTTCCTTGTTTAAGTTGTTTAGAATGTTTTAAAAGGTTGCCACCAGTGGCATTATATCCATATTGCAGGTTAAATATTTTGCTCTTTGGCATCAGTCTCCTTAAAATATTCCACACGGGATCCTTTCTCCTCCCTGTCATTGCCTTTCTTTTTTGCCGATCTTTAACGCACAAAAAATAAAACACGCCACCACGCTACAACTTCGCACATTTGACTGCTGGAAATCCCAACGCGTAAAATTACCCAAAGGCAAACGGTACTTCTCCGATGTCCGCTAATTAAATTAGAGATGTGCTCTGATAGAGCTGAATCAAAAATAGTAATAACACTTTTAAGAAACTTCATTAACGTTGCTAGATTTTACAGGGTGTCCGCAAAGTTGGGGTTTTCCTGTTCAGAAACAACTACCCTTGAAATAACAAAGGTAATGTGTAGTGAAACGAGGGCGACCAAGTGAAAAAAAATAAAGGAAAAAGTACTCACTCTCCAGTTGACGAGAAGGGCTAAGTACGTATCTGCCCGAAATCATACCGCTCCAACAGAAAATGAAATCAGCTGATGCGCTACCGAGCAGACGCAGAAACCACATTGATTGTCTTACACTTAATGGCACATCTTCTAACAAGGAAGGCAAAATGTTGCGTAAAAAGTCTAGGTATTGCATCCCGTCCAATCGATTTGGGAGAATAAATGGTCCAATGAGCATACCGTTCACCATGCCAGCCCAAACATTCACCGAAAATGTTTGTTGAAAATGTGCCCGACGGACAGCGTGCGGATTTTCTACTGACCAAACATGAGTGTTGCGAAAGTTATTCACCCCATTACGCGTGAACGTAGATTCTTCTGTCACCAATATGCACTTTAAAAAGTCCGGATTATTGTCATGTTGATGCAACAACCACTCACAAAACCGCACTCTTGCTGGAAAATCGTCAGGTTGAAGGGCTTGTACACGTTGGACGTGAAACGGATACAGCCCCTCTTCACGCAGCGTTTGCCACACTTTAGTTTTTGATACTTGCACTTCTCTAGCCACGTCTCTAGTGCTTATTGAGGGATTCTCGTCTACCCGATTACCTCTACACGCGTGACCGTAACCGTCGGTTGATGGTTGCATACTGACCTGACACACTGACCCCGACCCAGTTCTGTCGTCGGGTTGAGCCAGTGACCTTGTACCAGTCGGTGATGTCGCGGCTACAGGACGGTATTCAGATTTTGATGTTGCAGAGCCCTTTATCTCGGTTCCCTTAAGACACATTGGTGTATATGGTACTAAGAAAAATTGCTTATGTTTTTAAGATCTACACGTCGTGTAAAGGAAAACCCCAACTTTGCGGACACCCTGTATAGGCAATAATTTTTTAATTTTTTTCACTGTTTTAAACATGTATTAACAGTGTTCTAAACAAGGTTTTTTTTCACCTAAATTTTAATGTTTTAAACAAAATAAAAACAATTTTTTTAAAACGTTTTTTTTTCAACCGATTTAAGGTGTCTACTAATTTTCAGCTTTATGGGAATTTTTGTAAAATATTGTTTGCTGTATTTTATCTCAGCTCAAAATAAGTTATTTGAATAATTCTCTTAGATGCTCTTGTCGAATCTAGGTTTGCCGTGAACGACAGAGACGCCAACACGTTCAAACACTTCCTCAAAAACAACCATGAACAGGCCCAGAGGAACATGTTGCAACTGAACGACAACATTGCTTCGGTATACAAGCAGAGTTCCGCGCATTTTCGAGAGATCGAAGGTATGATCGCACATGCTCAGGAACGCATGAAGGCTTTGTATGCGTACGTAAAAAACGCTTTACCAGAAAAAGGTAAACGCGACATTGTTGGAGAGGTACAAGAAAGTTTGAATGCTCTGCAGGCGTATTTGAAGAGGGTACTACCAGAAGACGAGAGGGAAAAGTTCAAGGTAAGACAGCTAGGGATTAAAAACACGGACCCACAAAATTAAAAAGTGGTACAGGCGTCACTCGTTCTACGCGGGGGTAACGTTCTTTGAAAACACCGCGTAAAAATAATGTGTCTAGTATCAAAAAAAAGCTTATAAAAAATTGAATCCAAACTTGCACAAATATACAGGGTGATGCATTTGAATTTTTTTAGAAAAACTACAATTTGCGTTTCTGACCACCCTGTATGAGCAAAAATTAAAATTCTAAAAAGTAACAAATAAGATAAATGCTGAGATGTGTAAGTTTTTTTGACAGAAAATTCAGCACTCCAAATTTCAAAATGGCGGATTGAGGGGTTGCCGAAGTGGAAGGTTTTACTGGACAAAACACCTTACATCTCAGTAGCTAATTACCAAAACCCCATAGTATATTATATCAATCTTCTTCTTTTGAATTGGTTTATCCAAATATGCAATAAAATTTGAGGCATTCCATTTAAAAAATCACAACTTTGATATGTAGGTCAAAATTGGGACACCCTGTATAATTGCCAATATTTTATGATGTGCCCTCCAATGTCATCTATAAATGCCATAAATAGATTTTCCCGAAATGAATTTGTTTATGAGTAATATTCCGTCCACACATGCGTGGGCCACCCTGTATATAATATATGGGGTTGTCCAAAACGGACGCAGGAAAGTAAACGCATATTAAAACAAGAAAGATTGATATTCAAATCAAGTTGGGTACTTTATTTTGAAGGTTCATTTATACCATTTATATATGAAAAATAATATCGCTTTGCCTGCCAGTTATTCTCCATCACATCATCCACATCTTTAACGACTGTTTGGAAAAAGGCTACTTTCCAAACACATGGAAACAAGCTCTAATTATTCCAATTCCTAAAAAAATGAAACCCACTGAGTATAATGATCCCAGACCTATCAGTTTATTACCAATTTTATCCAAAATTTTAGAAAAAATTATAAAGTTCCAATTGACCGCTTACCTAGAAAAATGCTTTATACTTCCCGACACTCAATCCGGATTTAGAAAAAATTATAGTACAACATCTGCCCTACTTAATCTGCAAGACAATATTTTAAGTGCTTCAGATAAGAAAATGGCACTAGCCTTAATCTCTATAGACTATTCGAAACCCTTTGACAGCATCAATAATAAATTATTACTTGCTAAATTAAATTACATAGGTCTTGACAGTGTATCCCTTTCATTTTTCGACAGTTACCTTCATCAAAGAACTCAGTGTGTTTTTCTCAATCAAGAAATGTCTCAAGTGACAATAATTCCCTCAGGCGTACCTCAGGGCTCTGTATTGGGGCCGCTTCTGTTCCTCATATATACGTTCGACTTAAGCAACAGTATTGATAATTCTCATGTCCAGTCATTTGCAGACGAAACGCAATTGCTTCATTATTTTAACCCAGATAATGTCAATAATACTACTCAAATTTTACAAAATAAATTAATTAAATACTCTTTAGATCACAATCTACTTATTAATCCACAAAAAGCTAAAATGTTATTATTTTGCGCACAAAGAAAAACATACAATGTAACACAGCTCTTGAACATTCAGATAAATAACCAAATCTTGCAATTTTCTGATTCTGCAAAAATTCTTGGTGTTGTTTTTGATACAAAATTAAGGTTTATTGAACATGTTAAAAGTCTATCTCAGAAAACATACCTACGGCTGCGCACTCTTATAGCAAACAGGTATTTACTAAATTTTAAGATGCGTAAAAAACTATGTGAAGCATTGGTCATATCTATACTAAATTATTGTAATATCGTATACTATACTTGTTTAGACAATTTCACTAAAAACGTTATTAAAGTTATTCAAAACAATTGTATACGATTCATTTTTGGCTTACGTAAATTTGATCATGTATCGGCGAAATATCCCGTTCTAAACTGGTTAAAAATTAATGACATGGTCAAGTACCACTATTCAGTTTTTGTTCACAAATTGCTGCTTACGTCTAAACCTTATTACTTGAAGGAAAAATTTTTATTTAATAATGATGTTCACTGTAGAACTCTCAGAGAAAATAATATTAGAATACCCCTACATACGTCTACACTTTTTAAACGCAGTTTTTCTTACAATGTTGCTATTATTTATAATGACCTTCCTAAAGTATATAAAGAATTTTCATTACCTGTCTTTCGACAAAAAGTTAAAACATTATTACTCAACCCTCCAAACATATAATATACGTAATCATTCATTTCTTTTTTATTCCGTCTTTAATTCAGATTAATAATTTTTTGGTGCATTTGGGTTTGGAAAGTATGCCTTTTTCTCTTTTTTTTTAAATTTTACTTTCGATGTAATGAACCAAATCTGTTTGTGGATAGTGTATTCTTTTGAACATCTGCTAGAGACTATATGGTTAAGTGTAAGAGTAGCAGCATGCTAAACTTCGCCATATAAGTCTGACATTTGGCTATACTACAATGTAATTGTGGATAAATAAAGACGTCTATCATTATTATTATTATTATTATTATAAATGTTCACCACGACTGGATTTACAGACGTCCACGTGATGGTCGAAATTTTCAATGACATTTTGCAACATGGTCGGTTCTATGGCATTTATCTCGACAATGATGTTGTTTTTGAGTTCTTGGAGGGTGGCTGGTTTGTTGACGTAGACTTTGCTTTTCCAATATCCCCATAAAAAGAAGTCCAAGGGAGTCAAATCGCACGATCTTGGTGGCCATGGCACATTTCCTCTGCGCGAAATCAGGCGATCACTGAAGGACTGCAATCGATGGATACTGACGTTGGTTGTGTGGCATGTTGCACCGTCTTGTTGGAAATAAACATCGTCCATATCCATTCCTTCAAGTTGCGGCAAAAAATAGTCCTCTATCATCACGTGATATCGCTCAGAATTGACGGTAACGGCGTCCCCGGCCGCATTTTCGAAAAAGTAAGGTCCGATGATGCCTTTTGACCACAATGCACACCACACAGTCACTTTTTGAGGATGCATCGTCTGCTCTTGGTACTCACGGGGATTTTCGTTCGCCCAGATGCGGCAGTTTTGCTTGTTTACCGTCCCATTCAAAGTGAAATGCGCTTCGTCGCTGAACATGATTTTTGATGAAAAATTGGCATCAATTTGGCGGTGTTCAAGGAGCCAATCTGAGAACGTTCGGCGCGAAAAATGGTCGGCCCGATGCAGCTCTTGCGTCAATTGGATCTTGTAGGCGTGTACATTCAAATCCTTGTGGAGAATGCGGAGCAAACTGGTTCTCGAAATGCCCAATTCTTGGGATCGACGCGTTGTTGATTGTTTCGGATCGTCTCTCACACTCTCCTTCACAACAGCAATATTTTCCGGCGTGCGAACGCTCCTTGGCCGCACCAGACGACCGATGGTTGTTTCGTTTGGGCGGTTGTTGCGACCAAAATGTTCACGAAGCGCGCGAAACGTGTTTTTTATTTTTGCACCATTTTTATAGTGCTCTTGAATAACTTTAATGCGGTCTTCAATCGAATACGACTCCATAGCGATCAATGGTAAACATTCAACTAACCAAATGACATGTCGGTGACAGAAAACAAAGATGGCGTCTATGTCAAATTGACGTTTACTTTCCTGTGTCCCTATTGGACAACCCATTATATTATATTTGAAATAAAATGATTCGAAAACTTATTTCCGACGTAGGAATATTCTTCGAATCACCCTATAAAGGTCTCCAGCATAAATGATAAAATGACTTTATCGATTAACTTTTTGAATTGTTGTACGATCACAATAATTCTTAATAAATCGTGCCCTATTAATACCATTTCAATGCATATCACCTTGTAAATTCGAACCGGATCATAAAGATTATAAAGTGGACTTGTTAACATTGACACTGAAGTAAATTGACATTGGATCTGTTAAAAATATATTCAGAACATGCGATGTTGTCGGGCTGCGTAATTTTACAGACCCGTAAAAAGACACTCTTAAGCGGAATCTCAGAGAAATCCTCTCTTGTGTAACTCACTAGACTGCATAGTCGGGCAAACTTACAAGTGTACAAAAGATCGCAATGTGAAAAAAATAAATCGTGGACTTCACGTCCAAGCAAATTAAAAATTTTCTACGACAGCACATCTCAAACTTAATTCCTTGAGCCAATCTGATAAGTACTTAGCATATAGAAGAAAAAAGAAAATTTTGGAAGAGTGGCGATTTATTTTTCATCATAGGTTCCTTTTATCTCGACACACTTGACCCAGCGATGCTCCAAGTTCTTGAACCCGTCTGAAAAATACGTCTACAACGTACATTTACATACATTTGGCTTTAAAACTTACAATGATAGAGAAATGTTTTCCGCGTACTCTTGCTATCTAAGCTCACCGCCCGGCGTACCGGAGTGATAACTGGCTGCAGCGTTGCCAGATGAACAGTAGCTACAAGTAGGGCGGGGAAAAAATGTCTATGGACTACTTGTATGGGCCTGTTTGACTGACTTGATCCCTTTAATTTCCCTATAGTACACGTTCATAACTGGCTTTTTTCGCAGAGGATTTAAATTGCGCTGAACTCAATTCTTTATGAACTGAGTCCACCTACTTTACGTCATGTTATCTTTCTCCCTGACTTTCGTATCTGGGCAACCAGACCTGACATATCTACCGATTCACAAAGTTGTAGCTTTAGAAGATCAGTAATGTGGTCTTTCTTTCAGGATATTCTGGATAAGTTGCAGAAAATCGAAGAGTACATGACAAATCTAAAAGGGTGTCCGAATAACATTAAACCCGAGCTCGAAAACATTCAAAATTCACTGTCCCACTTGACGAGAGCGGTGAAACCTATCGCGTGTGCAAAAAATCATGATGTAGACACTAAAAATGCGGTCCAAAATGTGTTCGGAAAGTCACCATCGTCTGCAAACAGTGGCTCAACAGATTCAACAGATTTGGGTTGGGATCCTGCTTTGATCAACATTAGAGGAGACTTGGGCAAAAATAGGTAAGGAAACACTAATACTATAATTGCGAATCTAAAATTATCCGAGATGAAATGAGTTACCGTAGCGCCATCTATAAGAATTTGTGATGGCTATATTTCTCATCTACACACTAATTAGAAATCTACTTTGGAAAGTGTAGATGGCGCTGTAGCTAAATATATGATATATACGAATATAAAAACAATCAACATCGCAATCACTTTTCTTTTATAATACACGAGGTGTATTCAGAAAATAACGAGAATTTACCTTTTTTTTAATATTGACTTATTCGCCTACATTGATGTTGTCGCCTTCAAAATAGTCTGTTTGTAAAACGACGGCTCTTTAAGATTCTCTTTATTTTTTGAAATATATAAAAGTCACATGGAGCCATGTTTGGCAATAATGAATGCTGGGGCATACTAAACCAAACCAAATCTTCGAAATTTAAAAATTCTCGTTATTATCTAAGCACACCTCGTACATAAAATATTGGACATGGAAGATACACATTTATAAACGAATATTTCTTCCAGAAACCTGCTAGCTAATAATGAAACTGAAACTGTCACGGAAAGTACATCGTCATCGCTTCCTACCTATGATGAACTCAAAACAACTGTGCTGGAAATAGCAAGTCAATCTGAATCAACAATCCAACGAAATGATGAGCTTGTAACAATTACAACAGAAAGTAGCTCAAGATTTTCAACAACCAATGAGTCTGGACCAATTGTTGGCGATCTTAAATCACCACCAAAAGCTGGGTCAAATGATGAGTCTCCACCGAGTGTAGGTGGTGACGTTTCATCACCAAAAAATGAGTCAAATGATGAGACTAGAACAACTGTAAGTGATGTAATATCATCACCAAAAGTTGAGACAAATAATGAACCTGCAGTGACTGAATCATCACAAACTGATCAAGTGGAAGATGGACAAGTAACAACAGTAAGTGGTGTTCTAACATCAATAAAAGTTGAAGCACACGATGAACCAGTTTCAACTGTAGGTGATGATGTAACATCACGAAAAGTGGAATCGACAGATGAACCTGGAACAACTGTAAGTGCAGCTATCTCAAAAGTTGAAGAAGATGACAAAAAGTCAAATGATGAACCGGAAACGACTGTAAGTGAAGCTATAGTATCACCCAAACTTGAATTAAATGATGAACCTAAAACGACCATAAGTGAAGCCTCACCAAATGTTGAGTCAAATAATGATCCTGAAACAACTATGAGTGATTTTGGATCATCAGTAAAAGTAGAAGCCCATGATGAACCAGAATCAACCGTGAGTGATGTTACATCATCACCAAAAGTTGCAGATGGTACACCACCAAAACTTGAATCAACTGATGAACCTGAAATAAGTGATAATGTATCATCAAAGGAAGTTGATGCAGCAAATGATGAACCTGGAAGAACTATAAATGATAATGTAACATCACAGAAAGTTGATGAAGCAAATGATGAACCTGGAACAACTGTAGGTTATGTTGTTTCATCACCAAAAATTCAGTCAAATGATGAACTGGAAACAACCTTAAGTGACAATGTAACATCACGAAAAATGGATAAGGCAAATGATGCACCAGGAACAACTATAAGTGATACTGTAACTATATCATCACAAAATGATCAAGTAGAATATGAACCTATAACAACAGTAAGTGATGTTCTGTCATCAAAAAAAGTTGAATCACATGATAAGCTTCAGACAGCTGTTAGTGATGCTGTGTCACTACAAGATGATAAAGCAGAAGATGTGTCAGTAAAAAGTGACACTGAATCAACTGAATTAGGGCCTAGAACTACCAAAGAAGCTGATCAACATTCTGAAAAAAGATGAAGGTGCATTTAGAAAACTTCCTGATCCTGGCTTAGAATACAAATGATTTGTCATTCCAAATTATTTTACAAATTTAGATAAGTAAAATAATATATGTATATGATGCTTAAGTATTATTTTGTTATTGTACTTATGAGGAACATATGTCATTTGTCATATAAGATGTGATCTTTTGTGTAATAATATTGGATGATACCATTTTAAAAACAGATCATGGTTTTATTTACTTAAACGAATCTAACATTTAGAATCATTTATTTAAAAAAAAAACATCATTGATAGTATCCTATCCTAGTAAGCAAAAAAACTGTTGGGTGAGTAATTTGTAATGCTTTCAGCAGTACATTGTCAAAACACTAAATAAGAAGTAATTCAGCTATTTCAAGCATTATTTTGCAACATTTTTAGTGAACTAAGAATAATTGGATTATTTTGAGAGTTGCTTGCAAGACTTTTGCTAATATATCCTGATCCAAAACTAAGAGTTATTGGGTTAATTACAGTAATTTTAACAACATGCATTATAAACCAAGAGTTATTTAACTATTTTTAGAGCGATTTGCAACAATTTTAGTTCCAAATAATCTTAATTCTAGTCAACACAACTATAGTGTTAATATTTTATAGCTTTTGTTTATTGCACTCATTTCTCTAGTGATAATATCCTACTTCTAAGCACTTAGCTCACTAAGATAAACTATATCACTACTTAATATCATACAAGCTATCATATGCATGAAATTATTTTATGTTTCAACTACTAGGACTTTGGGTTACAAGACAAAGGTAAAATAGTTAATAGTTAGGGATTAGTCAACGGTACGGTATTTCGAAAGAGTTTTGAAAACGATTCTGTATCCACTTACCTCGATTTTAGCACTATTTTGAAAAATAGTCTGCGCCTTATGCGTCAGCTGGGCAAAACATGAGCTGAGAGAGCACAGTTGTTGCCGTACAGCAAAAACGACACTCGGCTCATCAGCTTCAAGTTCCCCTGCAAAGAATAACAATAATAGCCAAAACTGAGGGCAGAAGTTTGTCTTCAAACATTTTTTGTAAATGATATCGGCATAAAGGGATGATATGCATATAAAGGATATCTATGTACCAATGGCAAGGTCCAAATCGACGAAAGCTTTGTCGAACTCTTTCTCTAGGATGTCTAACCAACGGAAACCGACACTAGCCATTTTCAGTAATTACCATCCGCCGTTTCGCTCACAAATTTTACTCATCAAACCATTTTTCTTGAAAAATGAACGCGAATGACAAATACATAAGTTTTGACGCTTGAGTGTACATCAGCTGTCAGTCATCTGTCAGTGCTAGGTTGGGTGACAGATTGTACCACTTCACTAGTGACTAGTAGGCGTGGTATATTTTCTCTATCAACTAACTGACCAATCAATAGAAAGATCGCTAATCACCTGAATAGTAATTCAGTTCAACGTTACCTATGATCCTTGGCGACGTTTAAAACGTCAACGCCACACCTTTTTGTTTATAGGTGGATGAATAATATTTTGGGTGTTTACTTGGATTTATTAATCTTTTCAAACTCGAAATCATGCCCTACGGTAAAAAATCACCCACCACTGGAACTCCGTCCGTTTATTCGCACGTAACTACAAGAAGCAGCGCAAATTTAAGAGGTTCAAGAAGTTTAAAATCCCTAAAAATACCATGGTACCAGAGGCCTTTGGTACAGGATGCTCTGTTTCTGGACGTACAGAGATCTTCTTTGATCACGGCAGTCTTTTCTTTGGTAAGAATGACCCATCAAATCATCTACATCAAATTAAAAAATGTTATCTACCTCTGTTTTAGCTGCTGTCCATATTCACAGTGATAACTGCTGTTTTTGATGTCTACTGTTATTCTATGGCTGCCCCTGGTTCTACACACTACGGCTATTATGTAATTTCATATCAATTTGTATATGTTGGATCTAGACATGGTAATAACCAATTACTCGCCTTTCAAACAAATTACTTACATTTGCATTGTTTCAGTGAGAAATACCTTAGTTATGTTTGCCGTTTTTTCTATCTTGCTTGCTCTGGCAGTCTTTGTGACAAGCATAATTCTGATAAATGCACTCCGGAAGGTAGGAATTCTGATATGATCATTTTAAGGCACAATTTGAAGCAACTAACATTTTTTAGGAACACGAAAACAAGATGGTGCCTTGGCTGTATGTTTTTGCAGCATTTACAATATTCAGACTGTTGGGCTACTTATTTTTCTCCATAGTCAATGACATGATATTTGCATATAATATCCTGATGTGTCTGCTGTGGACAATCTTTCTTGTATTCAGCATCTATGGATGGGTCCTAGTATATTCTTTATATGTTGAACTGTCCGACTTAACCAAGCTTGAAGATCTAGCACATCTGAGGGTGAGTACAGTTTTTTTAAGAAAAGCATCAAACATTCTCACCTGCTTTTTCACTAGTGGTTATGTAGCTTTTTATTTATTTCATGCTATCAGGTTCCAAGTCACATAGGTATGTATTTAAACAATGATAGATGTTTTCGAATCAGGCCAGCAAAGTTAGGATGATTTAATTTTTTTTTTAACAATTATTGTTAAATTATATTTTCAAAAAAGGATGAAGCTCTCTAAATCTAAGAGCATGTTTCTTGTTTTTGATGAAACTGCTTTGTAGTATTGCTGTATATCAGGGGACTGTAAAACTTCTATCAAAACATATTTTTTTTGTTTTTTTGACATTAATCATGTGATTTGTATTCCTCTTTCTGGATTAATGCCTGAGTTTCTATGTGTTTTTTTCCTGTTGTAGATTGGCACTTTGCAGTCCCTGAACGCTTCAACAGCCCCATCCCTCGCAGGGTCACGTCCCACCACCCCACACAGCACAGTTTCGACGATGCCAGTCTAGTAGAGATTCCCCTGAGCCCATCACTGCCAGCAACATCTCTACCAAGTACTAGTGGTACCCAACAGGTGCTCAGAAGCCCAGTCATTTCTACCATTTACTAGCTGCTATCAAAAATATTTACAGTCTCTCTTTATAAAGATTGCATTACTACCCGAGTATGCAAGTTTTATAGTAAAGTCCTTGTGCCATATATTTAATATATGGTTTTGTTTGGAAGGCATATCAGTATAGATGTTCTGTACCTATTTAGCTAGTATCATTTTTATATGTACAAAATTTTTACCTTATCAAAGATCATTTAGTGCCTAAGCGCAGTTTTAAACATTTGATTTTATTGTTATACTATTTTATGAATAAGATTCTATACTCTAAAAATAATTACCGTTTAAAAAGTCTCTAAGTGCTGAAACACATTTTTAATGTATTATTGCATTGTTATATTAAGAAAACTGTATTTTTATGTACAATTTTATTAGATCTGAACTTTGTTGTATGTAACATGTCCGTCCATTTTATAACTTTTTTATTAATAAAATTTTTTACAATATGTCTTCTTTTATTTATAATTCATCATTTGATCCAAATGTTGATCACATTTAATGAAAATGTTTCGTAACAATATCATTCTCAATTGAGAAAATTAGTACAGTAGATCAAGGCCTAATATGTGTAAAAAATCAAAGAGTACCTAATACTTTTTGGCTAATGTAGAAGGTGATTGTTATATGCAAGATATGTAGATATTAAAACTGAAAATGATTTTTATCGGTGTCTTCAAGAAATAAACAAATTCTACCTGAAGTTATCCAATTTGAAATACAAAAAGGATTGAAGGACCTAGTGCCATCTATGAGACCATACCAGAACACTTTAAATTAGTTTTCCGAATTTGCTACTGCCTCATAGATGGCACTTTTATCTTTCAGATCCTTTTTTGGATGCAAGGATATAGTAAATGGTTTGCCATTACAAAAAAAAGTCAAAATTTCCAAAAAAAGATGTCATCACTCTTCAAACTCTAATATTTCATAAAAGTTCCCAACTTTGATAGCAACTCCTCGATCAGACTTGATCTCCTCTGGCAAACCCTCTGTATCGGCCACATCTTCATCTAGATTCTGATCTTCACCTTTGAGAACCCTCATCCTTTCCTCTAGCTGGTATTTTGCAAGTTCTGCCTTGCTCACGTCAGTCTCTTTTGATTTCACTTTTTTCTCAAGAGAATTCAAAGTCTGCTGTGCAGATTGAAGCATAACAACAGGGTCAGGGTGGCAAGGCATTTTAACATAGTATTCTCCAGTGTGGACTACTTTGCCTTTCATGAAAATGTTCTTTGAAAGAGGTATCATCGCCTCCTTTTCAGGGTACACACTTAGATATTGTATTTGTTTGGTTAGCTCTTCTAACTTTTCTTTTTCTTTCCGATGAGCCTCCACCGATTTTATGTTTCGTCGTATGTCTTTTTCCAAATGAGTGATGAACTCATTTCTGGATTCTAGAGCCTCTACAATACTCTTATCCATACTTCAAAGGGTAATACGTTTTAACTTTTAACATTTCTTCGAATTAGGAAAGTGCTAAAAACAATAAACGGAGGCATAGGCATATCGCATATGGAACACAAAATTTGAACCTAGGTTCGTGCTTGCTCGTTACGTAACGAGCCAGCTGAAAGATATAGTCCAGACGACGAAGATACATGTAATCATTATACATCATTTTCAATAGAATCGTAAAGAAATGTAAGATGCAGGCTAATTTAAATGGATGATATATAATCGATCAAGAAAAGTTCCAATAATAAACTGTGGAAGGGATGTGTGATTCAAAAGAAGGATTTTCTCTATGCTCTGACCCTTTCATTGTGGAGTCCTAAGGTTAGCTGACATAGTTATTGTCGAACATAACCCTGTCTAAGGATGATTTATCGTAAGCCTCATCCCACACTATAGAACATAAGTAATATTTCTGTTCCACAATAAACAAAAAATATGATTCTCTAAAAAGAGCTAGAAACTTTGTGGTCAAGTATGGAGTTTAGAGATCAAACGAATTTTAAAGGGGAAATATCGATGTTTAATTCCTAAAATGCGAACAATTTTAAGTTCAAGTATTTACTTGCCAACAAACCAGCTTCAAAGTCATTTTAAGATCAGATAAATGTTCAAGTAAAAACTACTTACTTTTTGTCAAGAGTATGTAAACAGCAAAACATTAAAAATTCATAACAATAAAATATTGGATAAACTAAACTTACTTGAATATTGCATTTATTTCTCCGAAGCCAATCTCCTGCATATTAATACAGAGCCAATCTCATATAGTACTACTTCCACACAAGTGGAACCGCGGGATAAGTAGAGCACAAAATTTGTGCGACTATATACCTAGTATATGCCTCGCAGGTGTGTGTTGTGGTATTACCAGGATCAAAAGCTTCTCACTAATAGAATGTTTTTCACTGATACACGAAATGCAGGGGTCTCTGAAACATCATCAAACGAAGCTTCAACGATTTTTATTTCTCATTCAGATTTGCATGTAATACCGCCGCCACTGGATCATTTTTCAAAATGCATAGTGCTTTAAATTATTTCATGATGCATTTTATAATACCTTTTCCGATATTTGAAAAACGGTACATTAACAGATGAACTAGTCTCCGAAATCTCATAAGCGATCAATAAAAGTACGACTGGGTTAATCCAATCATTTAATTAATGCCAATTACATTCGTCGACTAGACTATTCCAATAAGTTCGTTACGTATCGAAAACAGGGAATTCAGGGTTATACAATATTGACAAGTGATTGACAGTTGCAAAATGACATTTGACCAGAACTCTCGATATCCGATACATACTCGCAGTGATTTAGCAGTGTTGCCAAATTATTATTTCTTTTAATTATATCGATATTTTTTTCTCATCTCTATTACGAACATTAGCTGTTCTATGGATCCAAGATCACAGTAAGTCCAAGTGACAGAGACAGATTGTCAGATTGCAGTGACAGTTTAAGACGTTTTTCTGATAAATCTGATATTTTTTCATTATGTAAATAAATTTTAATTGTTTTCGATGAATAATGTTGGAAAGTATGCCACCGTTTAGACGAAAAAAATCAGGCAAAAGCTTCCCGGTAAAGGTTTGCACCTTAGACGCTGAGTTGGAGTTTAATTTAGAGGTAGGGACATAAGTAGAAAGTAGTAGAGTGCATCCATTGACTGCATCCAGTCTCATTCATCAGCTTTGTTTACGGATGTTTGTCGCCATATCGTAGGGTATTTATAAACCTTAACGATTGTTTCAGTGGCGAGCGACAGGCAGGGATTTATTTGAGCTAGTTTGCAGGACAATAGGTTTGAGAGAAACTTGGTATTTTGGGCTGCAGTATGAAGATTCCAAAGGGTTCATATCATGGCTCAAACTCGACAAAAAAGGTTTGTTTATCTCACATCAAGTGTCTGATGTGCAGCAAGCTTCTACTGTCACCAAATCGAATGCATAAATATAATAATTTACGATATTTGTGGAATAGTTTATATGAAAAGTAGATCTACTTACAAGAATGATCAATAAATACTGATGGTATGGACCACAGTAAATACCAATGAAGTTATGTTCACCTAAGTTATATTTTTAAACATTAAAGAGTAATGGCTGGTTTATACATTTTAATTATATTCTTAATCATAGGTGAACATAATTTATAAGAATTGTCATAATCATAGTTATAAGCATAACATGACTGACTGAAGTTCATAACTCTTTAGTCCAGGTAGTATTTTGGCATCTATTCAGAAAAATATTCTGATTCTGTATTTTGTATAACCCTATTCAAAAATAAATTTTCAGGTTGCCAAGACCCAAAATTGCATAAAATATTGTTTAAACAGTGTTTATCAACAAATTCTATAAACTGTTTTTTGTGTTCTCAGTGGAGTTGTATTTTGGGTCATTTTGAACAAAAAACGTTGGACTTTTCTTTAAAGTTGATTTAATATTGATTGTTTCTTTTGCATGATTTCCAGTGCAAGACCAAAGCATCCAGAAGAATCATCAGACTGCATCCTTTATGTTCCTAGCCAAGTTTTATCCAGAAGAAGTAGCAGAAGAACTTGTGCAAGAAGTGACTCAACACTTGTTCTTCCTCCAAGTCAAACAAGCCATACTCTCTATGGATGTATATTGTCCACCTGAGGCTTCAGTTTTGCTAGCTAGTTACGCTGTCCAAGCTAAGGTATCAACAACTGAGAATATTTCTGCAGATTAAATATTGGCTTTGCAATACATTTTGTTGTTTGATGTCTGTTACTCAAAATGAACTGAACAAATGACTTTCATGTCTGTAAGGAATATTTGTAATATTTTTTCATTTAAATGTATAAAGTTCACTTTTTCATCTTCACTGTAGTTTTTATCCATGTTATTGAGACATTGACGCTTTTAAAAAATGCTTCATTTCTGATGATTTTTAGTTTGGTGACTTTGATGAAGACACATACAAGCCTGGCATGTTAGCTAGTGAGGATCTGCTACCTCAAAGAGTCATAGATCAATACCAAATGACTTTAGAAATGTGGGAAGAAAGAATAAGGGTATGGTATGCTGACCATCGTGGCATGTCCAGAGATGAGGCTGAAATGGAATATTTGAAGATTGCACAGGACCTTGACATGTACGGAGTTAATTACTTCCCGATTTGTGTAAGTCCACTTGATCTTTGGAATAATCAGTAAATAATGAATTTTTACTTTTTGCTTTTTAGAATAAAAAAGAGACTGATTTGTGGCTTGGCGTTACAGCACTGGGCCTAAATATCTATGAAAAAGAAAACAAACTGCAACCAAAAACGACATTCACGTGGTCTGAAATTAGGCACATCAGTTTTGATGACAAGAAATTTATCATCAAACCTGTTGACAAAAATGCACCAAATTTCGTGTTCTTCAGCCAAAAAGTCAGGATGAACAAACTGGTAAGTTAGAAATTTGCTTTTTCCTTATTTCATTTGTCCTTTATTACCAGTAGAGTAAAATATTCTTTGGACAGACAGAAAGTGGGTTTAGCTGCCTTACCAATGACTAGGAGTTTTTCTTCTTCACCCACCATATTTACACAGTGCAAAGTTGAAAACACCTCATTGGGATACTTGCCCCCAACAGATTTTCCTTCTTTAATGTGCGCTTTTTGCCAGGCAGAGCCCTAAAATACATAAGAACATTTTCACGTGTCCGCGTCCATTAAAGAAAATGGAATTTCAGTGTGATTTTTTTTTAATCTGGCATATTATACTTGAAAATGTTCTAATCTATTTATGGACGACCCTTTTTACAGCATTGAAGAATACTTATCAGACTTGTGAATTGAATTATTGCACATAATTTATTTTTAATCTGTTTTCAAACTGTTGGTCAGTCATTTTTTTGTTTATTTGTTATTTATTCACATCTTTTTAATCTGTTTGTTTATGTTGTTATTTTGTGTCCATCATGTTTGTATAGTATTATTTAATTTATTTTACCTTTGACTTTAGTGTTGACTGGATCACGAGTTTTTAAGTATTTTTTTTTTCATTTAATGTTCCTTGACAATTAGCTGATACTTTTTCAAGTCAAATGGCAATAAATATATTATTATAATCTAAATATTGTTAGAGAGAAATAGAAATTGAGAATTCTTCCAGTTTTGTGTCTAGTGTTATCTAAGGAGTGCTGAAAAGTACTACATAACATATTTTTTCCTCAGTAGCAGAAAAAACACATTCTAGTAATTTAAAAGTCTAAGATGTACAAACGAAAGTAAAAACGCCGAGAATAACGTTGCATAATATCAAATTCCTTGCAAGCAGTAAATTAAGACCAGCTAACTGCTTGAACCAGAACATGAGTAACACTTGGTTATTAAATGTGTAGTCATTGTGTTGAGTCATTGACTGTGAAAATAATAATAAACAGTTTGTTTGCTGGGACTGTGGTATTTTAATATATGCATTTATGCGGCGATGCGTTAGTACCGGTAGACGAAAATGGAATTTTTGCATGACATAATTTATAAGGGAAATTATCCACAGATTTCTTGCATATACAGGGTGCACTTTTAGTGTGGGGTCAGTCAAAAAAGTTAAATATATATCAATATGCTGCATATTTGGAAAATTTGATTTAGCATAATATAGGGTTTTATTTTCAAAATGTTCAGGACCAATCTATCGAAAAAAAATACTCACCTCTGACAACTCACACACCTGCAACTGTTATAGCTTGAGAACTGCATTTTTAGTCAGAAAAATTCAATGGTCCAAAATTTTCTCCCTATCTACTTACTTTTTCAACTTTTTGGTTTATAGTAGGGGTATACTCGTAGTAGGGTAGTCGAGAACTAATATGAACGTTTTCTCAAAATTTTCAAATCGAACACTTTGTATATTTTCGCGATTTTTTTTTATATAGGCTTTATGGGAGTTTGTAGGAATGGTTTTTAAGCTACAGTTAACCTTTTTGTAAATTGAATATCAATTTCTTACTTATAACTTTAGTATTTTATTTATTACCAGCAACTCCACATTTAACAACATTTTGACCATCTTGTTCGAATTCAGCACTCTGTTTGTAACAATGAGACACGAAAATGAACATTTTGCAACACAAACTCACGACAAACTTTTCATAAGTCCTTACGTATCAGTGTTTGGGACAAAAATTCGGCCACCAAATTGGACACAAAAGGATTTATAACCTATACAAATGTTTAGATCTTAGACCTGTGTATGGGAAACCACGACCTGTTTATGCGTCGCCGCAAACCGGACTCAATGGAACTTCAGCAGATGAAAGCTGCCGCAAAGGAAGAAAAGCAAAGGAGGCAGGTACAGCGAAATAGGTTAGCTAGGGAGAAACAACTGAGGGAAGAGGCAGAAAGGGAAAGGGCCACCATGGAACAACGGTTGTTGCAGTACCAGGAGGAGATGAGGCTCGCTAATGAAGCGCTGGTATGTTTCTAACAAACAATGACAAGACACTTCTAACCGACGTGCTTCCTCTTCGTTGTTTTCCCCCATTTTTATATTACATTTATATACACCACTATTTATGTCTGACTAATTCTTATGTCGCCATTGACTGCACTATACTCCACTCAGCTCTGGTGTAATCTGTACTCTCTGCTTCCATCTCCCGGCCGCCGAGTTATACAGGGTGGCGCATCGAAAACGAAACAGACGCATTTACTGGCAGCTCAGTTTTCTTTTTAAAAAACGCTCAGACCCGTCGATTTTGTTTTCGAGGGGGACACAAGTTTGGCAAAAATCACGTTAACGCGTGCAGCCCCCTGGGCGGGGGTGACACCAACCCTACAATCTTAAATGAAAAGGGGGTCGAGTGATACCTTATTTTAATGGTCTTTCAATTCCCTTTATAATGATGTAAAATACATGAGCTTCAGTTCAGTAGTTTTGAAGATTTATTGATTTAAAGCTTAAAGTAGAGTTTAATAGGTACATCAGATTAGTTTGTACTACTTTCAGAAGAAATTTGACTAAAAGAATTTACTTAATAAGTAAATGCTTTTCTTCACTACGCACATGGTTTATATGACCAGTTAATGGGGAAACTTGCGAGTTCGGTAGGAATTTGTGTGTTAGATGGTAGAATAAATATATTATCTAAATCTTGCCTCCTGTAATAATATTACAAATAAAAGACATTAATTATTATTATTATATATAAAAAGAATTCTATTTATTCACAGGTTATTAGTACACTAGGTACAAATGATATACTCTTGTATATTTTTTAGAAGAAAGTAAAGTCTAAAATGCAGTTTTTTTGCAGCGGAGGTCAGAGGAAAGCGCTGACTTACTAGCAGAAAAAAGTCGAGTTGCTGAAGAAGAAGCGAGACTTTTGAGTCAAAAAGCAGCCGAAGCTGAACAGGAAATCACCAGGTTACGATTGACTGCTCTTAGAAAAGACGAGGAAAAAGTGAGTAGCCTTAGTGAACTTGCCTATTTTCTTTAGAGTTAATGGGTGATTTTTTTGCTAGTATCTTTTTGGCAACACTGTTTTTGACAGATGACGCGTGAATCGTGCCTTGTGTCATTGTCAAATTTATTCAGTTTGGTCTATAATTTAACCATGAATCGACTTACGAACGAACAACGCTTGCAAATTATTGAATTTTACTATCAAAATTCATGCTCAGTTAAGAGGGTGCATCGAGCACTGCTTCCAATTTATGGGCAATTTGGTCGGCCTACTGAGGGAGCTATTCGGAAGCTTGTGACTAAATTTCGAACCCAGTTTACGTTATTGGACATTAAACCACCAACACGCAGACGTAGAGTGAGGACTGAAGAAAATATTGCGGCTGTATCCGCCAGTGTTAGTGATGACCGTGAAATGTCGATTCGCCGCCGTTCGCAGCAATTGGGCTCTGTTACTCCACTACGTGGAAAATTTTGCGACAGGATTTGGGTGTAAAACCTTATAAGATACAGCTGGTGCAAGAATTGAAGCCACACGACCTCCCACAACGTTTCCAATTTGGTGAATGGGCGCTGGCAAAGTTGGAGGAAGATCCACATTTTTATCGAAAAATTGTGTGCAGAGACGAAGCTCATTTCTGGTTGAATGGGTACGTTAACAAGCAAAATTGCCGCATCTGGAGTGAAGACCAGCCAGAAGCATTGCAAGAGCTACCAACGCATCCCGAAAAAATCACTGTTTGGTGTGGATTATGGGCCGGTGGCATCATCGGGCCGTACTTCTTCAAAGACGACAATGGCCTGAACGTAACTGTGAATGGCGAGCGCTACCGTGCGATGATAAACTTTTCTTTGCCCAAAATGGAAGAGCTGGACTTGGCTGACATGTGGTTTCAACAAGACGGTGCCACATGCTACACCGCACACGAAACAATGGCCCTATTGAGAGGCGAGTTCGGTGAACAGTTTATCTCACGTTTGGGGCCCGTCAATTGGCCGCCTAGATCGTGTGATTTAACGCCGTTGGACTATTTCTTGTGGGGCCATGTTAAGGCTAATGTCTACAGGGATAAACCAGCAACGATTGACGCACTGGATGCCAATATTGAAGCATTTATTCGTGAGATACCGGCCGATATGTTGGCGAGAGTGTGCCAAAATTGGACCTTGCGCATGGGCCATCTAAAGCGGAGCCGCGGCCAACATTTACATGAAATAATCGATTATATCGACCGTTCTATCGACTCAAAGATTTAATCGTTTTTTCAAATTTTTGGGTTTTTTTTAAATCAAATTCTATACCTCTTAAAAAATCACCCGTTATAAACGAGAACCAAAACTCGTGAAACATAATTCATTTGACAGTCTTTAATAGTCGAAAACCTCTTGTTGGATTTAACTGTGTGCTCTTTCAGGTTTCTTTAGAGAGAAAAACGAGGGAAGCTGAAATGTTGACGGCACGGTTAGTGGAAGAGTCTGAAAAAAGGGCAGCTGAAGCTAACAAGTTGAAAGAGGAACTGATGAGAGCTCGTGCCGCTGAGAAACAAGCCAAAGAGAAGCTTTTGGATTTTCTCAGTCGGACCACGTCTTCTTATACGGGATCGAACACCGCATCACCTATTTCTGTAAGTATTCCAGTATCTAGGCATGTCAGATGGAACCGCCAGGCTTCTGATTTTCGTTCTTACTCGAACAAACGTGCATCAGCAACTAGCTGGTACTGATCTTAGTTCAGAAATTTTTCAACTTTGCTTTGATCTTGTTGAACGCATCTCAAGATTTCTGAGGGTGTCTCATTTTGTTCAATCTAAAATTGAATAATATTTGGATATTTTTTTCAGTCTGTGACAGCGCTGTACCCCCCGCCATTAAGTCCTTGTTATGGACCAGACTTGTCCATTTTGGACAATGAGCCATCTGCTTCTCCTGATCTTAACCTCAACATTACCTCTTACGATCTCATCGTTAACGGCGCGGATGCCGATCAGTTGTCCTTAGAAATTGAAAAAGAAAGGTGAGTAAGGGTTTCTTTAGAACAATCTTCCATTTTCTTGACATTCTGTATATTTTTTGGTTTTCCAGAGTGGATTACCTGGAGAAATCTAAGCATCTCCAGAATCAGCTGAGAGAACTGCGCAGCGAAATCGCCGTTTTGAAAGTGGGCGAGAAACAGACTGACTATGACCAGCTGCACGAGGAGCAGGTCAAAATGGGCGAGACCAAGTACTCTACCTTAAAAAAAAGCAAATCGGGTTCGACGAAAAGTAGGGTGGCGTTTTTTGAAGAGTTATAGTATAGTCTATTTACGTTTAAATATTTATACAAGAATTATGTTAAGACTAAAATAAATATTTTATCCTTTGTGTTCGTTTTTTTTAGCAAAACTTACACCCTGGGGGTCAAGTCTTGGAAATAAGGAAGAAAATTACCGGTAGAAAGTGTTTTTTAACTTTCTTGACGATCTTTCAGTATGAAAAATATAAGTGGCGCATCAACTTTTCTAGACACGTTTGCAGGGACGCTACTAATGGCAGAATAATTACTTTTTACACTAAAATATGTCATTTTACATCCTCTAATAAGCAAAAATTAAAAGCAATGTTTAAAGTATACTAAGCGACATACAGTAGCGGACAAAAGTTTTGAAACAAATTTTAACATTACTATGAACTATTTCATATACCTAAATTAAAATTGTGAATGTGAAGGAATACTCTGATATTGCGTGCGGTAAATATTAACATCAGTGAGAATGGCAAAAGTAAAATAATTTTCAAAAGATTCAAGAGACAAAGTAAATGAACTATTTAGAAGTGGTGTCGGAAATGTTGACATTTCTCAAAGATTAAAAATGAACAAAGGGACGGTTACGAAAATTAGTAAATATCAAGAATACGGATCAACAGCAACGCGGCCCAGGTGCGGAAGACCGAAAAAAACCGATGATGTTTTGGATCGCTAGATTAAACGTTTGTCCCTTGAAGATCCTCGAATGACAGCCACACAATTTTTAAAAAGAATCGTAGAAGGGATGCCGAATCTTTCTGTCAGAACAGTGCAGAAACGCGTGGTGGACTTTACGCTTTTTGGTAGGCGTTCAGTGCAAAAGCCTCTCAGTTAAAAAAAATCGCTAAAACTCGTCTAACTTGGACAAAACAACAATGGAATACAGTTTTATTGAGTGATGAAAGCGAATTTAACTTGTTTGGATCTGACGGTACGGCATATGTGAGACGTCCAATACGAAAAAGATGGCAAAAAGTATCAGTTGCCAACATTTAAGCACGGTGGAGGCAACATCATAGTTTGGGACTGTTTTTCTAGTTCTGGAACTGGTCCAATTGTTCAAATTGTTGGGAAAATGGATCAAAAACTTCACAAAGATATTCTTAGTGAACACATGCTCCCTTTTGCTGAAGAAGAAATGCTTTACGATGGACACTCGTAAAGGAGTGGTTAAGACTAAAAAATGTTAACCTTCTTACATGGCCTTTCAATCCCTGGACCTAAACTCTATAGAACATTTCTGGGAGCAGACAACTGACAAGAAAAACTTTTAAAAATAGGAACGATTTATTTGATTATGTAAAAAATATTTGGTAAAATATCTCAACAGATGTCTGTTAAAAAATGGTGTCTTCTAAGGGCAACGGCAAAGACAAATTGTCATTTGTATCCTCAAGACTGTAAGCAGTATATGAGAAAAAAAATAGTCCTTAATAATAAAGAATAAAAAATTAGCACACTTTTTAAAAATTCCTCCACAAACATTGGAGGATGGCCTTGAATACAATACACCAAAAATACACCAATCACCTAATCCAATCAATGTCACGACGCCTTAACGAATGTGTAGCGATCTTCAACACATTATTAACGTTAAGGTGGGATATCTCAGGTATTTTGCGAAATTTCGAGTTAAAGTTTTAATCACTTTCCATTTATCAGTAGACCTAAAAACTTGTGAAAGTATGCTCAAAATTACAGCACTCCTAGTCAGTGTTGCATTTTCTATGTCATTTAGTATATTTGTTCGTGACGTCATGTAACATCCAAAAAACATGACACCTCATTTTCTGTTTACAACCCTTCCTCACCAACTGATGTGTTGAGTAAAACCAAATTTATCTACACAACCTTTATTTTAAATAGGAATGGTCTAATAACATATTTACAAATATAACAGGAAAACAAATATTACAAAATACAGGAAAACTAAAATAATAAATTCATAATATCCAATAAATTGCATACACACCATACTGTGTACCTCACTAATCTTTGCTAACTTTGGCATGCTTCTTGTGTATCCTCTTATGATACGATTGGGCCAACGAGTTGACAATTGAAATGATAAAATAGAGCACCATACCGATGACGAATTTCTCGAAAATCCCGCTGAGGATGTTCCCCGACGCTTCTGGAACGTTTCCGGCCGTCTTCTTGTGAAGCTTCAACTTCTGGCCATCCAAAAAGGCCGTGAAAGGGACTTGGAGTTTTGCCCCCACCACTGGAACCACTTTCAGCCAATCAATGGCTTTCTCGATCAGCGTCTCGTTGAACGCGATGATCACGAAGAGTTTTTGGATGTGCATTTTGATGATCGCCTTGCCGATCAAAGTGGCGCCGAAAAAGGTCCAGAACGGTACCAGGAAATGACCGCAGGTGATGCCTGCCAGGTCAAACAGCGGGTTCGGGATCTGGAATATAAACAGATTATAGAGCTGATTTGGAAAAAATAGATCAGTGCCCTCCAGTGATCTCAATCAAACACAAAATCAAGGAGGTGGTATATGCGAATTTCATAACTATTAGACCAGGATATTTAAAACGGTCTAAAAAAGAACATTTTCGTGAAATAGTGTATTTTTCATAAGCTTTCAATTGGTGAGCATCCTAGTTACGACTGTCAAAAAACAACAGATTTATTCTAATTGTTTATAAGGTGAAATCAAATGTCCCATTAGCCGTTTTACATGGTATGAAAAACCTGGTTTCTCTTTTAATACCAGATTAAACTATGCCTCTAGCAAGAGAATGAGACGAAATGAGGTAATTTGAAAACTCAAAGTCGCTGGACAGCTAGTCAAAAAAGCCCTTTTTCTAAAAAGAATTAACAGCAATTAGAAATTTTCAGAAACGGTTGATTATTTTTGAGTGAAAATTTGGGTGTTAAGCAGAACAATGGCTTCAATTTTTTGTTATTATTTCAGATTTACTGTTATGCATTTTCCGCCAAAAAATAAATATAGAACTCGACGATTGCCAACGTTGTTTTGTAATAAAAACTAGACAGTCAAGGCAAATTCGCCGAATAAGGTCTCATTTTGAAGATATTTTCATCTAGTATAAATTGTTTTGGACCACTTTCATCAATAATTCATAAATAATAGTAATAATAAAAAAGATCGCCAGCAAAATGTTTTGTATCTCTCGATAAGGAACTTTTTCATATACCCTCAAAACCGCTTATAACATTTTTTTTCTGAAACAGGGACGATTTTTGGATAGCCAGCTTGGTCTATGTTTTCGAAATCGTGAGTGACCAACAAAACGTAAAAAAATATGCCAGCCTTTTGATACAAGTTTTTTTGTCGATGGAAGAACATAACATTTTGGTTTAATTTTCGCGAGTTTTTGTTCGGAATTTCGTAGTGACAGGCTACATAATACTGAAAGGAATGCCATTTTGTCCTTAAAAACCGACAAGCTACTTTTTCAGCGTTATTCACATCCATACAAAAATTGTGAACAAATTGCAAACTTGAGACGTGGTCATTGTCGTTTAGACCAGTTAGGTGAAAAATAAAGCTTCCGCCTTTTGTTGGGTACTTCGTCAAAAATCAAGCAAAGAAATCAAAAAGAACTCTTTATACTTCATTAATCTCTAGTTTTAAAATTGTTGCTACAATCTCACATACGACTGTAAGTTAATTTAAAATCATTTTGCACAATAGTTGCTATTTCTTCTCAATGTTATTGCAGCTCCTGATGAAGATGGCAAAGTCCATTGAAAGCTAGAGATTAATAAAGTATAAAGAGTCCCCTTTGCTTGAATTTTTTCGAAGTACCCAACAAAAGGCGGAAGCTATATATATTCAGGTTTGGTTTTTGAGAATTGAGAATCGAAAATGGAAATTTTACCGCACAAAGTTTAAAAAAAATTTAAGGTGTCACACAGTATACTCACACTAGCACATGCCAATATTCCCAAAAATCCGACTTTCTGTACGATTTCTTCTACAAATAATTTTCCACGTTCAACTAGAGTCAACTGATCCCTATTCTGTTTTTTCTTTTCTAATTCTTCTAATTCTTTTAAGTCATCATCTTCATCTTCCGGATCAATCCTGCAAATACATCACATTAAGTAAAACAAATTACCAAAGCTGTGATTTAAATTACGTAAAATTCACCAAAAGGTATGCAATACATGCAAGGAAGCATTAAAAATCCCGAAAGAAAAAACTTACCCTGATAGTCTAGCAGCTCTAGCCATGAAATATGGCGGCAACTCTCCTAAAGCTGTACCTGCACCCCAACACATTGCTTCTAGCCTCACTTTGGACATAATACTCCATATCGAAATCAGCAAAGGATCCTTCTCATTTGGGCATATTATACTGAAAAAAGAAGAATAAAGAATTAAACAATGATAAATCATATTTCATCAAAAAATAATAGTGTGTTTAATTCAAATATACTCACTCATCTGGATATGGGGGTTCAGGGAAGTTCAAACTTTCACATTCGTATGCAGCTAAGGTAACAGCTGCTATATGGGGTCCCAAATATAATAAAAATGTATGGAGTCCGGTACCTAACCCTACTGATGACAATATACCTACAATAAATTTTATTTTTGTAATAAACAGAATCATTGATTTACGTATTATCCAAGTAGATTTCCAATCCTATGCTGTGCTTTGAAGTTTACATTGTAGTATCATAATATTGGGAGAATTAAAAACAGTCTCCATTGTCAAAAAATTATAAGACTTACATGATAAAGTTATGAGAATAACATTATATAAAAATGAGTACCCCAAAGTAAAGCATTGCAGAGGTTGAATATAAAAAATTCATATCATTCTGATTCACATTTTTACATTTAAAATAAAGATCATCTTTTGCCACAACATTTAGAACATTAAATAGAATTGAATAATCATTACCACAATTATTATGCAAGAGGAAATATAGATTTCCAGCTCCTAAATTTCAACAATAATATAACTAGCAAATAAATATTTCAGAAGGGATTACTTAAATTTAATAAACTAAACTATGATATAAAGACTACTTGTGACTTGAAGATGTCGAGAAATTATTAACGAAATTGCATTGCTATGGATTTCAAGGTTCAGTATTCAACTTATTACAAAATTATTTAATCAATAGAAGTCAAAGAACTGAAATTGGCAATACATTATCAAACATTAAAAACATTTCGGTAGGTGTGCCACAGGGTAGCAAATTAGGACCATTACTATTTATTTTATATATTAACGATATTCCTGATATTTTACAACACTGCGAAATTCAACTATTTGCTGATGATACATTAATATATATATATATATATATATATATATATACAGGGTGTCACAGAAGTCGACGTCAAGCCGAAACCGGGTGATAGGCAAAGTCATAACAGCTATCAGAAAAATATTTAAAAAAATTTTATGTATGTGTTTTGAAAATTATAGGTCTTTGAAAAAAATATAGAAATTTCACACCCTACGGCAGTCTGTCAACTCCTGTTACTACAAATATTAACTTTTTTTGGATTTTATTTTTACAATGTAATGATGAATAATGCATCTTCAAACTGGTGTCTCAACCTTACTGCCAACTTTTCACGTTCATGAAAAATTGCCACTTATTTCCCAACCAAGTATTCCAAAGTAAAACTTTGCTCAACTTTAACTGGCTGTACTGGAAAAAAATGTACTACGAGAGTTTGGCAAGTAACCTTAAAAGTTGGCGCATTTAATAACGATTCCAAAATGGTATAACACTTAGAAGATTACTCGTTAACTTAGGCACAATTTTTATTTGAAGAAAAACTAATGAAAATTTTTCAAAATTTCCTAATTAAACAGCGATTATGAAAACGCACAAGGACCCTTAAAGATAACTGTTTGCACAACAGTGGGCGTCAAAATGCTGCTGATGATGATTTACAGCAAATGCTCAAACTGTTTTCCTTCAGCCGCAATACACGCTCGACATCTTCCAATAGTCTTTGCCGTAGCTCAGCTACATTTTGAATCGGCTTGAAATACACTTTTTCTTTTACAGTTCCCCAGTAAAAAAATCTAAAGGATTCAAATCAGGTGATCGGGCTGGCCACGGTATTGTACCAGACCGCCTTATCCATCTGCCTGGAAAGTTTTGATCGAGATACTCTCTCACTGAGAGTGCATAGTGCGCTGGGCAGCCATCATGCTAAAACCACATGTCCCTGTAAATACTCAGTGGCACGTCCACCAATAAATTTTGTATATGGTTTTTCAAAAAATCCAAATAAACTTCAGCAGTCAAAGTCTCTGGGAACTCAAACGGACCGATTATTTTACCATTTAAAATTCCTGTCCAATGGTTTATCTTGAAGCGATATTGAGATTTATCTTCTCTCATCAAATGTGGGTTTGCTACGTGCCACTCGTGTAAGTTATGCAGACCGACCATACAATTTTTTCAAAGAACTGTGGATCTTTCCTGTGTCTTTCTAACATTGTGGCAGGAGAGGTTGAACACGCTGTATGTGGTATGGATGGAGCACGTTTTTTTGCAAGATTCTATGGGCTGTACTTTTGGGCACAGCTGTTTTTAGTTCTATTGCATGCACTGAAGTACTCGGGTCTTCTTCGACAGCTCCTAGCACCACGTCTTCGTAAGGAAGGAAAGATCTTCCCTCACCGTGTGATTGGTTTGGTAGTTGGCCCTCTGAGAACAGTAAGCGGTGCACATTTGTGAACACTCGATGATCAGGATGACGAGCTGCATTCGGTTACCTCTCACAGTAAAGTCTAGCTGCAGCACTAGCGTTGCATCTGCATTCCCCATAAATGAGGTGCATGTTAGCATATTCTTGTACGGTGTACACGGACATAGCGGCACTGCACAATCACACTATTAAAGATAGTCTAAGGAAAGCAAATGTTGTTTTGAAGAGCAATTAAACAGTCCAAATCCAAATCACAAGCGATCAACAGTCCAGTTCACGAATCCAAAATTAGTAACAGTACGAAATCAACAAGCACGAACATGTAAAGATGCGCAGTAAACGAAGGAGTACTGATCGGTATCAAAGTGTGCAATAGCAAGTAAGTGATGTGCTTCATCCATACCACATACAGCGTGTTCAACCTCTCCTGCTCCGGGATTATGAGCCCCGAGTTGCTTTTTGTCGCACAATGTTAGAAAGACACAGGAAAGATCCACAGTTCTTTGAAAAAATTTTATGGTCGGATGAGACCACATTTAAGAAAGATGAACCTGCATAACTTACACGAGTGGCACGTAGCAAACCTCAAATCTCAATATCGCTTCAAGATAAACCATTGGTAAAATAATCGGCTCGTTTGAGTTCTCAGAGACTTTGACTGCTGAAGTTTATTTGGATTTTTTGAAAAATCATGTACAAAATTTATTGGTGGACGTGCCACTGAGTATTTACAGGGATCAAAACTTTCCAGGCAGATGGATAAGGCGGTCTGGTACAATACCGTGGCCAGCACGATCACCAGATTTAAATCCGTTAGATTTTTTTTACTGGGGAACTGTAAAAGAAAAAGTGTATTTCAAGCCGATTCAAAATGTAGCTGAGCTACGGCAAAGACTATTGGAAGCAGCTGAGTTTGTTAATAACCGTGGATTCGCTCGTTTAATAACCCGATCTGTTTTAAGAAGATTTTGCATTTTGACGCCCACTGTTGTGCAAACAGTTATCCTTAAGGGTCCTTGTGCGTTTTCATAATCGCTGTTTAATTAGGAAATTTTGAAAAATTTTCATCAGTTTTTCTTCAAATAAAAATTGTGCATAAGTTAACAAGTAATCTTCTAAGTGTTATACCATTTTGGAATCGTTATTGAATGCGCAAACTTTTGAGGTTACTTGCCAAACTCTCGTAGTACATTTTTTCCAGTACAGCCAGTTAAAGTTGAGCAAAGTTTTACTTTGGAATACTTGGTTGGGAAATAAGTGGCAATTTTTCCTGAACGAGAAAAGTTGGCAGTAAGGTTGAGACACCAGTTTGAAGGTGCATTATTCATCATTACATTGTGTAAATAAAATCCAAAAAAAGTTAATATTTGTAGTAACAGGAGTTGACAGACTGCCGTAGGGTGTGAAATTTCTATATTTTTTTCAAAGACCTATAATTTTCAAAACACATACATTTTTTTAAATATTTTTCTCATAGCTGTTATGACTTTGCCTATCACCCGGTTTCGGCTTGACGTCGACTTCTGGGACACCCTGTATATATATATATTAATATATCATCAGCAAATAGTTGAATTTCGCAGTGTTGTAAAATAAACTGCAATAGAGCTGTTAAATAATGATATGAAAAACGTAATAAACTGGTTAAATGTAAATAAACTTAAACTAAACACAAACAAAACAAAATATAGGCTAATAGGAAAATCTTTAGATCAAAATACGATAAATCTTACAATTAATCATGAAAAAATTGGATGTCCGAATGGTATTTGACAAGACTATTTCATGAATAACAGATTATTCTGCGTACAAATAGCTTACAAAATTTATTGACAATAAAATCAGAAAAATTGTTTAGCGTCGTTTTCTGGTGCCCTGTTATCAAAGGTATTGTAATTTTTGGAGACAACAGCTGTTAAAAAACTGCTGACAGGTGCTGCCATACAATTTTTCCATTTAGAAACCATTTGTAACTCACAACTGCGCGTTTGTGATTGGTAGAAATTATGACGAGCGAAATAACCCAAAGAAAGATCACCCCTCAACCTCCCTCCTCAGGATCTAGAGACCAAGCCTGTTGATTGCCAAGAAGCACGAAACATTTATACATGGTTTGCCTTCTGTTGGACGGATGGATAAAGGAAAAGCAGATGTTATAGCCTAAGGCAACAGTCGGAGAAATGGTAATGCTGACACCACAAGATATGATGGTCGTCAGGATTTGGGTATCTTCTGGTGGAAGGTGTCAATCAATGATAAATCGTGGAAATTCTTTTTAAAAGCATGCTTCCTTACCTAAGCCTATCCAATATAAACACCACACCAATTTCTTATATACCCTCTGCACAGCGTTCAGGTGAGGTCCATTGGAATTTACTAATACATACAAACTTAATACTGAGATCAAAACGACACCTACTGTCTTCCTATGTGATAAAATACTGAAACAAAAATATTTGAAGTCAGCCTATTTGAATTAAAATTCATGTCAAGATCAAAAACTGTCTCAAAATAGCAAATAATAATTAACGTCTGTATTTTTGTTTTATATCGAAGCAGAAGCCTAAATGCCGGAACACTGCGGCTGCTATGATGATCCCAAAGAAATTTTGTTAATACGATTTTTGGAGTGCCTAAGGTTAGTAGAACTGGGAAAAGCTTCCTCTTGTAGATTGTTCCACAATATCGCCACCCTCGGTACAAAGGAGCGGTCGTATCGGTCAGTTCTGGATGTATACTTTATCTGAAGTCACTTGAAACACTGTGAAATACCGGGTGCGTTTTATATATCTATATTTAACACGCTCTGTTGCTGCAAAAATCGCCAAATTTCGCAGCAAATATCAATCATAAGATCAAAGGCAGTTTCACCGGTCCACGTGGAGTAAAGCACGCCTATGCGTGGACATAGCCAATGAGAAAGCGTGTATTTCAGAGCTCCGAACAAGTGCAGGTGGCTACTGAAAATTGAAACAGTTTAGCCAGTGCCGTGTAGCGGTGAATAAACGTGTTTTCTTTAGTCTGTCCGTGTTTTTTCATAGATTTTATTAGTTTGTGTGTTTTTGACTTTTGAATACTCAGTTCACTTGTTGATTTAATTGTTGTGTTGATTGTTCTTGTGTGTCCTAAATATAGCTCTTTGGAGACCTTGGGAAAATGCTCCAAGCCACGAGGAGATGGTTGATGAACCTGTGCAGGCAGAATTCTTTCATAAAGATTTAGAGGAACAGATCCAAAGAGTAATCCTAAATATGTATGATTGTCTGAAAAACGAAAATCCAGATTCCTCGCAAAATCAAATTTTAAACAGAATTTGTATCCTGACAAAAATCAGTCGGTCTACCATTTATCGGGTTATAAAAAGGGGAGATGTAGTCAACCATTCCTTTCACAGAAAGCGCATAGGGCAAAAATTAAAAAGAATAGACGTGGGTTTTCAGGAAGATATTCGTCGTATAATATACGGATTTTATAAAGAAAATTTGGTGCCCACGTTGGAAATGATACGGGATAAATTAAAAGATTATCCTGAAGATTTTTATAATTACAAATGCTTAGACTCACTGCACTGTATTGTAAAACTGTGTGGTTTTCAATGCAAAAAATTAGATAAAAGAATGGTGATTATGTAGTCGTCTCGAATCGTTGAATTGCGCCAAGAATCTTTGCACAAAGTTAAAATCTATAGAGAGCAGAAAAGAAATCTGATTTACCTGGATGAAACGTGGTATGATACCCATGATGTTGTGCAGTACGGCTGGGTTGACGACAGCAACAAATGCATTTTAAATGCACCATGCAACCGTGGAAAACGAATCATTATTCTCCATGCTGGCAGTGAAAATGGATTTATACCTAATGCCTTGCTGTTATCTGCCAAAAATATCAAAGAATCATGTGCCGACTATCATGAGGACATGACCTCCGACTTATTTGAAAAGTGGATAGAGCAGCAGTTAATACCAAACATCTCCCCAAATTCAGTGATTATTATGGACAATGCGCCATACCATTCCCGACAGAAAAACAAAATTCCGAATACAGGCACAAAAAAACAAGACATTATTGATTTTATGAAGGATAAGGGAATGGAAATACCACAAAAATCAACCAAAGCCATATTATTGGATCTTATTAAAAGACAAAAATTTGAAAAAGAGTATGTTGTTGACAATCTGCTTCAGCAAAATGGCCATGAAGTATTACGTCTACCTCCCTATTACTGCATTTTTAACCCGATTGAGTTGGTCTGGGCTGCTTTAAAAAAAAGTAAGAAAACATAATCAGACCCCTCAATTAAGTGAATCGCTATTGGCCACAATAAGAGATGCAGTATCTCATATTGCTGCCACAGACCTATGGAAGCAGTGTTCTAGGCATATTATTGAAAAATAAAATGAATATTGTGTTTTGCCTCCTGTAAATCCCGTTGTAATTCCTCTACAAGATGACTCTAGCGACAGCTCCGAAGGCGAGGATGATATATAAATACCTATAATGTAAGTCTTTATATACCTTTTTATATACCTACCTGCTATGTAAATATTTGCCTATGTCCAACGTTGGAATTCTGTAATTTTTCCATTTCTTAACTTTCAGTCAACATAAATTAAACTCCCAATATAAGTATTTTTTATCCCAAATAAAAAAAATAAGACGATAGTAAAATCCATTTATTGTGATATAAAAACATTATTATTATCGTTATAAATGACTGCACGCCTATGATACGTCATGAAGTTACAAAGGACGCGCCGACCAAAGGTTTTTATGCTATTTCAAGTGACTTCAGATAAAGTATACGAAGTTCGACAGGGTTGAAAATCATTATGTATTTCCGAAAGTACAGTAAAAATATCATTTATAATACAATTTTTATAGAGTGCAAATGTTTTATATTTGGCCTAATGATTCCGTTTCCCAAATAATACAGACTTTACGAAATAATGATTGAGAATAAGGGGCGTATCGTCAGTCGGTCCTACAATTGTAGGATGCCTTTATGGCCTCCTTGATTTTCATAGTATTTTATCTCTTTCAGAAAGGCCGAGGTATTTCTAGATTTCTGCTACTCCGTGTCAGTGCTCTCATAATGCGAGGTTATGTTTTCTTTTTGAATTTTGAGAAATTTCAGGCTGACACAACAGGTGATAAAAATGAAGTTCATCAATCAGCTTGAAATTTATTAGAATTCAAAAAGAAAATATAACCTCAAGACAGTAGAAATCTGGAGGACAGGAACAACTATGAAAATCGAGTAGGCTATAAAGGCGTCCTACAAATGTAGGAACGCCTGACGACACGGCCCTTAGCGATATCAAGAAAAATCAGCTACTTACTTTCTACCATGACTAGATAACAATACAAAAACTTCCTTAAAAAAATATTCTACGGTGGTGAGCGGTCTCTTCCATAAAACTAGGCTCTCTCTGTCTTTCTTCAACGCTTCCCGTTTCTGTTGCTCGTCTTTCGATTTCGTTTTTGTACTTTGCAAACTGTTCCCGTTTTGTGTTACCGCGACGGGCGCGTTCTTCTTCTTCATCTCGACACCGGTCATCTTGTTGTTGCCCAGCCTTTGTAGCTAAAGAGAGAATACGACTTAGACAACGTGGTTCAGTTTGAAAATCGTGTAAGCATCACATTAAAAGCGAAACATTCAGATAAAAAACTACCAAATGTAACAATATATGAAATGCAAGACTAAGCAACAGTTGCAAGAACAAATTCTTATAAAAACGCCCATTGATAAGTAGCTTTTCTCTCTTAAAGTAAATTGATCAAAATCAAAGAATCTTTTCAAGTAGATTGACTCTGTACTTCCTACGCCTTCGTCGGAGGTTTTGAAGTAAAGAGATGGGTCAAGTCGTTTTAAAAGGCGGAATCGAAAATTCACTTGGGTACGAAAAATCCATTTTTACTCTCGATGGCTAGATGTGAGCGAAGCTCTCTACAAAAAAGTTATTTGGGGCGCTGCGCGTGTGTCATCATCAAAGACCCAAACTTTGTTTTGTGCCTTAGTCGATACATCGTAAACATTTTCATAATCTTTCGGCACCCAGTCGTACGACAAGTCTTCTGCTATTCCGGTACCCAGAGAGAACAAAGTTTCCTTACGTTTAAAAGATCATGCAGAATTTAATGAGTTGCTGGTGCATGAAGGTGTAAGGTCTCCTCTATCTCCCGTCTTCCTCAAAGCAGTAATGTTTTCCTCTGTTACTGAGGTTCGGGGCCTTCTTTCCCTCTCAGCATCCCCCAGAGTGAAATTGTCCCCGTGTAATTCTCTGTACCACCTGAATATAGTCGTACGATGACGACAATCATTCTTTAATGCAAGCGTCATTTCTGCCCTTATCTCACTACATGACCACGATGCCATAGTCAGCACTTTACACTGTCAATACGAATGAACAACTAAATCAACAGACGTGCTGCGGACGGCTACTATGCACTCATGGACATGTCTCAACATGCAGTGACATGCAGCCTCGCATCCGTTTGTTAAGTCATATTGCAAAACTTTATAGTATTAGCTGACGAAACAGAGATATCTACAGGGTGTTTCAGTTTATTGTTGCATAACTTTAAGATTCGATAGAACTTTTAAAATTAATGCATAAAGTCTCTATAAACATGGGTCGAAAAATGCTTGGCTTCCGAAATACAGGGTGGTTAAATTTACTTTCTAAAATAGTTTTTTTTAAATATTTCGAACAATATTTGATGTAGAACAGTGACAAATGGTATACAAGGGTTTTTTGGTACGACAAAACGAACCATGGGCATAGTTTTACTGTAGCCGCTAGAGGGCGCTCTCTACTGTACCGGTAGTATATTAAAATGACCGAAAATTTTTTCTTAGTGCAATTTTTTGAATAGAAAAACGGATTCTTCGCACTTTTCAACATAAAAAGGCTCTCTTGTGAATTTTCGTTATAGTTAGCCGTTTTTGAGATATTTCGATTTTTAAGGTTCGATGCATTTTTAATTATTTATGAGAAAATAACGTTAAAAAGTCAGTATCTCGATAATTTTTAGAAGTAGGCTGTGCCTGCAAATATTTTTGAAATTGAAAGCAGAATAAAGTTAAACGTCAATTAGTTGACAGTTAGTTTTGTTGTCTGTTGAAACCTGAAACGTTTTTTGCAATTGTGAATGCATGAAATTTAGTTTCTTTTACCTGTTTTTTTTTGTAAATTTTATAAAAATGCCATTTTTATTCTCCAATCAAGAGTTAGCGGATACTCATTTTGTGTATGGCTTTGTAAATGGAAACGCAGAAGAAGCAGCCAGAGAATACGCACGAAGATTTCCAAACAGACGACATCCAACTCGCTCAGTATTTGTAAGAGTGCATCGCCAAATAATTGAAAATGGTTTTGGGAATCTCCAAAGGGATCAAAACATAAATGTTCGTCAGCGCAGCTTTACCCGTATGATTCTGCGTGAGTTTGATAGAGATCCGACCACAAGTGTTAGGAGAGTTTCTGGTGCCTTAGGAATTTCAGCAAGCCATGTTCACTGTGTTCTTAGAAATGACCATAGACGTCCTTACCATTTGCAACCTGTGCAAAGACTACAGCCAGGGGACGGAGAACGAAGAATCACATTTTGTCAGTGGATTCTTGATAGAACTGATAATAATAGGGAGTTTTTAAGTAACGTTTTATGGACCGATGAGTCATGCTTCACTAGACGTGGAGTGGTAAATTTTCATAATCAACATATTTGGTCGCATGAAAATCCGCATGCAGTTCGGGAAAGAAAGTTTCAGCATGAATTTAGTGTGAACGTGTGGATTGGTATCTACCGTAATCGACTATTTGGACCCTACCTTTTGCCTGCAAGGTTAACTGCTGCGACCTTCTTGGAATTTTTATAGGCTGAACATGCAAATATATGGGATGATGTTATGTTAGATTTAAGAAGATTGGCTTGGTTTCAGCTTGATGGTTGTTCAGCTCATTATTCGAGAATAGTTAGAAACTGGCTGGACGAAAATTGTCCAGAAATATGGATCGGCCGTGGAGGACCAGTCGCCTGGCCTCCACGATCCCCTGACCTAAATCCATTAGATTTCTTTGTGTGGGGATTTCTAAAAGAAAAAGTGTACCAGACTTCCGTAACCACAAGAGATATGCTAATAGACAGAATCAGGAATGCATGTGATGAAATAATGCCTTATTTGAATAATGCTATACCACGTTCGATCATTCGTAGATGTGAATTGTGTATTGAACAATTGGGTTTACATTTCGAGCAACTACTTTAGATTTTGTATGTTTGTCCTAACTATCCAATAGCATTTTAGTTGTAAATAATTAATTTAATTTGTTAAAAATAATATTGGAAAGTTAAACAAATTAATAATCTGTTTTTTTGTGTTTATTTGGAGTTAGGAATTATTACTGTGTTTAAAAACACAATCTAAACGATCATGTTAATTACTTGTAATGCCCAAATCGAAAATAAATATTATTTTCACATAAATAATTAAAAATGCATCGAACCTTAAAAATCGAAATATCTCAAAAACGGCTAACTATAACGAAAACTCACAGGAGACCTTTTTTATGCAGAACAGTGCGAAGAATCAGTTTTTTTATTCAAAAAGCAAAAAATTGCTTTAAGAAAAATTTTTCGGTCATTTTCATACACTACAGGTACCGTAGAGAGCGCCCTCTAGCGGCTACAGTAAAACTATGCCCGTGGTTCGTTTTGTCGTACCAAAAAACCCTTGTATACCAATTTTCACTGTTATACATAAAATATTGTTCGAAATATTTAAAAAAAACTACGAGTATTTTAGAAAGTAAATTTAAACACCCTGTATTTCGGAAGCCACGCATTTTTCGACCCATGTTTATATAGACTTTATGCATTAATTTTAAAAGTTCTATCGAATCTTAAAGTTATGCAATAATACACTGAAACACCCTGTATATGGCTCAAAGACAACTCCCTAAATCATCGACCTGCCCTTGACGCTCAAAGGATTAAGCTACCAAAAATGAAAATATTCTGCTTTGGCACAATATCATTATTTTCACCAGATTAATCTAACATCGATTTTTGGTGCGTTCTTTAACGGAACACCCTGTATACCGCAATCGAATAAATGCGCGTCATATAGGAATTGGAAAACCAAAAAATAAACATTCGCATTTAAATGTAGCGCACAATTGTGATGTAATTAGCTCCGATATCGCAAAATAATAAATGAAATTGCGTATCAAATGATACGTGAAAAACCTTTTACGTTAGTCGACATATTTGCATTTGATTGCCGTGTCATACCTGGCCTATGTCAATGATCACACTCATCGTGGTACAAAGTTCTTCAACTATTGCATGACAAATCACAGTACACTGGCATGCGTAACGAGCGCTAGTGTAATCTTTGGCGTAGTTTCAATTTTTATTGAACAGGGGACTTATCGCTTTCAATCATTTTCCACGCTGCACCTACGTAACACAGCGTAACGTGACTAATGATAATAGTACATTTTATACTAAATCTTTCACTTGTAACGTGTCAGGATGGAACTATTGTATTCGACTCAAAGGCCAAGGCGGAAGAGCTAGTCAAGATCTTTGCTGCCAACTCCACCATGGACGTCCCCCCCCCAACGCCCGAATCCTTCGAGATTTCAACTTTCAATCGGCCGGCACGTGTTGGATAATATGGAGGTTATCAGTGAAAAACAGATGAAATCTCGACGGAATTTTCAATAGTTGATAGTTTTAAAATCTCCAAATTTCTCCCAAAATCAATCAACGTTTAATTAAAAAAACCTTTCAAAATGATTTGCCATTTAATAATAAAATAATTCCGTCCTAATCGAACCTCATCAATCCAGTTTTTTATTCGCCGACTATGTGTTCTCTTCACTGTTGTTTAAAAACAATGTCAGCAACAAGCTCGCCGACTTACTCCAGACGATGAAGACATAGATCTTCGAAAGCTTGAGAGTTTAAGTTATAAGAGTGTACTTTTGCAATACTTTGCCTTCTAATAACTTTAAGATTCGATAGAACTTTTAAAATTAATGCATAAAGTCTATATAAACAGGGGTCGAAAAATGCGTGGCTTCCGAAATACAGGGTGTTTAAATTTACTTTATAAAATAGTTTTTTTCAAATATTTCGAACAATATTTGATGTACAACAGTGAAAATTGGTATACAAGGGTTTTTTGGTAGGACAAAACTAACCATGGGCATAGTTTCACTGTAGCCGCTAGAGGGCGCTCTCTACTGTACCTGTAGTGTATTAAAATGACCGAAAATTTTGTCTTAGTGCAATTTTTTGCATTTTGAATAAAAAAACTGATTCTTCGCACTTTTCAACATAAAAAGCTCTCCTGTGAGTTTTCGTTATAGTTAGCCGTTTTTGAGATATTTCGATTTTTAAGGTTCGATGCATTTTTAATTATTTATGGGAAAATAATATTTTTTTTACATTTTCGATTTGGGAATTACAAGTAATTAAGGTGATCGTTTAGATTGTGTTTTTAAACACAGCAATAATTCCTAACTCCAAATAAACATAAAAAAAATTGTTTAATTTTCCAATATTATTTTTAACAAATTAAATTAATTATTTACAACTAAAATGCTATTGGATAGTTAGGACAAACATACAAAATCTAAAGTAGTTGCTCGAGATGTAAACCCAATTGTTCAATACACAATTCACATGTACGAATGATCGAACGTGGTATAGCATGATTCAAATAAGGCCTTATTTCATCACATGCATTCCTGATTCTGTGTATTAGCATATCTCTTGTGGTTACGGGAGTCTGGTACACTTTTTCTTTTAGAAATCCCCACACGAAGAAATCTAATGGATTTAGGTCAGGGGATCGTGGAGGCCAGGCGACTGGTCCTCCACGGCCGATCCATCTTTCTGGATAATTTTCGTCCAGCCAGTTTCTAACTATTCTCGAATAATGAGCTGGACAACCATCAAGCTGGAACCAGGCCAATCTTCTTAAATCTAACATAACATCATCCCACATATTTGCATGTTCAGCCTTTAAAAATTCCAAGAAGGTCGCAGCATTTAACCTTGCAGGCAAAAGGTAGGGTCCAAATAGTCGATTACGGTAGATACCAATCCACACGCTCACACTAAATTCATGCTGAAAATTTCTTTCCCGAACTGCATGCGGATTTTCATGCGACCAAATATGTTGATTATGAAAATTTACCACTCCACGTCTAGTGAAGCATGACTCATCGGTCCATAAAACGTTACTTAAAAACTCCCTATTATTATCAGTTCTATCGAGAATCCACTCAAAAAATGTAATTCTTCGTTCTCCGTCCCCTGGCTGTAGTCCTTGCACAGGTTGCAAATGGTAAGGACGTCTATGGTCATTTCTAAGAACACGGTGAACATGGCTTGCTGAAATTCCCAAGGCACCAGAAACTCTCCTAACACTTGTGGTCAGATCTCTATCAAACTCACGCAGAATCATACGGGTAAATCTGCGCTGACGAACATTTATGTTTTGATCCCTTTGGAGATTTCCAAAACCATTTTCAATTATTTGGCGATGCACTCTTACAAATACTGAGCGAGTTGGATGTCGTCTGTTTGGAAATCTTCGTGCGTATTCTCAGGCTGCTTCTGCCGCGTTTCCATTTACAAAGCCATACACAAAATGAATATCCGCTAACTCTTGATTGGAGAATAAAAATGGCATTTTTATAAAACTTACAAAAAAAAAACAGGTAAAAGAAACTAAATTTCGTGCATTCACAATTGCAAAAAAACGTTTCAGGCTTCAATAGACAACAAAACTAACTGTCAACTAATTGACGTTTAACCTTATTCTGCTTTCAATTTCAAAAATATTTGCAGGCACAGCCTACTTCTAAAAATTATCGATATACTGACTTTTTAACGTTATTTTATCATAAATAATTAAAAATGCATCGAACCTTAAAAATCGAAATATCTCAAAAACGGCTAACTATAACGAAAACTCACAGGAGAGCTTTTTTATGTTGAAAAGTGCGAAGAATCATTATTTTTATTCAAAAAGCAAAAAATTGCACTAAGAAAAATTTTTCGGTGATTTTAATACACTACAGGTACAGTAGAGAGCGCCCTCTAGCAGCTACAGTAAAACTATGCCCATGGTTCGTTTTGTCGTACCAAAACACCCTTGTATACCAATTTTCACTGTTATAGATCAAATATTGTTCGAAATATTTAAAAAAAACTATTTTAGAAAGTAAATTTAAACACCCTGTATTTCGGAAGCCACGCATTTTTCGACCCATGTTTATATAGACTTTATGCATTAATTTTAAAAGTTCTATCGAATCTTAAAGTTATGCAATAATAAACTGAAACACCCTGTATATATAAAGCATTTTCCATGCTGCACCTTCGTAACAGAGTGCAACGTAACTAATGATAATACAAAATATTTCAGACAAAATCAACCAAATCAAGTAGTATAGATTTTAATTATTTTATTGTATTTACCCTAAGTATCGGGGAAAGGCGTCGCGACGTTTCCAGATGCACTACCCTTAGGGCAGTGAAAGAATGTCTATGCACCAATTGTATGGACCTGTTTGACTGACTTTTTTCTCAGAGTCAAACAACTTGACGCCCCTTTTTTGTTACCATTATTTACCTGACGACATAAAAGTTACCTCTCATTGGCGCATTATCCATAGATCGTCACACATATCAAGGTAATAATTTTGAAAGAGCCATCTTACTGATAAGTTAGATGTAAAAAAATCAAAACAACTCACTCTTGGGGTATGTCGTATGTACCCCCTTTTAGAACGCCACTGGATCGGAAGATAACGATGTCCGACCAGTTCATTCCGATTAATTGAAGCAATTTAAAGAGTAACAAACGTACATACGTTGATAGACGCAGTGGAATTGATTCCGATGTCGACAAACCTCTATCTTGAGTTCCGATAGCGACATTCTAACTATTTTTAAAGTCACGCTTACTTATTCCGCATCTCGCCAGACCATGTCGTTGTCCAAATTTAAACGATGTTGATCTTTATACGACAATTTTAAAACGGCTTGATTTGAGGAAATTAAAATTAAATTTTGGCAAAACACCAAAAAGGATAAGCGCGGAATATGTGCTAGTGACAAAGATCGCGTTTCGGGGAACAGTTCAGATACCGAGAGACGGACAAAGAATTGGTGGGATTCTTAGAATGTTTCAAATAAAATCATGCAAGATGAAACAGCAGTATGGAAAAAAGATTCCGGCTCGGCTGTCAATTTGGAGTTAATGGGGGCTATAGCAAATGACGGCTCATAGGGAGATGTAGCTGTGTCGGGGGCTCACGAGGGTTAGTCATAGCAACGTTGCCCGATGGTCGGAACAGTCTGTAGTACAGGGGAGAATTTCAACCATTTAATTTTTTTGGTTATACGAATTTTTAACTAACTTTTTACTTCCCACGCCTACTGGCTGGGAGGTATTGTAAACGCGAACATTTTTGAAAATGACATACAGGGTGTTTCTTAATGATATGCGAATATTTAAGCGTGTGAATCTACATGAAAAATTTAATGTTAGTTTGCTTTATAAACTATGGTTCAAACATGTTTTCTTACAAAAACTCGGGGTGTTGAAGTTTTAGGAAAAAAATGGAAATTAATTAATATTTTCAGAACCGCTTCAGATATTTCACACATATTTACTACGTAGTGAAAGTTAATGAAGTTGCATATTTTTCAATGCAAAAATAATTTTTAGCTTCAACAGTGGCGTGCGTACGGATATTGACTTCGATATTTTTCAAGAAAAAAATTGTACGCCATTGCCAAATAAAAATTATTTTTGAATTCCCCGTTCAATTTAAAACAAATGATCTTTCTTGAATTGTTTTCTTTCCATGCGCTATTTTTGAGTAAAAAAATAAAAACAGTTCTATTGTCTAACTTGCAAAATTATTAATTTAAAATTAAAAGACATTATGGATAATGAACAACAACAACTGACAACATAAACGTAACATTAAAACCGACGAAATGATTACAAAATTTTTTGAAAATGGCCCCCTTCACTTAGTATGCATGCTTCCGCCCTCCTCATGGAATTGCGCACTCGTTGAAATATCCGTGGAGTGTTTTTTATTCTATCACTAGCTGCAACTATTCTTTCTCTTAATTCCTCTAGAGTGTTAATGGGACTTGTGTACACTAGTGTCTTAAGATAGCCCCACGAAAAGAAATCTAAACTGTTGAGGTCTGGGGACCTTGATTTGACAAAGGTAAAAAAGGTAAAAAACACCCTGTATCTTCGAAACGACTATGCCGTTTTTGACAAACTTGGGCCAGTTGACAAGAGCTATTCTTGGGATACAAAAGTTATAATATTTGAAGTTTTGTTAGTGTCATATGTGTCCGCTAGAGGACTTTTTTCGACATTAGGACAGAAATATTTTATTTTCTCAGCAAAATTAAATGCATTGGTATGATTTTTTTATGAAACAGTAGCTAAATGATGTCTAAATTAGCTCGCGAAAACCGCATCTCGATATCTGGATCCTAACCTAAAATTTAGACCAAAGAAAATTTTACAATTACAATATTTCCCCGCCAATAGGCGTAAAGTAAACATCGGTGAAATGTCAACTTGTGCAGGACCATCAGAAATTCATTGTTGTCAAAATTGTTTTTACTATATATCAAAGTTGTATTTTTAAATCGAGTAACCCATTTTTGGAGCATCTTCGGATAGACGCTTTCAAAAGATTGATGTAACATACTGTTTCCGCGAATCCAGAACAATCGGCTCAACGTGGCAACGTGGAGAGAGAGAGAGAGTTGAGAGAACAAGCTACAGTCCACACGGTTTTCTTCTCAGCACGACAAAAACTGTCTAAATAATAGTAAATTTCCGACATCTATCTGCCATATGACGTAGACGTCATATGTCATATATGACAGGCGCTTGCCTGCGGTGTTGCCGGATTGGGCTCCGCATTTAGGGAAAAATATGAAAAGTTGAAAATTTATATACATATGTATATTAATTAATGAATCACAAAAACGAAAAGCTGAAACAAACAACAGTAGCAAAATAAAAGGCGATTCCTAATAAGTATAAATCAAAAAATAACAGTAGTATGCTAAAAATGATAAATTATAAATAATTATAAAAAAACAAAAAATAAAAACAGTAGTAAAACAAAAACGAATTCCATGTAATTATAAAAATAAAAAATAACAAACAGCAGTAAAAAAAAGTAGTAAAACAAAAAAAAAACAATTCCATGTTGAATAAAAAGCAATTCTAAGTAACAACACAAAACAAAAAGTAAAAACAGCAGTAAAACGAAGAACAATTTCATTCCATCCAAATTGCCTTTATTTTGCTGTTTGTAATTTTTTGTTTTTTATGATCAATTAGGATTGCTTTTTATTTTACTGGTGTTTGTTATTTATTGTTTTATAACTAGTACTAGAGTAACTAATCTTATTAAGATCTCTAAAAATCAATATTATACACAAAAACTCATTTTAGCTGGTAATAACTATAGGAAGAGCTGGGATGTTATTAATGAGGTAACTAATGCTGGCAAAATAAAAAAAAATTACGTAAAATCAATTAATCACAATAATCAGCAGCTGGACGCTCCCACTGATATAGCCTGTGTTTTTAATAAATAATTTAATATAAATAAGGCTTTCGATTCAGTATCTCATACAATTTTATTAAAGAAACTAGAAAGTGTTGGAGTGCGTAGTGGAGTTCTGAACTTATTTGAGAACTATTTGGCTGATCGATTACAACAAGTTAAGGTAGGGTCAGATTTAAGCAACATTCAAAAGATCAAAATAGGTGTGCCTCAGGGGACAGTTTTGGGACCAACACTGTTCCTTATACAGGGTGGCCAAACACGTGACGTCATAAAAAAAAATTAGATTCCCCACATCGAGAGGAACCCAAATCACCCCCATATATATGGTCCGATTTTGTCTGGTTTAGGAGTTATGATTTTTTTCGGATTTTTCGAGAATTTTTGAGTTCTGTGTTTATTTTTACCATAACTTCGTTAATAATTGTGATAAATGCCTGCTTTTTTCACGATTATGTAGCTAAGACCTAAGGCTTAACTATCATATAATCATTCAAGTCATGTAACTAATACTACTTTTTAATTTTTTTCAAAATCTTCGAACATAACAAAAAAGTAAAAAAGTGCAACAACTTTGAACGTTTATAAAAAATTGAAAAAACATGTTCTTACTATTCGTAAGTATCTTAAAAACTTCCTTACGGTATCAGCTATTTACCGTAAAAATTTCATCAACCTAGCTTTACTACATGCTACCGTAATTGTGGCTCAAATAGAACCGAACCCAAAATTGGATAACCCTCTGCTCAATAGAAATTGTTAGTTTCGGAAAAAAAATTTGCAAAAACCACAAAAACACGTTTGATTTTTACTGAACAGCAGATTATTATTCATTTATGTTATTTACAAGAGGTTTTCAAAATGTCTGCCTCTAACAGAAATGCACAGTGTACACCTACGTATGAAATTTTGTTTTAAATCTCTAAATGCTTGTGTGCTGTTTTTCAACACATGTGTCGCTTCTTGAATTTTGTTCCTCAATGAATTTTCATTTGCACATTCTTGGGCGAATGTTATGTCTTTAAAATATCTCCAAACAAAAAAATCAATGGGGTTGAGGTCAGGGGAGCGTGGAGGCCATCGTATCGGTCCGTTTCGTCCGATCCATCTGTCTGGGAACCTTTCGTTTAAGTAGTTTCGCACGATCGTGGCGTTGTGGCATGGTGCACCATCATTCTGGAACACCATGTTCCGTCTGGCTTCCAGGCTTGAATCTTCCAGCAATAATGGTAGGCTATTTTCAAGGAAGCTTTTGTAGGCTACCGAATCCAACCTTGACGGCAGTTCAAATGGACCGATAAATTCCATATTGAATATTCCTGACCACATGTTCACACTAAAACGGTGTTGAAATGTCGACGGCCTTGACTGGTGGGGGTTTTCAACAGCCCAAGTATGTAAATTATGGATATTGAATATCCCTGTTCTTTCAAAACGTGACTCGTCAGTCCATAAAATTTTATCAAAAAAATCGGGATCCTCTCGTTGTCTTCGCAGCATTGTCTCGCAGAAATCCACTCTTAACTGGTAATCTGAAGGCATCAACGCTTGAACTCTTTGAACATGATAGGCATGATAATCTTCTTCATGAAGAATATTTTGTATCGATGTTCGTGGTATTCTAAGGTTTTGTGCCATAGATCTCGTACTCGTTGAGGGATTCCGGCTAATTTCTTCAAGTACTACTTCTCTGCGATCCGGATCAGCTGTAGGATATCCTTCATTGCTTCCTCGTCCTGGAATGCGGCCTGCCATGAAAGTGTTATGTGTGTTAATAAAAACACGGTGGTCTGGGTAATGCTCAGGTTGTGGTCCGCCTCGGCGTATAAGTTGTTCCCGGTACAGCTGAGCTGCTAAAGCGCCGTTGCCTTGAGCAACGCCATAATAATAATGCATTTCTGCATATTCACGCAACGTATAATGCATCACAAACTTCTTAGCAAACAAAGTCCAAATCAGTATGCAAAGCAGAGAAATTAGCCGGAATCCCTCAACGAGTACGAGATCTATGGCACAAAACCTTAGAATACCACGAACATCGATACAAAATATTCTTCATGAAGAAGGTTATCATGCCTATCATGTTCAAAGAGTTCAAGCGTTGATGCCTTCAGATTACCAGTTAAGAGTGGATTTCTGCGAGACAATGCTGCGAAGACAACGAGAGGATCCCGATTTTTTTGATAAAATTTTATGGACTGACGAGTCACGTTTTGAAAGAACAGGGATATTCAATATCCATAATTTACATACTTGGGCTGTTGAAAACCCCCACCAGTCAAGGCCGTCGACATTTCAACACCGTTTTAGTGTGAACATGTGGTCAGGAATATTCAATATGGAATTTATCGGTCCATTTGAACTGCCGTCAAGGTTGGATTCGGTAGCCTACAAAAGCTTCCTTGAAAATAGCCTACCATTATTGCTGGAAGATTCAAGCCTGGAAGCCAGACGGAACATGGTGTTCCAGAATGATGGTGCACCATGCCACAACGCAACGATCGTGCGAAACTACTTAAACGAAAGGTTCCCAGACAGATGGATCGGACGAAACGGACCGATACGATGGCCTCCACGCTCCCCTGACCTCAACCCCATTGTTTTTTTTGTTTGGGGTTATTTTAAAGACATAACATTCGCCCAAGAATGTGCAAATGAAAATTCATTGAGGAACAAAATTCAAGAAGCGACACATGTGTTGAAAAACAACACACAAGCATTTAGAGATTTAAAACAAAATTTCATACGTAGGTGTACACTGTGCATTTCTGTTAGAGGCAGACATTTTGAAAACCTCTTGTAAATAACATAAATGAATAATAATCTGCTGTTCAGTAAAAATCAAACGTGTTTTTGTGGTTTTTGCAAATTTTTTTTCCGAAACTAACAATTTCTATTGAGCACAGGGTTATCCAATTTTGGGTTCGGTTCTATTTGAGCCACAATTACGGTAGCATGTAGTAAAGCTAGGTTGATGAAATTTTTATGGTAAATAGCTGATACCGTAAGGAAGTTTTTAAGATACTTACGAATAGTAAGAACATGTTTTTTCAATTTTTTATAAACGTTCAAAGTTGTTGCACTTTTTTACTTTTTTGTTATGTTCGAAGATTTTGAAAAAAATTAAAAAGTAATATTAGTTACATGACTTGAATGATTATATGATAGTTAAGCCTTAGGTCTTAGCTACATAATCGTGAAAAAAGCAGGCATTTATCACGATTATTAACGAAGTTATGGTAAAAATAAACACAGAACTCAAAAATTCTCGAAAAATCCGAAAAAAAATCATAACTCCTAAACTAAACAAAATCGGACCATATATATGGGGGTGATTTGGGTTCCTCTCGATGTGGGGAATCTAATTTTTTTTTATGACGTCACGTGTTTGGCCACCCTGTACGTTATACTCAAATGAACTACTTCGATGTAATTTCAACTGTAAGATGATATCATATGCAGACGATACTGTTTTAGTTTGCACTGGTCATTCACGGGATGACGCAATACGGAATGACGAGTTGTCATTAAATAAAGTCAAATGCTGGTTGGATAACAATTTACTTAAACTTAATATCTCTAAAACTAAGTATGTAACGTTTTCTCCAACCAAAGCAGGCATGCCATTACACCACCGAACATTAATTATAAATGATAGTGCTGTCACTGTCGAAAGAGTTGAAGTTATTAGATACTTAGGAATCATTGTTGACAGTAATTTAAAATGGCAGAGTCATGCCGAGCTTTTGGCATCGAAATTAAGGAGAATTATTCATAAGTTTTTCATTCTTAGGAATATTTTAAGCAGAAAGAGTCTTCTCTCAATATACAGGGTGGTCCATAAGTCCTTTGAAATTTCAAATTTGAATAAAATTTAACGGGTGAGCGTGAGCGGCGCGGGCGAGGTGGGGGCAGTATCTTCAGTGTCTGGGCATTCAGTCGCCATGGAGTGTTTCACTGGAGCGGATCGTGCTTTTTGTGTGCGCGCGTTTTATCAAAATAATGATTCGGCAACCATTGCGCGGCGTAAATATCGAGAATACCACAATTTACACAATTTTACAAAGTGTCCAACAGCTCAAACGATTAAGAACTGGGTTGCTAAGTTCGAAGAGACTGGTTCGACGTTAGATAAACATCGGTGGGGTCGACCAAGGACAACTCGTATTGAAGAAAACATCAACATTGTGGCACAGTCTGTTCGTCAAAATCCTACCCAGTCTACTCGTAAGCGTTCCAGTGCACTAAACGTACCCAGAACATCTTTACAGCGGATTTTAAGGAAAGATTTACGTCTGCACGCTTACAAAATTCAGTTAGTGCAGGAATTAAAAGATAATGACGCTATTCAGAGACTAAACTTTGCGAATGAAATGTTGAATCGATTTTCTTCGCTCAATAATGTGTTGTTCTCGGACGAGGCTCACTTCCATTTAAACGGGCATGTAAATAAACAAAACTGCCGTTATTGGAGCCCCGAAAATCCAAGGCGTAAGCATCAGAAGCCCTTACACAGCCCTAAAGTTACAGTTTGGGCTGCTATGTCAGCGCATGGCATCGTAGGCCCTTATTTTTTTGAGGACGACAGAGGTCGCGCATTAACTGTTACTTCGGAGCGGTATGTAGCAATGATAGAAGAGTTTTTGACACCAGCGTTGCAGAATTTTCCAGCTATAATACGCAGACCTGGTTTCAACAGGACGGAGCAACTGCCCACACCTCCAACACTTCTATGCCCGTCGTCTGTCAACTTTTTCCCAGCAAAGTAATTTCTCGAAGAGGAGACATTTCCTGGCCACCACGTAGTCCAGATTTGACCCCAATGGACTTCTTTTTATGGGGCTACCTCAAGAGTAAAGTGTACGACACCACTCCGCGATCAGTTGATGTCCTGAAAGAAAATATCCGAAGAGAAATGGCAAGCATTACAGTGTTGACTTGCCGCGCAGTCATCGACAATTTTAGACGTCGTTTATATGAGTGCCGTGATCGCAATGGATTGCATTTAGACGATGTGATTTTTAGAACATAATTCCCATTCAATAAAGATGATAACAAAATATAATAATTCTTCATAATGTAACTAGTTTGGTTTTATTCCTTTTTTTCCAGCTCAAAGGACTTATGGGCCACCCTGTATAACTCGTTTGTGGGGTCTCTACTAATTTACGGGATAAGTATTTGGGGAGCCGCATACACTAGTACTTTAAAAATACTACAAACCACGCAAAATTATATTGTCAGGACTATTTTTCGTATCCCATGTAGGTCAAGTTGCAGATTTGTTTACATTGAAAATGATCTTTTGAATGTTAGAGGTTTATATATTTTTGCTGCTCTAAAATTTGTTCACTCCCGAAACAATGTTCCAACCAGCCACGCTTATGAAACAAGAACTAAAATAAATATAAGTTACACCTATACCAGAGTGAATAAATCTGTTTGCCAAAAATGCATAAAGTTTGATGGTATTAGGTTGTATAATAAATTACCCCTAGAATATAAAATCCTCTCGAAGTATAGTTTCAAAAAAAGAATTAAGAAGTTCATCTTAAATAACTTTGACATGCTTGCATCGACGGTAGCTTGACTCAACTCAGTAATTTCGTTTCTATCTAGTGTTTTTTTTTATTTCCTTTTTTTATATACATTTGCTCATAATATACCTTATGACCATTAGCCATGCATTGAATTTGTATATTGTATGACACACACAAGCTTATAGCTTAGGTGTCTATTATTTTGTAGTAAATTGTAGTACTCTTGTTTCTCTGCTTAACCTTTACGCAAAATTTTTATTGTTTAAACAACATAGTTTGACCTTACTCGAAATATCCCTCTATTACCATATTTCAGATATTCATATTTTATGTACTCTATATTTATACTTCTGAGTGTTTTTAGTATGCTTCTGTACTATTGTTATGAATTTTAGATTTGTGTATGCAGAAACGTAATTTAGGATTTGTGACGACAAGATCCAGACATTTACCCTTTACGAAAGCATACAGAATTTTCACAATTCATATACCGTTACTTGCTGGTTCTAGATCTGATGCTAGTATCTTTGCTCAGATTTCTGTTGCAATCTTGGTTATTCAGGGTAGCAAGAGCATACAAGCTCATGTATTTTTGAAGCTTTTTTTATTTAAATTGTACTGAAACTTTGAATTTGAATACTTAGTAAGAATCACTTTTAATTTTACTACTGTTGTTTGTTTCAGTTTTTTGTTTTTGTGTTTCATTAATATAAATGTATATAAGTTTTCCACTTTTCAGATCCTTCCCTAAATACGGAGTCCAATCCGGCAACACCGCAGGCAAGCGCCTCTCATATATGACATATCCACAGACGTCAGCGTCATATGGTAGATGGCGGTGGAAATAATGGGGGAAATAACTGCTAAAAAATACAGTGTTTTGGGAAAAAAATTTCATGTAAAGCGTGCTTCATCCACACTTTTTATGATGTAAAATAATTTATCAGACTACCCTCTATAAGTTTCAAGTGAAAAATCAGTGAAATCCGAAGTTCTAAAAGACGCAACAGTACCAAAAAGTGTTATTATAAAACGTCTAATACAGACTCCAACTGTGTACAACAATAAAACTCCAAGAATTCAACAAAGTCTGTTCTTCATTTCACCCCACAAGGCTGCGACCTAACCTCTCAACACATACCATAGTGTTTTGTTATTAGTTGTCGAGTTCTTCACGGCTTTTGTCATAATCGAATTCAGTACCAACATTTTTTCATCAATGAAAAGTGATATATTTGAACTTACGTAATAATTTTCAGCAAAATTTCACCGATGAAAGAGAAATCATCTATTGCAAACAAATCATTGTCGGTAACTGTTAGCGATACAACCAAGACGCCGTTACGTGCTGCACAATTATTTTCACTTTTTATAATTCATACACACACACTTTCATTATCGAGAGTACGGAATCATTATAAAGTACGATATGCTTCTCATACATTCGTTTAACTATTACCGCAAACGAGCCTCCTTATCAGCAACAATACCTTGCTAATTTAAAAACTATACAGGGTATTTTACCCGCAAAAAACGTGGTTGATAACTTTATAAAAGCAGAAATTATTCGTAAAACTTGACACCTGGTTGACCAGCTTTTTGGACCCTACAGTATATTCAGATAAGAGATAGACCGGATGTGAACAAAAAGTTCGGGTGATCTTCACGCTAACGCCGCCGTCTCGACGTAAAACAGGAGCCCTCATTGGTCAATTCGCAATTAAATGCCTATGCCGAGCGGCAGAGCAGTCGTACCAAGGCAGAGTCACATTCAGGTTCAGACGTGTTACGTATGTCGTGTGCATCATTGCAATTTGATATTTCTTTGGACGTTTTCGTTTATCTTATTAAGTTGCTGAGTTTGTCGTTGTTATTGTTATACCTTGTTATTGATTGTTATTGTTATCAACTGCTTGCGCAAAATGCCCAGTAGTACAGATACTGCCGATGAAGTTGTAAACTCCTGTAGTCCACCTAGGAAACGCTCTAAAAAAAGACACCTGAGTGCAGAAATGAAAGAGGTCATTTTGAATATATATAAGATCGAGCGCGAGGAGAACGAGGCATCAACCATCAAAGAAATTGTTGTGAAGGTTTCTCACAAAGTAGGGGTGTGTCGCGCATCAGTGTTTAATGTGTTAAGACAGTACAAAAAAAATCACACCTTTTCTGAGCCAATGACCAGTAAACATCGCAAAAGTATTGTTAAATCATTGGATGAAGCTGATAAGCATGCGATTAGGAGGAAAGTGCATAAATTCTTCTTTAGGAATGAAATACCTACTATAGATAAAGTACTGCAGGAGGTAAATGGAGATACAGCGTTGCCAAATTTCAAACGATCAACTTTCCATGCGTTACTGAAGCATTTAAATTTCAAATGGAAAAAACGGGGTCGTAATAGTTTACTACTGGATAGAGAAGAAATTGTGCTATGGAGGAGGGATTATTTAACAAAAATTGGGAAATATAGAAATCAAACCAGGAAGATTTATTACCTTGATGAAACGTGGGTAAACGCAGGACACACTACAAGTAAAGTATGGGTTGATGATTTTGTAACTTCATCCAGGAGGGCCTTTCTAGATGGACTGTCCACCGGATTAAAAAATCCAGCAGGTAAATACGAGTAATAGACAACAATCGGATGTTTTTCAAACCTTGGGAACAAGGTTCTAAACATTAATTCCAGGGGGCAGATAAAACATATTACAAGTAACAAAACTTTTATAACTTTCGATAAAATGCGTGGATGTTTTATTGTCATTTTCATTTGTTAGAACTTTTTTAAGACATGTTTTTATGTGTTTTCGATATTTCAATAATTTTTAATATAATCTTAAAATATGTCGAATATTATAAACTTAAAAAAAGTTACTAAGTTTTATATTGTGTACCGTTCCTAATATTTCTAATCATTTTAATTCATACTTTAAGCTTTATAAAGTTATAATTTGTTAATATTAATATTTGCGCGTATTTCAGGTTCCTGATCATTCATTTTTTAAAGGTTTATAACTTTAAATTAAATTGTGAAGCGCTGAGTAATCATACGACGTTCAATATTCTTTCTTTCAATATGACTAAATAATCCCAATTATAGCAATCTGATACTCATGTCTCAATGTTTTTTCGCTGAATGTGATGAAAACATTTGAAAAAGGTTCGCTTATTGAAATAAATCTACACCAGTTAGTACTTCGATTTCCAGGTAAAGGGAAAAGGTTCATTATCTGCCATATTGGCAGTGAGGATGGATTTGTTGTTGCCGGTCTGTGGTGCTTTGAGTCTAAGAAAACTGGAGATTACCACGAGGAAATGAATGGCGAATCGTTTGAACAGTGGTTTTCAAAAATTTTACCGAACTTAGAGAAAAACGCAGTAATTGTGTTGGATAATGCGCCTTATCATTCTCGAAGAATGGAGAAGGTCCCAACAACGGCTTCAAGGAAAGTTGATGTTCAAAATTGGCTCCGCTCGAAAAATATCAACTTTGAAGAAGCAATGCTGAAAGTAAAATTATTAAGAATTGTCAAGGATCACAAGGCGGAATATCAAAAATACGCCATTGACGAAATGGCAGCAAGTCAAAATAAAACTGTGCTCCGTTTACCTCCATACCATTGCGAGCTCAATCCCATTGAGCTCATATGGGCAGAGGTTAAAAATTATATAGCTAAGCACAATACAACTTTTAAATTTTGTGACCTCAAAGGACTTTTCAAAGAAGCACTAGAATTAATAACAGCGCAAAAATGGGAAAACTGTATTAAGCACGTGAAAGACAAAGTTGAAAAGAGAATGTGGGAACTGGACAATATTTTAGAGGAACAAGTCGAGCCATTCATTATTGACGTTGGTGCTTCAGGCAGTAGCGATGATGAAAGCTCATCAAGCTCATCTTTCCAATAAAAGATGTTGTTCATCAAATTCAGTAAGTTATAAGTAATTATAAAGCTACTGTATTTTTTAATTAATTATTGACATTTTTGAACCCATTTTGGCAAAACCTATTCAAGAATCTGCTTTCTGACAATGTTCAACCATGCACATTTTTTTACGTTTTGAACGTTTTAATTTGGTTACATATTTACCTAGAAATCAAAAAATATACTAATCAATATTCTAAAAGCAATTTTAAGAGATATACGATTATTTTTAATTTAGGCTAATTTAAACGCCATTTTGAGATTATATTCGACTGTATTTCACCAAACATCAGGCGGCATCCGAAGCTGGAAATCGAGGCGAAAATTTTGAAACCCTTATGTATATTTACATCATTATATATTTCTTACCCCACCCCCACATGATCCTATATCCATCACCAATCGTATACACATCGAATTGTGCTAATTTACTACAAAGTTACGCAAAGCAGCATCTACTATCTAAAATATGTACTGCGTGACTCTTAATACGTCCCTGCCGAATGTTACAGCGTTCGATGATCACGTGGTCTTGTTTATGTCCGGTCTATCTCTTATCTGAATATACTGTATGCGCAAGATTATGAAAATCAGTTCGACATTTAAATTTTTACTAACCTCAATATCGTACGAACACCGTGTTAAATAGCTATTGTATGTATATCAGAGTTAATTTGTGAGTGAAGTAGAGGTATAGTTTATTCACTGGAACAAAGCAGTTACGACATATAGTTAAAATCACGAAAGATGACTATTACGTCATTACATGAATTGTAATGAAGTAATCAATAGACGTACGTCGATGATAAAATCACGATGTCAGGAACATACTGACAACAAATTTATATTATGATTTTGCGAAGTTAGGTTATTTCACTGATTATATTTATTTTCATTTTATTTCATGGTTTTGAGTGATACCTTAATAATAAGCCAAGTTTTTATTTTGAAAAAAAAAAAACAGTTATGAGTAGAATACCTTAAGACAGGAACACCAAAGACCAAAGTATTATTCTAAAACAACATAACCTGTTTTAACATAACCTAACTATTCATCTTTCAAATATGATCGATCATGCAGCATGAAAACATCGTCTATCTTTGTCGTATACATGCAAATTAGCAATACAGTTTGTTTAGACAATAAAATTCTGTTTGTCTCTGTCTAACATATCTGAAACTTCATTAAAAATATTCACAAATCGCTGTCGTTTGTCTTTACTACAGACTAAAATGAAGACGTAATCGTCATCTTTCGTGATTTCGACTATAATTAGTAAATTTGAATGCAAACCTTAATGCAAAATAGATCCTAAAATTGTACGTATAGGTTGAATTTCCCGGGTACATTTATGTTGGTAACAGTTTTTGTTAAAATGCCGCAACCTCTGGGTCGACAAGCAAAAGAATTCGTCATTTCTTTGACCAAATATTTTGAGACCAAACGAGATCATGAAGCTCCATTATTGCCCTTTAAGGTCCGTAAGAGAGGTATTAGGTAGTAAATAGAATTTATTCTAGCTCTGGCGTTGGCAAAACATGCTGATTGTGGTAAGGCATCGAAGACAAAGTAGATTTTGTAAAAGTCCTAGGATCTAGTAGTTTTGATTAATGTGGCAACCATGTGCATCACTGTCATTATTTGACGTGGTGACGTAACTGCTTTGATTCAGTGAATAGACTATATATACTAAGTGACATATAAATCCGAACACCCAGTTTAAATGGTTTTATTTTAATAAAATTTTGTATAAGTACTTAATGAAGCATAATAAGTAAGTGATAAAAATTTGAAAATGATTGCACCGCTTTAAAGCCCTTTGACCTTTAATAATGTGTGGATGCACCCTGATGTGCTACGCATTCTCCAACGCGCCTAGGCATGCTTCTGATCAGGTGGTCAATGTCCTCCTGTGGTATCTCATTCCAGGCAACCACCAACTCCTCTCGAAGTGCTTCTAGAATCTGAGGAGGACGTTGCAAATTGAGCAATCTCCTACCCATCATATCCCACACGTGCTCAATTGGGGATAAGTCGGGAGATCTTGGTGGCCATGGTAACAATGTGACATCATTATGTTGAAAGAAGTCTATTGTGACTCTTGCAACATGTGGTCGGGCATTATCTTGTTGGAAAGTTGGATCTGTCAGGGTGTCAAGATAGGGTAAAAGATTGGGTTCTAGAACTTCGTGGATATAACGCTGCACGTTCATGGTACGTCTGATGAAGATTAAAGGTGACCTGGAACCATAAGCTATAGGTACCCCAAACCATAACTCCAACAGTGTGATGAACATGTCTTTCAACAAAAAACTGTGGATTCCTCCTTTCACCACGTCGCGTCGTCTTCTAACCCTGGCACGGCCATCGTGCTTGCCTAAACAAAATCGAGACTCGTCACTAAAGACATTACTGTTCCATTCCTGATCCCAGAGTGACCGTTGTCTGCACCACTCAAGGCGATTACGTCGGTGTTCTCGAGTTAAAGGGAGGACCCAGTGTGGCCGGTATGAAAACAAGCCAAAACTTCTCATTCGTCAGTAAACACTTCGCATGCCAATAGGTCTTCCGTGTTCTGCAAACCATTCATTTGCAATGGACCTGGTAGTGGAGAAACGGTCCCTTAAGGCCAATAATCTTAGGCGGCGATCTTCACGGTCTGTTGTTCTACGGCGGCGTCCAGTGCCCCTTGCTCTTTGCGTAC